TCGAATTAGAATTATTCGCTTAAAATTATTTAGGATAGAGATCGGCACGGGACGGAATCCCGCACGGGATTTCACGGGATCCGTCCCGTGAAATCCCGATTTTTAAGCGACGAACGGGATTACCGGGATTTACGGGATTAATCCCGCGGGATCCCGTCCCGTATAAAATGTTGAAAAAAATCCCGTTACGGGATCCCGTGAATGCGATTTTACCGATCTCTAATTTGGGATAAAAAAATATTCGACTTGGAATTTGATCTTAAATTTTTTCCTGCTCTCCAACTATAACGAGATCGGGCAGAATTTTCTCTAAGTAAATAAATTGCCAAAAAATTGATTAAATAATTTTTAAATAAATTTATTTTTAGAAGAAAATATTTGCCTTTTACTTTTTTTATTTGTCCAAAAAGAAACTATTAAAAAAATTACAAGCAAAAAGAGGCGCTTTTTATTACAAATTATTTTAAAAAAGAATTTTCTTTCAAAAAATATTTTATATATTTAAATAGAAGGGGACAGAAATGTAGTAAATTATAAATATAAAATATTTTTTGGAAAAAAAATTCCAAAAGGTAAGAAGAAAAGAGAGAGGGGGAGATGCGCGTCGAGAAATAAAAAAAAAGAAAAAGGGGGTAGATTAGTCCGTTTCGATTAGATAATGAATATTAAATAAATAAATTATGAGGATTGCGCAAGGAAAAAGGAATTTTTAAAAAAGGTATTTTATCCCCCTCGAAATTTACTCTCCTTTTGACCTTATATGAAAGATGGGGATATCTTGGGAAATCCACGGATATCCGGATTCGATATCCGAACCGAAAATTTTTGAATTTTTCCGGATTCGACAACCCCATATACATGAGAATCAAGCTCGGTGTTACCTCTCATTCAATTTTACTTAGCGAGCTGATTATTAATATCGAGGAAGAATTAATAATTTTAATTAATAATTTCTGCGAAGCTATCATTTGTTAATCAAAATTTTTATCTCAAAAGGGAGTAATGGATAAAAGGAAAATAAGAGGAAGTAAACGGGTAAACCCTAATATCGTAGAGCAGGATTGATCAGATTTGATAGATCTAAATGAAGGTATAGGCTTACGGTGAGTTTTGGCTTGAGGTGAGATGTACCACCACAAGGTGTGGGAGCATTGCGTTAAATTTTGGCCTTGCGCCCACCCCTTACCACCCACTCTTAAGCAAATTCTTCTAATTTTTTATCATTCAAACGGGATCAAAAAATGCTTATAAAATATTTTCAAAAGATTTAAAAAATCGATAACCGATATAGGCTCTTTCTCACCTCTTTTTTTCTTCATAAATTCTCGGCCGGTTATGGGTGGATACACGCATTTTAATATACATATAAAAAATTTTCCAACTCGTTTTATGTGCGTATTTATTTATTTTTATGTATATAAATGTGTGCAACAGCAGAAAAGCACAAAAATTTTTGGGTAGGGCAATCACTTTATTTATTTTTTTTCCTTTTAAGCGGTAAATGAAGGGGAGAGAGAAAAAAGGAAGGGGAGAAAAGTCGCTACTTTAAGCGATTCGCTGAATTGGTTAAAACGCGAAACATTTTGATAGAAGGGGAGTGGATATATAAATATTTAGATATTTCCGTTTTAATAAAATATATAATTATTTTAATAAATTCTTGTTAAAAATTGAAGGTATTTTAATTAATATACTGCCAAACAATTGTTATAGGATACCTCCAATTTTTTGAGGAGGGGGGGGGGGGAGGGGGTATAAGAAAACCTCTTTTTAACCCAAAACCTCTATTTAAGAGACGTCTTTTTAAAAGTTGGTTGCCTACTGGGTGGGGGCGTTGCCTAAACGATACCCTCTATTTAACGAACACCTCATTATAAGAGACTATTCTATTTAAGGGACACCTCATTATAGGAGACAATTTTTTCATTCTCGAGAGAGGAGGATGAAAAAAGAGGTTTGACTCTTGACAGGATATATAAAAAATATTTTTTAACAGAGAAAACAACTCTTGGTAGCATAAATTTAGGCTGAGGGTTATCACCTTATTTATTTTTTTTAAGAGGTAGATGAAGAAAGGAAAAGATTAAATTTGAGTTTAATTAACGAGCAGTTTCCCTATTTCTATTTTTTCTTGGTGAACTAATTGAGCTAACCCTCAATTAAATGGAGGAGGCGTCTGGAGGAGGATGGAGGAGGAGGCGTACCTGGAGGCATGGAGAAGCACCCTGGAGGCATCCCGATCAGAGACGAGCGCAAGAGACTGAAAAAACTCAGAACGAATGAAAATCATAAAAGGGGTTGAAAAGAGGTCTCTGATCCCATTATTGACAGATATCTTCCACAAAAAAAAATTTTTTTGTTTTCCTAGCCAAAAATTGACAACTTTTTAAATAAAACAAGGGGAAAATCAATCTACAAAATAAATAAATATATTAAATTTTTTCTAATTAAAAATGATTAAAAGAAAAATTAAAAGGGAAAGTGTAACGATATAAATTCCACGCTTCATTGAATAAACCTCCAAGTATTTTACCTTTTTTTTTACAACTTTGGTGGGCTAAGCGCGAAGGTGAGACTGTTGCTGGGGAAGAAGAGAAGAATTAATTGAATTACCAAAAAATATATTTTGTGGGTGCTAATTGGTAAAAATTGAGGGAAAAATGAAGGGAATGAGGGGGGAATGAAGGGAGAATGAAGGGGGGAATGAGGGGAGAATTTAAAAAAAGAAGAAGCAACTAAAAATAAAAACAGCGTGGAACAAAAATAAAAATACGCGCAAAATGGCGGAAGAAAAAAAAACTAAAGGAAGGAAAAAAACTATTTGTTGTAAACATTTTTTGATTCGGCGGAAACCACTCCACTATAAAATAAATAGTTTTTTGGGAGGAAATTAAAATAGAAAAGAAGTTGAGTATTTAAAGAGTTCTTTATTTTGTTGGGGGGGGGGGGGATTAAAATTGAGGAAATAAATAAATAAAAATATTTTAAAAAAACAACCAACAAAATAAATACTTGTACTGAAAAAATAGGGGGAAAAGAACTGGAGGAACAGGAAATTTAAGAGGAGGGGAATGGTTGCCTCTAAAAAGGTACTAAATATTTTAAATAAAAGGAACAATAGATTTGTCCAAATTTAAACAAAAATTTTTATAATAGTAAGAAAGACCTTGTTTTATAAAATCCCTATTAAATTTGGATAGAATTCTTTTAATCTTTCGCGAATTCCCCCGATAGATCCCACTAATATAGAAAAGTTACAATTCTCATTAGTAGGGATCGGATTTGTATTGAAATATATTTTTTTTTCCTGAATATATTATGTCGAGAAAAGCCCAAATATGCCATTAGTCTTTCGGTATTATGATTTTGAACAAAGTTACATTTCAATATATTTCAATATTTTGCCAATTTCCCCGTTATTTCAATATTTCGCGTTTTTTTCAAATTATTTCAATATTTTTGCATATTTTTACAAAATTTTGGGATTTTTCATAAATTTTAGGAAAAAAGTGAAGAAATCTAGACGTTTGACAACCAAAATTCTCAAAATTTTCGCCTGCGGCGCTGAAAAGGGGATGTTATGGCCTACAGTGCTGTCAAAATGTGTAAATGACCAAAGGTCCCCATAAAGGCCCATTCCAAAATGCTTCGCCCTTAAAATGTCCCACAGGACAAAACCCGAAATGGCACATTGAGAAAACCCACAAAATGTCCCACCCTCATTTTATCAATCAAAAAATGTCCAAGAGAGTAAAAATACTCGATTTGTCGAGCTATAAAGTCGATTTTAAAAACGTGGTTATTTTTTTTGTTAAATTTCAACTTTTTTTGGAGGTTTTCTAGTGAATAAACGATAATTTATTTCAATATTTAGCTAGTTTTTTCCATTTTTTGTCAATATTTTGCCACTTTATTTCAATATTTTATGGCCATATTTTCCGATTTTATTTCAATATAAATCCGATCCCTACTCATTAGGTACCCCTCTAACATTAAATTCTTAAAAAATTAAAAAAAATTCCTATGTCCTTCTTATTTATTCAATTTATTAATTCGAACTTCTTTATAATATTAGAGTTGGCCGGGATCGGGATCCCGGTCGGGATCGGGAGGGATTATCCCGGGTTTTTCAAATCCCGATACCGGCCAACTCTATATAATATATGTCCGGCTGGCCGAAACTTGCGGACCGACTTTTGCGGACAAAAACTTACGGACCCGACGAATTTCTCGAAACAAAGCTCATTCGAAAGAGCTCGACGAGCTGAGTCGAATGACATCAAAATCATCGTGATTGTACAAGCTTGGACAAAGTTACGATAGAAAAACAAAAACATAAACCCCTGGTCCGCAAAAGTCGGTCCGCAAGTTTCGCACTACCATATGCCCTTGGGGTTGAAAAATTATAGACTAAAATGAGTTGGTCACTAATGTGGATGTATCATTAATCCGTCTCCCTTCTATCAATGACAAACAAATCAAAAAAATCGCACACTGATACATTGGTAGGGTATAGGATTGAAGGGTCCGAATATCCAAAATAAAGTCCGGATATACGGAAATTTTTGGTTCGAATATCCAATCCGGATATCCGGAGATTTCATAGCATCTGCCACCCTTAGTGGGTTGGCAGATAACTAGTTGACTTAAAAATAAATTTATTTATTTACTGGTTTATCAAAAAATAAATATAAAAATTAAAGTACTCCATTTAATTATTTATCCTTTTTTATTATCATTTATCTTTTAATCTCTTAAAAGACCAGATTTATTTATTTTATTAAAAAAATAAAAACAAGTTTATAAATGATTTTTGATTTTATAATTAATTAATTATATATAATTTTTATTATTATTAATTATCGAAGTCAATAACCAGGTGCCGTTCGAGGTGGTGGGCAATGATCCTTAAATTATTAAAATAAAATAATTAAATTAATCTCAACTTAAGGTCGGATTTTCCAATTTAGGATACCTCAGACCTTAATGTATGATTTTTTTCTAATTTTTATTCCACTTCCCCAAAGGCTCATATCAAATGCGCATACACAATTCTAAACCCAGACAAGTCTTCGACTCGAAATTCTGGTCCAAGAAAGATAATCCCTGTCCGATACCCTACCCAAGGAATCTTCGAAAACCTGATCAAAAATATATACTAATACATAGTATGGAAGACTTTGTTCTATAAAATCCCTACTAATTATTATCCTAATAATATATACTAATAAATAGTATGGAAGACTTTGTTTTATAAAATCCCTATTAAATCTGGATAGAACTCCCTTAATTTTTCGTTAATCCCACAATAGATCCCACTAATAAATTAAAGGTACATTCCCGATACAGGTATATTTTTTTATTTAAACTCACACATCCACCAGGTATCCCAGGCAATCCTTTCGGTCCTTGAGGACCTTGTTTTCCAACTCTTCCATTTCTGCCATTTTTTCCTTGATCCCCTGGAGGGCCACATATTCCTGGAGGACCGCTAATACCAACAAAACCAGGATTTCCTTTAAATTTCAGTTAAAATGTAAATATTTTTAACTAAAGTTCACCAGGTAATCCTTGAGGTCCAGGCAATCCAGGTCTGCCAGGAGGGCCTGGAGGAACTGAAAAAATAATGAAGATTATGTATAATTATATACCTTCCAGTTGATAAAGTTCGCCTGGAATTCCTGGCAATCCAGGCTGAAATATAAGATTTTAAATACTTAACTAAGTCTTTTCCAGGAACAAAAAGTTCCCTTATAATTCACTACAATTATCAAATACCTGTCCAGGTATTCCCATCAATCCTGGAGGCCCTCTTTCACCAATTGTCCCTCTCTGTCCAGGTTGACCATTCAATCCATCTTGACCTTTTATACCAGGTAATCCATAACTGCCTGGAGGGCCAGAAGGACCAGGAGGGCCCGGAAGGGCCGGTAAACATTCAAAACAAAAATCAATCATTATCTGCTCATTTTGTGCATCCTCTCCAGGAATGCCATCGTTTCCGTTATCTCCATCTTTACCTTAATTTAGAGATTAGAAAAATATTTTTTATATATGTAGTCTTTCACAATTAAGATACTCACTTTGGGACTGAAAACTCGGGCCATATAGAGGTGTAGCTTAAAAAGAAGGTATCGTGTAGGCAGCTCACCGCATCCAGTGGCCAACCAAATTAAAAAAAACGTCTCTTAGAGGTGTATCCGTTATGTCCGAGGGCTGTTCGAAGTTGTTCGAGACGATGGAGATCAGGGACTAGCCGGAGTGGCATGATCCAATTAGAATGATGCTAACAGTGACTTCTATACTATAGTGATACCACACACAACAGTCTCTTATAGGGAGTAGCTTATAATGAGGTTTAAGGCTATCTTAATTAGGGTGTATCTAATATTGTGTGTATCCTACAGTGAGATCCGACTTTATTATCAAAAAAATGCCTGGATATCCATCCCTTCCTGGCGGCCCTGGAAGGCCTGGATTAGACTTCTCACAACTTTGAGTATTTATTTTTAATTCATAAGCTGGATATGTTTGTGAAGGAGTCATTACATAACTAGAAGAATAACTACTGCTGCTAATATCAGTAGAAGAATATTTAGCCGTTCTTTTTTGTGTATTTGTTGGCCTTTAAAATTTGAAAATAATTTTTTTAATTTACATTCAACCTCATTATTAGGTAGTACAATATTTCAGCCATATTTCCCGGAAAAATAGTCGCTTATAATGAGATCTAATGAGATCTATTAAAAAGCCCCATCCAATGGCAACCAAATTTTGGAGAACGAATCTAATATTGGGGGTATCTTATAATGAAGTGTATCTTAAATAGAGGGTATCGCTTAGATAGCTCCTTCATCCAGTTGCCGAACAAATGAAAGTCTTTGAAAAGGAGGTTATCTAATATTGGATTATCTAATTTCATTCAAAACACCTCTTTCGTAAAGAAGTCCCTTGATGCCTTAGAGGAGTAATTGAATTAGAATTTTCTTCTTTTAATTTACCAACAGTTCCACTTCCTTTAAGTAATTGAGTAAAACGACGCCTTCGACGTTTAATCAGAAATAAATCAGTTTGCATTTCAGGAGTAATTAACGAAAATTTTTTGACTAAGATTTCAGTCTGTTCTGAACAAAAGTCCAATTCAATCTTTGAAAGAAAATAAAATTTATTTTAATTGGGAACAATTTTAATATTACAGTCGAACTTCCACCCAATATTAGATACAAGGGATGGTCGGGAGTTAAAAAAGGCCGAAAGTTGAGATTGAAAATCGACCCCGAGACTGAGAGCTCAAAAAACCTGAGAAATTTCTCGACGGGAACCGAAACCGTTAGTCTCGACCACCATTATTCGGGAGTTAAAAAAGGCCGAAAGTTGAGATTGAAAATCGACCCCGAGACTGAGAGCTCAAAAAACCTGAGAAATTTCTCGACGGGAACCGAAACCGTTAGTCTCGACCACCATTATTATCACTATTATACCCCTTCTATTTTAAGATACCCTTTAAAAATTACCTAACCAATACCCCTAAATTTAGGAGTATGGCTTGGATAGATGCCTCACATTCTTTAGATGCCCCACCTTCTTAATTTGTCAAGATTCTCATTTTAAAGCACCTACTTTTTTCTACATAATTAGCCACCCCTTCCTAATTTAACTCACAATCAGTTGGACGTTGAGTATTTTTTAAAAGAAACCACTCATCTTAATGTACACTCTATTTAAGAGACGTTTTTAAGATTTGGTTGGTTATCGGTTGGGGGAGCTAACTAAGCAATACTCTCTATTTAATGTACATCCCGTTAAAAGAGACTAATCTTGCCCTAAGGGTATATCTTATAAAGAGGTTCGACGGTAATTTAAAATAACCTGTAATTGTGACTGTATATATTGAATATAACTAAACAAAAAAGGAACAAGAATAACAGCACCAACGGTACACAAAGTTGAAATAATAATTGAGAAAAAGGCTAAACGTTTAAATTGTTTTTCGTGCCAATTTAATTTATTGTCTCTATTTATTATTATAACCATTCTTGAGATTTTCTTGGAGTTTTTGGAGATTTTCTTGGAGCTTCAATAAGAAGCTATAAATAAGCTAAAAATTAATTCAGTCAATAAATCTCTCTCTGTTGGAAAGTTGCAAATGTAAGGAAACAAAATGGATTTTAGTCGGGTTGAGGGATTATGAGTGGATGAAGTTGGAAGAAGCCCCGCGGGGAAATTGTTTTTTTATTTTTGTGTAGTAGAGTTACTAGTAAGCAGTCGCGGCTTATGATGTACAAAAGACTCAATGTCAGCCTAATTGGATCATACTAACCTAGCCAGTTCTTGCTCTCCTTCGTTTGATCTACCCGCAATGTCTTCTTCAAGCTATTCCTTCTTCGACATGTTCCCAACTTTTTACTTAAAAGGGTTCTTGTTTATTTTACGTTGTTTATTCTTGTTCTTCGATTTAGACAAATCTCAGACAGACTTAAGACATAAAAATGAGAGAGAGAAACTTGAAAAATATACTTATTTATGGCAAAACATTTTTTGATGATTTTGGGCCAAAAATATTTGTTAATAAATAATATAAGATAGAACATAAAGGAGTTCTTTCTAACAAATAAGGGGATTTGCTTTAATTAACTCTGGTTGCAAAAGGAAAACAGAATTATTGTAAGCCTGCCAGCTCTTTAATTTATAATTCAAAATTGAAACCATCAATTTGTGCTAGATTCTTCAGCTTTCGGGTTAATTCTATTCAACCACAATTTTTCTGTAAAAAATATGACAGGCTTATCGAGGAGGCTTATCTATACCTTAATGGTGCTAGGGAGACGAAAAACCCCGGTAATCGGAAAATACCTCAGGAGTCGTGATAAAAACTCGGGAACTTTTCCCGAGTCGGGAGTCGGTATCGGGATACCCAAGCATCACTACTATACCTACCTGTTTATACAAAAGTCTTAATAATATTATAAATAAATATAAATTATTTGTTCCCAATTATTTAATTAAAATAATTTCAAATAATTAAAAACAAATTTACCCCTAAACTAAAATTTATTTAGTTTTATAGATGGTATTTTTTATTTATTTTATTATTTATTTTTAATTGTTTTATTAAATTTACAAATGTTTTTCTAAAAAATAAACTAAAATATTTTTTGTATAATAAAATAAATAAAAAATACCATCTATAAAACTAAATAAATTTTAGTTTAGGGGTAAATTTGTTTTTAATTATTTGAAATTATTTTAATAAATTAAGAATAAATAAGTCGAATTATCTTTCCAAAATTGTTTAATTTATTTTAGGTTTCTCCATTTACTTAAATTTTCCCAAAAATTGTCAAAAAACTAGAGATAAAATTTTAACTAGGAAATCTTACGCCCCCTTTGGTTTTTGACTATTTCAAGCCCTTACCTCGGTCCACAGATATCTCCGGATAAAAGAGTGACTGTTCGACTTAGCACTTTTTTTACCATATATATGACATTTTGAACATTAATTTGAGGGGGGTGTGACAGAACGGAAAAGTACAAAATCGGAATTTTCGGGATTTTGATTCGGAAAATCCGGTCCGGATTAAAAAAATTTTTTTGTAAATCCCGAAACCGTATCCGGCATTTCCCAAATTTTATACTTTAATTTTAATTTTGCTTCAACTTCCATAATAAATTACATTAATTATAACCCTAATTATAAACTTCATTGAAGGACAATTTTAAAAATTAAAGGAAATATTTAAATTAATTTAGCGTTCCACACAAATAGGTATTTATTTTTTAAATTATTTAAAAATTAAAGTTTGGTCTATTCAAAAAAAATATTTTTTTTAATTTTTTAATTTATTTAAGTGACGTCCAAGTGTTTCACGATCTTTGTAAAAAATTTTAAAAATAATTTAATTAATTTTTATTTAATTTTTAAAAGGCTTTATAAAAATAAATGATTTTTGATTTTAATTAAAGATGGCCTTTAAAATTATTATTTTTATTTTTTAATTTATTTATTTAACCACACAAACAAAAAATAAATTTTTTGATCATATTACCGTTACTAAAAAATATTTAAAGTAAATAATATTAAAGTTAATGATCACTCTCTCCTTCAATTTTATTTTTTTTTTCATTGCAACTTTAAATAAAACTGCTACCACCTTGCTACTTTTTTCTCATTGTTTGTAGTTTAAAGTGAAAATATAAATATTTATTTGTGACTAAAAGGCTTTAAAATTAATTTTTATTGTAATAAAGCTAAGCCCAGCTATTTTTTCGTTAGCTATTTGCAAAACGGGGGAGTGAGATAAGTAGGGGGAGTTAGGAGGGGGAGTTGGGAGCTGGGTTAGAAGTTAGCAGCTGGGAGCGTACCAGCATCTTCAGTTGACCAGAATGATGTGCTATCCCTCACTATATGCTTTACGTTGTAAAAGAAAAATTTTTAAATTTATTTCTCTGTAAGGCAGACAAAGTTACTTCCAAGTGTCAAAGTTGATAAATTAACTGAAAACCAAAAGTCAGTTGGGGGTGGTTGAATGGATAACTGCAACGTTACAACTTTCCCAGAAAAATTTTTAGAATATCAGAAAATATTGATATCTTATTTAATAGCCAAAAGGCTTTGACTAGAAAACGAAGAAAAAAATTGTAAACTACAAAAAAGGAGAGCACACAAATTGTTGTTTGTTTGTGTTTGCATCAGTTGCGGATTGGACAATTGCGGACATCAAATTTGGCGTGACACTTTTTGGCGTCTTAACTTAAAGTCTTCACCATAAGATACTCCTTAAATTATTCTAGATGCAGTCAAACATTCCCTGATAGGCATTCCTTCCCCACGTCATTCTCCGACATACGACAGCTGAAATTGGCCTCAATGAGTGATCTATGAGAGGAAGTTGACTGTACTCTGAGATAATCAAGTCATTGGTAAGTGGGGGAGCTGTCTAAGAGATATCCTCTATTTAATATACCTTCATTATAAGCCCCAATGGGTGCTCTATAAGAGGGCGTTGTCTGTTCTGTGCTAAGGTAATTGGTCACTAAATGGGGCGGCTGCCTAAGAGATATCTTCTATTTAAAATACCCTCATTATAAGGTATTCAGTCCCAAGAGGTTAAGAATGAAGTATTCCATAGAAACAAACCCAAAGGGGTATCTAAAATTAGGTAAATGATCGTGGTTTATAAGCGTACCAATTAATGTTTGCGCCGATTTTTCTCTTAGCAATAGCGTCTGCAAATGTCTGCAAACGTCATTTGTGGGAGTGTGTGTGTGATTGAACCGGTTCAAAAAAATAAAAAATAAAATGAAGAGGTCGTGAACCTTTTAATAAATTTTCTTCTTTTTCTCCTTTCATTTTCTCTCTTTTGATTATTTTTATTTACAATTTAAAAAATTTTTCATTGCGCAGTTTGTGGTTTCTTTTTGGCCAGTAAACCTTTATTTATTTAATTAGTCGAGAAATTGGTTTATTAGGCGGGGGAGAACTAACTGGGTATTTTAATAAATATTTTGTTTGTTTCAATTTTTAGTACTTTATTTTATTATATCATATGATTTTTGTTGATTTAAAAATAGTAAATGTTTACTTTTATTTTAATTTGTAAATACAGATTGGACCTCACGGTCATATCTTCTAGAGATCGAGCTGGGCCTGGACCAAGGCCTGGGTTTTTCCTGTACCCAGAGTCCAGGCATTTTTTTACCTTCCTGGGTTTTTCCTGTGTTTTTCCTGGACTACAAGCCCAGGATCCGGCCCAGGTTAATAAATCAAACCAGGAACCCAGGAACAGGCCCAGGCTTTTCAAAAATCTCGATCTCTAATATCTACCATTGGTGCTAACATTGGCATACACTCTTGGAGTAGAAAAAATCCTAACTTATAATGAGGTGTGTTTTAAATAAACTAGCGTCCATTGGCACATCCCCTACCCAATGGCCAACCAATTTTTAAAATAACGTCTCTTAAATAGAGGGTGTATTGGGGATATTCCTATAATGAAGTTCGACTGTATTTAATTTAAAATTTTAGAAAAATTTAAAGAAAAATTTTTTAAAATGGTCCAAATGTGGTGTATGGAAGCATATCCAAGTGGAGATCCTCGATTACCTCACCATTGTTTTCCTCCAAAAGTTGTTAATCCTGATGAATTAACTAAAAAGACTGGTGCTCAGTATTATAAGGTGATTATTTTTAAATTAGAATAAGGCAGTACTTAAAAAAGTTTACCTCATTTAGTATCAGTTATCCAGCGAGGGATTTTGTGAGATCTATCCCAAAAAAAAGATTTTTGTATATTTGCCAAATTTTAGAAAATTTTGGCAAAATGTTTTTTTTAATTTTTTGGCGTTTAAAAATTAAAATATCTTACAATTAACGCCTACGGCGCTGTTTTTACTTTTTCGTTTAGAACTAACTGTTTTCGGTTTCAGCAATGTCAGGGTCGGGATACGACTCTATTAAGTCTATTGTAGATGGCAATTGTGTCGAATTTGGGTCCCGTTGAAAAATTAATTTAAAATATTGCGAGAACATTCTAAGAGTTACTTTCGTTGTTGATCACGAATCTGAACTCAGCTTTTGTCTAACAATTGATTTTATCTATGATTTCGGACACTAAGTCGACACAATTGCCTTGTATACATAAAAAATTTTGTTTTATTTTTCTAGTTAGATATTGAAGACCAAATTGCATTATCCAAACGTATAGCTATAGTTAAACTTGAACGAAACCTTTCAAGAGAAGATACGCTAACTTTGGATGCTCAATCAACCGTTGATTTTGAAGATAAAGTTTTTTGGAACTTTTGAAATCTTTCTAAAAATTTAATTTTTTAAAGATGAAGGAAATGTTTGAAGAAACTGAATGTGAAGAAGACCAAGCTAGAATGGTTATGGATGGCTCTGTTTATTTTGATTTGGAAGCAAATGATGGGCAATGGATTCGGGTACTTTGGTAGGTTGGTTTTAGTAGGAAAATTTAAGGGAAGGAAAAAAGGATTTGGTGATTAGTGAAAGGAAGTTGGTTAAAAATAAGATACACCTCTATTTAAGATGCATTTTTAAAGTCTAGTTGACTACTGGGTGGGGAGCAGAGGTGGGTCGGGACGTCAGAAGTGTCGGAAATCGGAAGAGCCGGAAATCGGAACTGGCTCAAAAGTCGGAAATCGGAAATCAAAATTTTTTCGGAAATCGGAAGGAAAAAACGTCGGAAATCGGAATTCCGACCCACCGCTGGTGGGGAGGCTGCCTAAGAGAAGAAGCTACTTTGGGAAGCTGCCTGACCTCTTATAAGATCCACCACCCTATGAGATAGACCCTATATTGGATACGCCCCTATTTAGGATACTCTTGTTTAAAGTTAGTTGGCTACTGGGTAAAAGAACCTGTATAAGCGTACCCTCTATTTAATATACACCTTATTATAAGGTACGATTTTTCAACTTTGGGGGTGTATGTTGTTTTAGGGAGGTCCGAATTATTTTACTAACATAAATCTTAAGATTATATTTTTAGTGAATATGGCGATTTAATTTTAATCAAAGCTGGTACTTGGTATAGAATGGCAACAACACCAAAGGTGTTATTAAATTAATTTAAAGAATATTAAATTTTTTTAGAATTTTGTGAAGATTCGTCGTTTCTTCAAGGCAGACGAAAACAAGGAAAATTGAGAGGAAAATGGAAATTGAAGGGAGACGTTTAAAATGCCAAGCAGAACTGCCCAAGTAAAAATATTTTTTGGACCGAAAAGATTTTCTTTAAATTTTTATATTTAGAATATATTCTCGTTTAGTTGAAGTGTATATTCTTTTTCTAAACGTAATCATTAAGCTTGCAAATTAAATTTTTGGAAAATGACTAGGATTAAAAGGGAGGAATTTTATAGATTTATGTTAAATTTAAAAATCTGAAAATTAATAATTAATTTTAAAAAAACTATTGAATGATTTTTAGTAAAAGAATATACCCACAAAAATGATTTAATTAGTAATAATTTTTTTGGTATTTCAAAATAATTAATATAAGTATTAAATAATAAAAAAATAAATTTATTTTTAACAATCTTTTAGAGTTTCTTTTCTAAAAGCGGCTTCCCTGCAAATGAGACCTCCTTCTATTAGATAATCTTGTGGTCTTAATTTCGAGTTTGATATCCGAACCCTTCGAATTCCCTTCCAAATCTCGAGTGATTTTTAACGACCATAGTTTATAGAATGGGCCCATTTTGAAGGGACCATTTTTTAGAGGATTTACGGCATTTTTTGAATAATACATTTTGTTGAAAAAATGAATTTTAATAGAATAATTAAAAATAAATAAAAAATACCAGCCATACACCAAAATTTTAGTTTAGGGGTAAATTTATTTTTAATTAATTTTTAATTTTATTTTAATAAAAAATATATTCCTTAATTGATTAAATAAACAAAACCAGCTTTTTTCTATTCATTGCTTTGTCCCAAAAACCTTTTAGAAAATTAGTTATAGGTGGGAGGAGGTTAAAAGTAAGGGGGAAATAATAAAAAGAAATATTTCCCTATTTGATTTTTCTTTTGATTAATCAACAAATACATATGTTGTTCAAAAATATTTTATTTATTTTTTTAATTTTATTTTTTATTCAAAAATGTTTTGCAACATTTTCGTCGTCATTTCGAGAGTTTTTAAAAAGTTATGGAGGAGAACAACTCGATAGGGAACTTTCACGTGAAGATGTTGGAGCTGGGGGAAGTTTTGGTGGTGGAAATCATAAAGTTGGGGAACAGACAAGGCACGAAATTTTATTGTAAAATAACCAAACCTCGCTATAATATACACCCTTGGGTTGAGAAAATGATACCTTATGAAGTTAAATAGAAGGTATTGTGAGGTTTAGCTAGTGTTGGAAGCAGTGTTTGGAAGCTCGTACCAAAATTCGTATAAAACAGGCCAAATTTTCAAAATTCCAAACCCTGGGTTGGAAGTATCTTATAGTAGGTTTGACTGTTATGTATAGAATAGTAAAGCTAACACTAAATATTACCCGCTATTGAAACTAAAAACGAAGACCGGTGGTTAGAAACCGTTACTAAATTAAACTCGATAAGCAAAACCATAAAACCGACATTTGTGCCACCTTCCTGAAATCTTAAAATTTTTGCCTTTAAAATCTCGCCCTTTTAATTTTTAATTAAAATTTGTATTTTTTAAAGACTTCGTCCGGTAATTATAGTTCATGGCATAACAAACAGCGCTGGACAATTTGAACAAATTAGACAATATTTTTTGGTATCTTAAAAAAATTTCTTAAAGAAATTTTATTTTAAATTAGACTCATGGTTATGGAGATGAAGAAGTTTATGCAACAACATATGGAGATGCTGGGAAAACAAATGTTTTGTTTGTAACAATGCAGTGCCATTATGTTAAAATGGTTAATAAATAGATAGTTGAACCTCTATATAATATACACCCAATACAAGATACACCTCTATTTAAGAGACGTTTTTAAAATTTTGGTTGTCCAGAGTAGGGTACCTTATCAGGCGATACCCTCTATTTAGGATACACCGTTATAAGGTACCTTCTCTATAATATACACCCAATACTAGATGCACCTCCATTTAGGAGACATTTTTAAATTTTGGTTAGATACTGGGCGGTGGAGAATACCCTCTACATAAAACGATTTTTTCAGCCCTGAGGGGTATCTATAAATGAAGTTCAGTTGTAATTAAAATAACTAAAAAAAATTTTTTTATCAAAAAGATTCGTTTAATGATACAAACAGTTGCTCAATATACCACAAGTAAGGTTAACATAATTGGAATTTCTATGGGATCTCCAATTGCAAGAAAAGTAATCTTTTAAAAAATTTTTGAAATTTTTTTAATTTTCAAGGCAATAATGGGAGGCAATTGTGTAGATACCAACGATCATTTAGGGCCCCCATTAACTGATTTAATACACACTTTTGTTGGAGTAGCCGGCGCTAATTGGGGTTCATTTCTTTGTATTATTCCCATTGGAAGTTGTAATTTAATTAATGGAATGGCTTGTGGCTCGAAATTTTTGAATGATATTAATTCGAGGTTTAAATGGTGGAAGAATTGATTTTTAAAATTTAATTTAGACAAAGATATGAGGGCAATTTTATTTTTACAATATTTTCAACGGGTGATGAGAAAGTGGGTTACCAAGCTTGTGGACGTGTAGCCAGCAGTATTGCTGGGGAAAATCAAAACTTTAAGGTAAAAAAGGAATTTGAATTAGAGGTCGGCGCGGGACGGGATCCCGCGCGGGATTTTGCGGGATCCCGTCCCGCAATCCCGCACTTTTTTCGATTTGCGGGATTTTGCGGGAATGCGGGATTTTGCGGGATTTATCCCGCGGGATCCCGTCCCGCAAAGGTTTTAAAAAAAATTTCATCCCGCGGGATCCCGCAAAATATTTTGAATTTTGCGGGATTTTTGGAAAATGGAGGATTTTGGCTCCTAACCTTCTAAATTCAAAAAATTTTCGCCTGCGGCGCAAGAAAAAGGGGAATTTTAGCTCGCTGGCCTTCCTAAAATCTCGAAATTTTTGCCTGCGGCGCTGAAGAAGGAAGGAATATTGATACTTGGCCTTCCAAAAATTTCGGCTGTCGCCCAAGGAATCATCACTATTTCATCAAAACAAAATTGACAAATTGTTAGATCACGATGATTGAACCCATTTGTTTCAGCTCAAGCTATTTTATCTCGTATACTCGAACTCGTATACATGTCCCTTATGATTTTTTGATAATTAGGGACCGGTGATAAGTGCATTTTTACCAACTTGTACTCGTAATTTGGTACTAAGTACGATACGTGTACGAGCAACGAGTACGAGTTAAGAACCCGTTATTGATTAAAAAATTGATATGAAATCAAAAAACACTTAGGTCAAGGATATGTATTGAGCAAAATGTCGATCCATTGGAATGGCGTAGTATTAATGCGAGAACTTTTAAAATTTTGGCTCAAGAAAACTTTGGCACCCTAAGCCCTTGATATCCCTCCGAACCTACCGATATCCCCATAATTCACGCTAAATCCCTCATTAGCTCCTTTAATCCCCTCAGATCCACTGGTTAAACGTAATTATTTGTTAAACTTTTAATATATTTATTAAATTTTCTTTTTTTTCAATTGAGATTGATCATTTTAGCGATTTTTGAAAAATCCCGCAATCCCGCGCGGGATCCCGCAAATTTAAAATGCGGGATTTTGCGGGAATGCGGGATTTTGCGGGATTTATCCCGCGGGATCCCGTCCCGCAAAGATTTTTAAAAAAATTTTATCCCGCGGGATCCCGCAAACACGATTTTGCCGACCTCTAATTTGAATACAGTAAAGCCTGACTATAAGATACACCAAAAACTAGATACACCTCTATTTAGGAGACGTTTTTAAAAATTGATTGTTCCCCTCTCAACTAAGTCCTCAATTCATGATTCGTCTTTTTAGCCAGAAGAGGATATCCAAAAGCGAGGGATCGAGTTAACATAAAAATATTAGTTAAAAAGTTTATAGAATATTAATGTAGTTGTAGGGGATATTATTTAGAAAAAAATTTTTAAAAATCAAAATTTAATCATAAGTACAGTAATACATATTTCCGTTTAGAAAATATTAAATTATTTGGCATAATGTTTTTTAATTACTGATAAAAAAATTTCCTAATTTTATCAAATTACTCGTTTTTTAATAATTCTAAAAAATTATAAATTCTCTAGCACGACGGTTTAAATCATGATCAGGTGATATTCAATACGGCTGCAATGCAATACAATTTAGTTACTTATGGACAACCTCAGAATCCTTAAAATTGATAAATTATGTTCTAACACTTGAAAATCAAAGAATTTTTTTCATTATCGAATTATTATCATATCTCTTCTGACACCTGAAAAGCAAAGAATTCTTTGATTTTCGTGTGTCAGAAAAAATAATAATGTTAACTATTGTTTTTTATTTTTAAGGCAACAAAATCTCAAAAATAATTTTATTTCAGCATTCACTCACAAAAAATATATACATTTATTTATTTAATAATCATAGAGAACTTTAATGTTCTTCCTTCTCTCAATCCTATCATTGTTGAAAAGACTCCAATTGAACTTCTTTTGAATGTTGTCAGGTACAACTCGCCACACAAATGTTATACGGTCGACTTCTGTATCCGTTGTTGCTGGATCAAAGCTGCCTAGTCAAAGCAATTCTTTTCGCTTCCCCTGGACCAAGAAATCCCACACCAGGTTTGGCTTCTCAACGTGTTGTGGTTCGACGAAAATGTTAAACAATGGTATGTGAAGAAGCATTGACAATCTGGAATGGTTTGATTTTTTTGAAATTTAAAAAATTTTTAAAAAAATTTTTTAGTTTCTGATAGAACAAATACAGATGTTAAAAGTGATGATGATGAAGAGGAAGAAGAAGATGACCAAGAAGTGGAAGAAGTTGAGGGAGTGGATGATACTTCTTCTAGTTCTTCAAATGGAAATGTTGAGGTTTTTTTTAATGTTTTTAAAAATTTTTTGAATTTTTCTTGTTAGCAAAATTAAAAGCTTGCTAAAAAATTTCTTTTTATAGGAGGCGGAAGAAGATGTTGCTGTTTTGCCAGACAACTTTTCTGATGTTGTCACAATTAGTGCAAACCTAGCTTAAGTGGAAGTAAACTTCCTGGCAGAGAAACTCCTTTCTCTAATCATGTGGAACAGAATAATGGTTTTTAAAAATTTTTTAATTAAAAGATTTTTTTAAAGATCCTTCAATAATTGAAAATTCTTCTTTAACAATCCCAACATTTTCAAATACTTTATCTCAACAAGAAGCAAATCTGAAAGTTTAGAAGTAAAATTTGGAAAATTTGTTCTTCAAATTGACAGCACTCGAAATGGTAAGAAAAAAGGGAAAATTTTTTGAGGGTAGAGAGAGTTTTGTGGTGAGGTTAGGGTGCCTTCAAAATACGGGCTGGACGCAATTGCAAACAAATTTTTCGCAAGTCAAAAAACAAGCAATCCGCAACTGCGTCCAGCCCTGCTCTATATCTACCAATATCCCCTCCAAAAATCTAATTTTTACTGGGCCGTTTGTGGACATAAAACCTATATTAATGTTTGTTTTCTTTTTTTAACTGCTAATTTTAAACCCATAATCTTTAAAATTGTAGATTGTCAATGCTTCTTCACATACCATTGTTTACCATTTTCGGCGAACCACAACACGTTAAGAAGCCAAACCTGGTGTGGGATTTCTTGGTCCAGGAGAAGCGAAAAGAATTGCTTTGACTTGTGGAAGCTTTGATCCAGCAACAACGGATACAGAAGTCGACCGTATAACATTTGTTTGGCGAGTTGTACTTGACAACATTCAAATGAAGTTCAATTGAAGTCTTTTTGACAATGATGGGTTTGAGAGAAGAAAGAACATTAAAGTTCTCTATAATTATTAAATAAATAAATGTATATGTTTTTGTGAGTGAATGTTGCAATAAAATTATTTTTGAGATTGTGTTGCCTTAAAAAATCCGAAAAATGTTATTCATTAACATTATTATTTTGAACATTTCTCCTTTAAATTTTTTATATTTTTTAGAGATGTTTATTGTTAAGTCTAATTTGTCTTCTGTATTTCTTCGTCAACCTCGAGTTTCTTTTTGTTTAAGTGTTGCTAGTTATTATGGAGGAGACCGTCCACAATATGATAATCAACAACGATATCAAAATCGTGACAATCGTTCTGAGGGATATGGAGATCAACGGCCCTATTATATTCAAAATTTGAGAAATACAAAACGTGTGGGTGGAGATGCTCAATTGTATTTTTTTATTTTTTTAAATTGGATTTTTATTTGATTTTTAAAGTTATCAGAATCGTGGACCATACAGACCTAATGTTTCTGGATATGGAGGGAATAGAATGACGAAAAATAGTTTTGCAGGTTTTTAAAGACTTACAATTAAGGTGCATTTGACTCCCCTCTATTTTACGTTGAGGTTTTTTGGTATTTAGTCGGTTAGACTTTGATTGATTAGATTGATTACTTTGATTTTTTAGACTTTGATTCAGCCCGAAACATTTAAAGTTTATCATTAGCATACAAGGGCATTTTTCTATTTGTTATCCAAATAATAACCCGAGAAAATTACCGCTGGTTAATGATCTCATTCAGACTCACTTTCCGCCTAAATAATGTCACGGAATTTTAAAGTTGCCAGTAACCCCAAAAGTAAATTGAAATGAAAAACTGCGGGTACTACTAGGCAGGGTCGAGATGAAAATCCGTACGTCTCTTATGATTTATACGTATAACTCGAGAAAATTACCAAAAGTCCTTGTCTCCTAGTTAGTTAGGCTATCATGAAAACTTTTTTCTATTTTATTTTTGTAATTATTAATTTATTTTAAAAGGAAGCAACTTACGTCCAGTTGATTGGAATAAACATCAATTGCCCGAAATTAGAAAAGATTTGTATAAAGAACATGAAAATGTTACAAATCGTGAATTGGATGCAATTAGAGAATGGTTAAAAGAGAATGAATGTATAATTCGAGGACAGGAAGTTCCGCGACCAATTTTTGAATTTATTGAAAGTGGATTTCCAGGTTTATTTTTGTTTAAAGTTTCTTTAAGAAATATTTTTTAGAACCAATAATTGATTTGCTTTCGAAAAATTATGAGTCTCCTATGAGCATTCAGGTTGTTTTTATTTTTTAATTTAATTGCAAAATCATTTTCAGTGTATTTCATGGCCAGTAGCATTAAGTGGTCGAGATATGATTTCTATTTCTAGAACGGGATCAGGGAAAACTCTTGGATTTATTCTGCCGGCAATCATGCATGCAATGAGGTTTTTTAACTAAATTATCGGCACTTAAGTATATAGCTGCTATTCTTTTAGAGAACTTTTTCCTTATATGTTTGTTCCTGACCCACAACCCTGAAATGGGGAAAAAGAAATATTTAGGAGTGAAAATTTTTTGACCTACGACCCTCAAAATTTCTCAAAATTCTCGTCTGTGGGGCAAAAATCATAATTTTAATAGGGGACAAGTTTACTAAAAATTTTGCATTATCAGCACCTCCATTTTTCTAAATTCTAAATCACCTACAAATATTTTTTAAGTCAACCTCCTCGTCGTCACGGTGATGGTCCTTCTGTTTTGGTTCTCTTGCCAACAAGAGAGTTGGCTCTTCAAGTGCAAGAAGTTGCCATTGAATTTTGCAGGATAATGAATTTAACTGCATTTTGTTGTTATGGTGGAGCTTCAAAATTAACTCAAGGAAATATTTTACAACGAGGTTTTTATTTAAAAAAATATTTTTATTTTTAATTAAAGGTGTTGATATTTGCATTGCAACGCCTGGACGTTGTTTAGACTTTTTGGAAGCTAAAGTATTAAATCTGAATAGATGTACTTTTTTGGTTTTGGACGAAGCTGATAGAATGTTAGATATGGGATTTGAACCACAAATACGTTCAATTATTGGCCAACTTCGTGTATGATTTTATCTCAATTTTTCGAACACTTAAGTATGGGGCCATTTCCAGACTTCTGGCCAAAAATTTTTCACACAGAGTTCACTCCGAATTCCGATTTTTTTTACTTACGGTTTTCGAAAATTTACGACGATTTCTTACTTTTGAGCCTTTTCCGACTTTCGGCACCTTTGTCAGTTCCGACTGACCTCTGCCAAAAAAATTGACAAAAGTAATTTTTGATGTTTGAGTGAACCAAAAGCAAATCGGAAAAAAACCCATAAAAACAGTAATTAATAATTTAGAATGATCGTCAAACTTTAATGTTTTCTGCAACTTGGCCTAAAGAAGTTCGTGAATTAGCTAATGATTTCCACAAAGATCCAGTTCACTTAACTGTTGGTTCTCTTGAATTGGCTGCAAATCATAATATTGAGCAATATGTTGAAGTTGTTGATGAACGTGAAAAGGAAGAACGTTTTATGGAATTACTTGGAAAAATTATAAAAGAGGTTATATTTTTAATATCTTATCAGAAAGTTTTGATTGAAAAGGAATTTTAGAAAATATTTTGGTGCTTATAGGATTAGGCTGTTTCAAAAGTCATGTCTCTAAAAGGGTGCCGTCTATCGTGTTTTTTTCTGGATACCGATACAATAACTTAGATGTCATCTAGGTTAACATGATTTTTCTGGTATGGTGTTATCCGAAATAATTTACAAACACAAATTCTTTGGTGGCCTTTAGTGACAGCCAGAGGTGGGGGGATTCAGATTTCCGACGTTTTTTCCTTCCGAGTTCCGACTTTTAAGCCAGTTCCGATTTCCGGCTCTTCCGATTTCCGACACCTCTGACTGTTCCGACCCACCTTTAGTGACACTTCCTATAAAAAAGTTATTTTTATAAAATTGCAGGACGAATACAAAACATTAATTTTTGTTGCAACTAAACGTAAAGCTGATGATTTGACTCGTAATTTGCGCCGTGATGGTTTTTTTTGAGTCTGAAATTTATGTCCTAAATTGTATTTATTATAGGTGTAAAAGCATTGTGCATACACGGAGATAAATCACAAACTGAACGGGAATGGGTTCTTTCAGGTTAATTTGAACTAGATATGTATATTTTATCATTTTTATTTTTAGAATTTAAGAGCAATAAAATGCCTATTTTGATTGCAACTGATGTTGCTGCTCGTGGTTTAGGTAATTTTTCTAATAGAGTTTGGATTTTTCCTGAGTGTTGTTCCATATTCTTTTTTTTATGCCTGACTATGAAAAGCTGATCCGAACGAAGGATGGGGATGTCTCGGGCTGAGAAAATGCCTAGTCATTGTTTCAAATTTTCACCATGAAAACCGGGTTGAGAAACGATGTCTCGGGTGGTTTCAAAATTTATTTCATGTCGGGTTTCGGTCAAAAAAAACGTCCGAGCCTCAGGACCCTAAACACCCCTGATCCGAACTCATTAAAAGTAATTTAATAAAAAATATTTTTTAGATGTTGATGATATCAAATACGTAATAAATTATGATTATCCAAATAATTCAAAAGATTATATCCATCGAATTGGCCGTACTGGGCGTAGAAACAAAACAGTTAGTTTTTAAATTATTCTATTTTTTAAATAAACTTTTTTAGGGTGTAAGTTACACTTTCTTTACTCCTGGAGAGTCTGACAAAGCGAAGGATTTGATTGAAGTTTTGGAAGAAGCTAAACAAACCGTTCCAGATAGTCTTCGCAGTTTAGCAGAAAATGGTAACGGAAGAGGTGGGCAAACTAGGGGAGGACGCCCAGAATACCGAACACAAAGAGGTTATTATTGATTTATTTTTGTTTTTTTGTGTTTTAAGTATTTTGTTATTTAATTAGTATAATCACCAAAAAAAATTAAAATTATTTTAGAAAAAGTATTTTATTTGGTGTCGAATAGATACAAAAAATGTCTAAGAAAAATGGTTAAATTTCTACTAATCGAGTGCACCTCGCTTTAAAGCTTTTCCTATCGACCCTTCCCCCTCCATTAGGGTTGTCGGTTCCTGGAAATTCTTTGGATATCCGAAACCGAACCGAAAAATCTTCGGTTCGGTCCAGAACCGCCAACCCCACCCTCCATACATAATTTAAACTCGTTGTCAGTTTTTCCTATTTCAATCCCCTCTCTGATTTAACATAAGTAGTAGAAAGAAGTAGGTGCACCTGATTATAAGGTCAATTTTTATAGTCCAAGGGTTGTAAATGAGGTCAAATTGTAATAAAATTTTCTAATCAGTTACCCTATCGGTCTTTTCCCCACTAGAAACATTGTTGTCTTCCTCCTTTTTATCCTCTTTTTCAATACTCAATCGCTGACTTTGACTGCACAAAAGTGTAAGTACATCTCCCCTTTCTGTAAGTGTTTTCAATATAAACCCTCTTTGTTCAATTAATTCTTCTAATTGATTAAGTAAATTCATACGTTCATTGTCAATTAAACTAAAGGCTGTCTAAAAAAGTTTTTGAAATTTTCGAAAAAAATTTTTGAAAAAAAAAACTTGAATCCAATTTTGATGAGCACGACAATTTTTATTTTTCTCTTGACAATAACCCCCATCAGCTATCATTGTATCGGAAGAAATAAAAAGAGATTCAAAATTTAAACAACTTCCATTTTTATACCAAATTAAAGGACATCCACAAATCTGGAAAAATTTTCAGAAATTTTAAAATTAAAGAAAACCTTTAAATTAAATTCATCTCTGTAGTGTTCCGCACATGCATATCTTAATCTTTTACAATAAGTTTTGTTAATTTTGTTGTAAGAATCACAATAAAGTTTGTATTGATTATTTGGGATCTTTTAAAAAAATTTCTTTTATTTTTAATTATTTGGGTCAGACCTCTTTATAAGACACTATATGTCGCTATAAGACACTCTCTAGAGCTGGAAAACTCGTACCTTATAATTAGGGGTATCTTGAATAAAATCAAAAAAATCCCAAACGCTCGAGCAGCTCCCCAACTTCCGCCCCCAACAAAATTTAAAAAAAGTGCCTTAAATAGAGTTGTATCAAACATTGGGAGTATCTTATAAAGAGGTCAGACAATAATATTATAAAGGAAACCGGATAATCAGTTCCATAAGTTGTTTGTTTCTCAGACCGCGTATAACAAGATTGAATATGTTTAGTACTTTCACGCATGGGAAATTCGCCTCCACAAACAGGACATCCCACTACCTTAAAAATAATTGGAATTAGAAAGCATTTTTATCCAAAAAAAGCAAAAAATCTAAACGACAATCAAAAATTAAAATATTTTCTTTACAAAATTATCGTCTCCACTCTTTGGCCGTTCCGCAGTTGGCTGTGCATTTTTTATTGCAGCTAAAAAATTTTCAACATTTTCTTTCCATTCTCCAAATTTTTTCAATTTTTGATGAATTTGTGTAATTTGTCCTTCGACGTTGTTAAGTTTTTTGTTATCCTCAATTTGTTTAGAAGGAACTTTGGCGAAAAAATCGTTGAATCTTTGGGGCAAAATTGTTTTGAGTCTAATCTGGAATTTAAAAAAAATTATTTTACACGGGGACACCCCCCCCCCTCTAACAATCTGACCCATCCTCCACATCGGGGGACTTGACTCATGTCAGATATGGGGGCCTGATCTGATATTCCTAAGAAAATCATTGTTCCGGTTTTTTTTTCAAACGCTCGAAACTCTAAACCCAGACCCCAGTTCAGATAAAAATTTACCCTAAACCAAAATCCAAAAAAACCTGTGCAAGTGCCAAACCACAACGTTCGGAACAATATTTCGACCCTTGTCTTACCTAAAAATAAATTTAAAAATATTTCTAATAATTAAAAAAACCGAATTTGTACATTCAGGTCCAATACATTGTTTTTCTTCATGTTCAATTGGAAGCTTTAAAAATATAAAATTTTTATTATTTAAATTTTTGAATAATTTTAATAAATATATTGGACAAAAACCTACGCTAATTTCCTATATTGGTTGACAAAACGCTAGAGAGATTTGAAAATTTTAACGGAGTCTATAGTCTTGTGTTATAGTAGGCTTCTGGTGGACTGAGCTATACCGATCAAGGATTGTTTGTGGTAAAAACCGAGTCTAATTTCGAATTTAAAAAGTTTTGGTCTAGGCTACTTCAGCCCTCCAAGGTCCCCACACTTTAAAAATTTAAAAAATTAAAAAAAACCTCATTATTGTTCCTAGCTTTTGTCCTTTTACGCATTAAATTGTTATAAAATTTATTAAGTTGTAAAGCCAAATCCTCATTTTCTTTTGGTTTTTCTGACATTCCAACACTTCGGCGATGTTTAGTAATTGTCTCATCATTTAATTGTTGTTTTGGTTTCCGTCCTCTTGTGCTTACATGAACTTCACAATCAATACTTGATGTTTCAGACAAAGCTTTTTCTGACTTCTTTAACTAAAAAATTTTTTTCTTTTAAAAATAAGAAAATTGGATTTCTCTTAAAGTCTAAAAAATTACTTAAAACGTTTTTCCCACGTTAATACTAAAAATAAACAGATTTTTTTGTAATAATCTGATTTGTGCCCAACCTTCGTTCTCCCAGAATTTCTCCCAAATTCTCTCCAGAATTTAATTTGAGAAAAAATTCCTCCCAAATCTCAACAATCAAAGGAGGATAAAAAAAATTTTCTTAGATTTTCAAAAGCATAAAGTAACATGAGGTCACCAAATCGTTTCCGTCACATAATGGAAGGAAAAAACTGTGAAGGTTTATGTCCTGTCCAGTCTAATGCCTTGTTGCTCTACACAACCATAACGGGTTATTTTTGTAAAAACAAAACTCAAAACGAATTTAAAAAAAGGGAAGGGGGGCAGGGAAGGGCACAATCAAGGGAAGGGAATAAAATAAAAATAAAATAAAAAAAATCACAAGGGAAGGGCACAATCCAAACACATTTAATCATCCCTTAAATTTCAAAAAAAATTAAAATTCAAAAAAAACCTTTTTCTTAAAAAGCTCTTCCACTTGAACACAAATTCTTTGCATACAAAGTTTGCCCTTATTTTGTGATTGCATACAAACAACACATTTCCCACAATCCTCATCCCTAAAACAACCAATACAATTCTCACACCTCAATTCTGGATTTTCTTCTTGAATTTTTTGTTGTTTTAAAATTGTTGGAGGAATTAATTGAATTGGAGCTAGAGAAATTGCAGGAGGCTTAATTACATCAATAATTGTTATTGATGGAGGAAGAAGCTTTTGGTGGTCATTTTTTGGAATATTTATTGAAGAAATATTTGAAGGCGGCTCTTCTTTGATTTTTATTGCCAGTAAAGAATTGCCGATCTCTTTCGGTTCAATATTTGTAATTTCAACTTTTACTTTGGCTAATGCTGAAAATTTTTGGAAAATTTGAAATTACTTTGAAGTTTTGAAATTACTCAAGTTCCCTAGCCTAACTAATCCACAAATCACTACATGGAAAATAATCGTTCCAGAAACGAGGAAAAGTAATTCTGGTACATTGGTATACTCCCTACACGATCATGAGCCTTTTTAAAAGCATTTTTGTGAAAATATTGATAAAAAATTATTCATCAGGTAATAACCAAGATTTTATGAAGAAAAAATCCAAAAAGTCCATAAACAGCCAATTTTAAAAAATTCCAAAAAGAAAACCTGGTAATACTTTGGTTTAGACCCCCCCCCCCCAAATTCCAATAATTTCCTGTATCCTTTTGTGGCATCCGTTTTCTTTTCGTGGAAAATCATATATCATTCGAAAGAGCTCTTTAATAGTGATATTATTCACCTAACAAAGGAAAATGCCTGGAGTGTCCGCGGGACTTCAGGATGAAATTTGGTAGACAGATAAATTATACCAAATTTCATCCCGAAGTTCCACCAACACTACAGGCACTTTCCTTTGTCATTATGAAGAGCAGGGTCGAATGGTATAAAATAAAGTACAGATCCAACAAAAAAAACTCAAACGACAAAGGAAACAGGAAAAATGGGGATAACTCAAAAATATTTTTAAAAAAATACTTGAATTTGCCAAGCTTGGACTTCTCGCCAATGTTCGAATAGTAGATTCCTCCTTTTTGATAATCTTTGTAGGTTTAATTTCTAAAAAAATTCAATATTTTTATTTTAAAATTTAAAAAATTTAAACCAATTTTTGATTTTTTGTTGTTTTCTTGTTCCTCTGTCGATTCTTTTCTCTTTTTCGTAGTTTTGACATTTTCTTTTTTATAAACAATTTCATTTCCTTTTTTCTTGCAAGAACGACAAGCAAATTTTTCAATTTTCTCAACATCCTTTTTCTTTATACCAACACATTTTGTATGATACCAAATTGAACAATAATCACAACAAATCATCAAAGTTGAATAATCCCTTTTTTGAGAAAAATATTTAGAATAGTTAAGCGTCATTATAAGATAGACCCAGGATTTTGAGGATACCTCAATATAGGATACCCTCAAAAACTTCGAAAAATCTGATTGGACACTGACATGTTTAGGGGAGACAGTTGATTCCTTTCCTAACAAGGAGAGGTTGCGAGGTGTCCGAAAAACCAGATCAAAAAACGGCCAGATCTTGGCCAGATCAAAAAACGGGCAAAAACGGCAAAAATCCTTGCTAGAAAGGGCACATTCTCTATCGAATAAGCCCGGTCTCGGCCGTTTTTAGCTCGGACACCTCGCAACCTCTCCTTGTAAGCAACTATTAGAAAGCCTCTCAGTCTGAGATACTTTCCTTAAGGATTTTGTTTGGATATAGGGTAAGGAAGCCTCCCCAGCAATAGCATTCCAACCTATTTAAGGTACACCTCCCTGCAAGAGAAAAAAATTTCAGTCCGAGGGTGTATCTAATAACAAGTCTCGGCTTAGATAAAATTAAAGAAAAATACCTAGAATCACAAATACAATGCTTTTCTTCAACTTCTTCATCATCAGTATCCTCTTCCTCATCATCAATAAAGTCATCTTCGTTTTTAGGCTTTCCTTTGCGTGAAGTCTTTAAGTCAGCCATCACAAATAAACTTTAAAAAAATATAAAATTATTTAAAGAAAAAAACAAAGATAAAAAATTTTAAAAAAGTTTCAAAAAATTTTTTTTACTTGATAAAAAATTCAATTTTCAGTTAAAAAGTTAGAGAACAGGAATTATGTCTAACTTTAATTTCCATTTTTCTCTCTTTCTCTAACTTTCTTTTTCTCTTTTACACCAATTACAATTTGTCAACTATAAAATATCGAAAGTCAAAATAATACATAACGAGGATTTGCCTGTTTCGCCTTTCGTCTTTTGTTTTTTTTAAAGTTTCTGCACACTTTAGAAATTTTCCGAAATTTTCTTTTTAGAATTTTTGGAATTTTGCAAAAATGAAGAAACAAATTTCAAAGAAAAAATTCAAACAAACTTCACAACAAAACATTAATGGTTCAATTATTCGACAACGGTTAAATATTGAAGTGCTTGACGAAACAAAGTTTTTTGAAGAGGCTGATATTCCAAATTGTAAGCATGGTAAGCTTTTAATTTAAAAAAATTTTCTTTTTTCTTTTTTCAAGGCCCTTGTTTGTTATTTTCAAATTCTTTGGGTGAAAAATGGTTTTCCTGTGCTATTTATCGTTCGTCTAAATTGTGTGGATTTAAAGTGAATTTATCTAAAGATGGAACTCTGCTACAAAATAAGAAAATAAATAGACCGAAGATTCAAACTTTGCCAATTGAAGAATATGGAAGTGTGAGACAAAGGTTTCTTTTTTAATTTAAATTTACAGTACAGACGGACTTCTTTATAAGATACCCCCAATATTATATAACCCCTGTTTAAGAGATGATTTTTTAAATTTTGATCAGTCATTATTGGTGGAGCTGGCTAACAATGAGCAATACATTCTATTTAATATACATCTCATTATAAGTTACCTTCTCTATAGGATACACCCGTTATTAGAGACATCTTTAAGAGAATTTATAATAATGGTTGGCCACTGTTGAGAGGATATGTATAAGCGACACCCTCTATTAAGATACACCTCATTACAGGCCCGTAACCAGGATTTTTTTTCGGGGGGGGGGGGGGAATTTTTTGCGCCAAATTTTTGGCGCCGAAGGCGCCAAAATTTTGATTTTCAGCGCCGCAGGCGAAAATTTTTTGAATTTTGGACCTTAAAAAGCCAGATTTCTTCCTTTTTTAGCGCCGCAGGCAAAAATTTTTTAAATTTCAGAGGCCGTAGGCCAAAAAATTCACTTTTTTTGCCCCAGCCCTTCCCCAAATTTTTTCCTTTTTCCCATTTCGGGGGGGGGGGGGGGGGGGGGGAATTCCCCCCCTCACCCCCCCTGGTTACGGGCCTGCCTCATTATATGAGACAATTTTTTTAAGTCTCTAATAATGAGATTAATAATTTATTTTTAAAGATTTGATGAATTAACTAAAATTGGCACAAATCCATTTTGGTGTAAACAATGTTTTAATTTTGTTTCGAATGAACATGAACACAAATTAGACGAAAATTGTTTTGATAGTTGGCCTTCTCCATTTCAAATAATTGATGCTATAAAGGACAATTCTGGAGAAGCAGTTTGGTTTTTTTAAAGTTAAATAATTAGAGGTTTAATGAATTTTTTGAAACTTTATTGGGGTATCTTCAGAAATTTTTTTGATAGGAGGTGGGCTTTTTTGCTAGGAAAAAATTTATAAAAACGATTTTTATTTTATTAAACCCGTACATTTATTTAAAAAATAGATTTTCATTTTACATGAATTCTTCCCTAAAATTTTAACTGTTCCCTAAAATAATTTTTATTAGCATTTAGATTTTCAAAAATGATACACCCTTGTACGACCTTAATAAAGACCGAAAATATTTTTTTCTTAATAGAAAAAACTTTTTTTTTACTCAAATTTTTTTAAATTGAGTTCCACTAAATTAAAAAAATCTGTTAACCTCTCTAATTGTAAGTAAATTTTAAATAATTTTATCTTTAATTTTTAGCAATTTTGGTTTACAGAAAATGTTCTTTCCTTAATTTCCAATTTAATCAAAGAAAATTCAATTAATTCAATTCTTTGTGTTGGCACTCCAATACTTTTTGAGTGGCTTAAAAATCAAAATTTACAAAATTTGTTTCTATTGGATTTTGATGATAGATTGGTTTGTTTGTTTTAGTTAGAAAATATTTTTTTTGGTTCTGGTTTAGGACAGTTAGTCCACGCGGATGTCTCTGTAATATCTTCTTCGTTAAGGGTGTTTATTTGATTTTTTCCGGGGTTTTGTGTTTGCTTGGAGTTTCCTAGCATCTTTTTTATGTTTGGGATTTATGACTATGATGTCATGACAACTTGCTAATTTATTGGTATTAGTTTCGAAATTTTCTGAAATTTAGAAATTTTGGTAAATTGGCCACCGGTGCCGAACATTAAAAAAAAGAAAAGCTAGAGAATTAGTAAAATCTTTAAGATATCTTCAAAGAAATATTCTTGTCCTAAACCAGAACCTTTTATCCACATTTTCAGTCAAAATTTTATTTTCCAAAAGAATTTGCTCGTTTTTCAATGTTAAATTGTTATTTTTATTTAAACGAAGGAAAAGAAAATTTAATTAAATTTTTTGAAAAATGTGATGAACATTTACTATTTATTTGTGATCCTCCTTTTGGTATTCAAATAACTCCATTAATTCGAACAATAAATAAATTGGAATTAATTTTTAAAGAAATAAAAAGGTTTTTAATTAATTAAAGGTTAGGCGACATTTGCGGACAATATTTGCGGACAAAATTAAAATTTATTGAAATTAGGCAGAAACGGCATTGGTCTTGTCCGTTACTTTGTCCTATAACATAAAATAATATTTTGATGATATAATACTCCTCTGGTCAAAAACGAGATCTCGAAAAAAATTTTAGTTCTAGGGATCAGTATTTTTTCTAGTAAGATTCTTGCAAGACGTTCTAAATTTAAGTCTCTACTCATCACAGTTTTTTATAAAACAAGAAAGTTCAGTGTGTGTCCGCAAACGTCGCTTTACCATTTTATAGTCAAAATTTAATATTTTTCTTTAAGTTCATCCTTCAACAAAATATTATTTTTGCCTTACTTCGCTGAGAAATATTTAAATAATACAAATATGTCAATGGTGGATTATAAAGTATTTTTTTAATTTTAAGATTTTTTTACAAGTATAATCGAAGCTTTCCGTTGCTGGGGTGTTCTGTGACTTTTTTTTTTAAATTCCTTCCTTGCTCGAGAAATTACTTGAACCGGGACTAGCTCGTAGTATTGCTATACCCATCAATGAAGCTCGCCTTAAGGAAGAGCTCAAACTTAACTCAAGCTTGCCTCACTCTCCTCGACCTCGCCTTCCCACAACCTCGCTTCTCCTTTGTAAGCTCAACTCGGTCCCAATGGTTGACATCATAGAGAGCTTTGACTGTTTATTAATTTTCTATTTCCATTATAAAATTATTAATTTTTAAATAGGTAACATATACAAATCACAAAGAATTTTCAAAATTAAATAAATCAACAGTTCGAATATTTACAAATATTTCAAATAAATTATTTAAATTGCCAAAAGAAGAAGGTTATTATTTTTGTGAAATTTGTGAACGTTTTGTTTGTAAAGAAAATAAACATTGCTTCAAATGTGGATATTGTACATCTTTGGTTAGTTATATTTTTATTTTTAAATTAAAAATTAGAGATGGTCAGCGGGTATAATTAGACCTCATTTTAAGATACACTTCTATTTAAGAGAGTTTGTTTTTATGATTCGGTTGGTTATGGGGGGGGGGGGGTAATTACCAGCATGGTGCCCTCCCACTCTCCGCCTTTTCCTTCTTGTTCCTTCCTTACTCTTTTCTCACTTTTTCCCCGGTGACAGATTCAAGATAGGGGAGCTTCCCAGACGATACCCTCTATTCAACATACAGCTCATTATAAATGACGATTTTTAACGCAATGGGTGTATCTATGTGCGAGGTCCGACTGCCATATCCGCTAGGTATCCGTTCAGTAGTCTTTGTGATAGTCGGATATTTACTTATCCGGATATTGTGATAAGCGGATAGGCTGTCAAAATCAAATTTAAAAATTATTTTTAATTTTTTATAGGATGGAGGCTTATACAAACATTGTAATTATTGCAGCAAATGTGTAAAAAGAAAATATATTCATTGCAAAAAGTGTTTTAAATGTCATTTAAAAGAACGTTGTTGTATTTTTAAAAATGATTAAATAAAACTGTTAATCAAATGAGTGCAACCCATTATATAATGGATTGTTTCATCCGTTACCGATTCGAGGCAGTCAACCAATAAACCAAAATAATGATTTACTAAAGAAATCATCAGCCAAAAAAATTTTTATTGGATTTCAATCAAACTACCTAACTACAATTTCTTCAACAATAACGACGGATTCAACGACGGATGTGACGACATTTATCGAAAATATTTGGAACGTTTCAATAACTTTATTACATTTACTTCACCAACAATAATTTCTGGTACAAATGGAACAACAACAACAAATAAAGGATTTCTTTTTAATTGTTGGGGGTATTATTGTTGGAGCTATTATTTTTAAGTTTTTTTAAATTAAATATACCTATTTTGATAATTTTAAGGGTTTAAATTTTATTAGTTCTCATCACATTTTTAAATTATACATAATTATCCCAAAAATTATATACTGGAAATTGGATAAGGAAAAAAACTCTTATTTTCTTTTAAATTATTTAATTTAAATTTTTATTACCATTTAGAGCTCCTTTGTTTTTTAATGCAGAGATTGCAAATACTCCAACTGCGGAAGTGCAGCTATAACCGCTTTTTTTCTGTGTAAGACTAAATACATTTATTTATGAATTTAAATTTAAAAAAAACCGGGAGAAGATTTTGATGTTGTGGAAGGGGTGCCTGCAAAATTAAAAGCAGCTAGAAGGGGAAAAAGATTTAAAATTCTTGCACCAGAAATAATGAGAGCTGGTATTGAAGCTTTGCCAGCCAAAAATAAAAAAAAATCTTTATTTTATTTATGTCAATAATTTTTTCTATGATTTGAATATTTTATTCCCCGAATCAGAATGATTTAATTAATTATTTTTTGTTTCAAAATATTTATTCTTAAGTGTTATAAAATACATTTTTATTTAAATCTAAATATTTTGAAACAAAAAATAATTAATTAAATCATTCTGATTCTGGGAATAAAATATTCAAATCATAGAAAAAATTATTGACATAAATAAAATAAAGATTTTTTTTATTTTTGGCTGGCAAAGCTTCAATACCAGCTCTCATTATTTCTGGTACAAGAATTTTAAATCTTTTTCCCCTTCTAGCTGCTTTTAATTTTGCAGGCACCCCTTCCACAACATAAAATCTTCTCCCGGTTTTTTTTAAATTTAAATTCATAAATAAATGTATTTAGTCTTACACAGAAAAAAGCGGTTATAGCTGCACTTCCGCAGTTGGAGTATTTGCAATCTCTGCATTAAAAAACAAAGGAGCTCTAAATGGTAATAAAAATTTAAATTAAATAATTTAAAAGAAAATAAGAGTTTTTTCCTTATCCAATTTCCAGTATATAATTTTTGGGATAATTATGTATAATTTAAAAATGTGATGAGAACTAATAAAATTTAAACCCTTAAAATTATCAAAATTGGTATATTTAATTTAAAAAAACTTAAAAATAATAACTCCAACAATAATACCCCCAACAATTAAAAAGAAATCATTTATTTGTTGTTGTTGTTCCATTTGTACCAGAAATTATTGTTGGTGAAGTAAATGTAATAAAGTTATTGAAACGTTCCAAATATTTTCAATAAATGTCGTCATATCTGTTGTATTTATTGTTGAAGAAATTGTAGTTAGGTAGTTTGATTGAAATCCAATTCTTTAGTTAAATCATTATTTTGCAATGTTGATTGACTGCCATTAATTGGCAATGGATGAAACAATCCATTATATAAAGAGGGTTTGCACTCATTTGATTAACAGTTTTATTTGATTGTGTTATCAAAATTTTACGAGTATTTAAAAATATTTAAATAAAATTAATAAGATAAAATTCAACATTGTGTTCTTTCATCCACGATGACGAGTACTTGTATCGACAGAAAATAAGACAATAATTTTTTAATTACAAAATCCTCTCTCGTAGCATTAACAAATCCAAAAAATATCTAAAACGGGAATCTTCTTCTTAGATACCCACATCACCATTTCAAGAATGGAATTGACACAAGCAAAAGAAATATACTTTAGGTCACAAGACGCAACCAAACAAGACCAAATGTACTCTAAGCCTCGCCACAGACAAAGCAATTCCAAAATTTATCCAAGCCGCCTCTTTTACTAGGGCAGGATACAATTAGTACCTTAAGCTTGGGTAATTAACCCAATATTGGGACAAAAGCAAAATATATAAGTAAAGCAAATTAATAAATTTCAGACGCAGTATAAAATAAGATTAATTTTAATAGAATGTGTAAGAGTTTGAAGCAAATACTGCACACTCTCATTTATTTTCATTTCTCTGCCTGACTAAGTTCTCTTTAGTTTTTCTCTTTCAAATACGAAAATGCCCATACGCAGAGAAATAACGAGATCTCTACACTGTAGTGATGTTCAAAATGGTCATGAAGGGGAAATATTTAAATTCGTCACAAGTCTCGCGAACAAATTAGTTAAAATCTAACTCATTTCTAAAATTGGAATTTTTATTATAAGCATTAATAAAGGCCAATGAGTACTGAATAAAATGCCAACTATTATCGTTCAATCATTCAAAAGCTCTCGAGAAGCTGTATATTTTTTCCAACTGGATGGATCAAGTCTGATCACTCATGTGAAGATATGCTCTATAATTTTCAAAAAATTATGTAATTTTTGGTTTCAAAAAATGTTTAGAATTATTTATTATTCAAAATCCTGTGTTTTTGTAAATACCAAAAAATTTCCAGTTTTTTTCATTTCTTTTAATTATTTTCTTTTTCTTTTACAAAAAAGTTATTGAAGAAAATAATTATTAGTATATTTCCTTATTTATTTGTTCCATTCTTTTAAATTCCAAAAATAACTTGATATTTAATGCACTCTAACCGGACTTTATTTTTACGTGAAAGAAATTTTCGACTACAATTTTTAGAAGAAGAAACAAAAATTCTTAAACATTTTTTATTTATGTAGGTATTTATTTTTTTGAATTACAGTCGAACCTCATTTTTAAATACTCTTTTGGGGCTGAAAGTGTATACCTTATAACGAGATGTCTCTTAAATAGAGGGTATCACTTAGGCAGCTCTCCCACCCAGGCCAATTGATTTTTAAATAATGTCTCTTAAATAGAGGGGTATCTAGGATTGGGTGCGTCTTATAGAGAGTATCTTATAACAAGGTGTTATCTTATATAGAGGGTCTTGCTACGAAATTTTTAAATAACATCTCTTAAATAGAGGTATTCTAATATCGGGCGTATTTAAAAATGAGGTTCGACTGTATACCTACATAAAAGATATTTTTCTTACAATCTTTTTTTCTAGATCAATCTGTTTTGCTCTAATTTCATTGTTGACAATTGCTCTTCTAATCCCTCTATTATTTAATTACATCCAAAATTTAAATATTTATTTAAAAGAAAAATCTGACAAATGTTTTTATAAGATAACGCAACTTTATAATAATTTAAGTTTTGTTGTTGGTGAATTTAATTGTGGAGGAGGATTTGAAGAAAGACGTTCTGTTAGGCATGTTAATGCTATGACAAAAATAAGATTGAAACAAGCAATTAAAAGGAGAAGTAAAAATTAAAATAATTTAATCAAACCTCAATATAAGATACACCCTTGGGGCTGAAAAACTGACCTTATAACGAGATGTATTTTAAATAGAGGGTATTGTTTTGGAGCTTCCCCACTCAATGGCCAGCAAAATTTAAATAAAATAAATAGAGGAAATAAAAGAAAATAAATAGAGGAAATAAAAGAAAATAAATAAATCCTCATACTCCCATGTGGCCGAAAAAGATGGTCTCTTATAGCGGGTTGTATCTTAAATCGAGGGTATTGCTCAGGCACATCCCCCAGCCCGATGTCTATCCAAAATTAAAAAAACGACTCTTAAATAGAGGTTATCTAATATTGGATGTAGATTATAGAGGTCTGATTATACATACATATGTCTATAATACCGAGTAAAAAATATTTTTAAAGGAAAAACTCGTTATTTTCGAAGGAAATTAGCAGAAGTTTCAGCTTTATTAAATTCTTTTGAATTAACAAATGATGAACAGGGAGGATTAAATGGTGCTACAAACAGTGGATTATATAAAGAAATGTCAAAAGAAAATATAACAAATTCTGATGAGTCTAGTTTTGAAGTAAATTTTAATTGAACCTCACTAATATTAGAAACAACATTAGGTAACCTCTATTTAGGAGACATTCTTTTATAGTTTGGTTGACCATTAAACGGGAGGAGCTGTCCGCCTAAAAAGCTATTTTATTGGGTTGTATTATGAATAGGATGTCCTATAATGAAGTGTCTTAAATAGAGAGTACCTCCCTCTATAAGAAACCTCCAACACTGGATATACCTCATTTTAGGACATTTTAAAGGCCACTGGCTATCTAAGCGATACCCTCTATTTAAGGCACCCTTCATTATAAGATAAAAATTTTCTATCCCTCATGAGGTGTCTAAGAGTGAGGGTTAATTACTTAATAATTTTTATCAGGAGGCGGAGACAACAAACTCATCTTTTGTAATAAATCAACAGAAACAACTACTTGATAAGTTGTTCAAAAAGTATCAATTAATTTCAAAAAAAATTTTTTTTAAGAAATCCAAATAAATGTCAATCATGTTCATGTTCAATAGGAAAACCTGGACCTCCCGGTTTAGACGGAATCGATGGAAAACCGGGAAAAGATGGGCAGCCAGGCAGAAACGGATTTAATGGAGAAGATTCTCCAATAAATTTAGATTTTTGTTTTCAATGTTCTCCAGGCTTAAGTGGACGTTTGGGTCCACAAGGGTTCAAGAACAAAAATTTTCCTTTAAAAAATTTTTTTCAAGACCAAAGGGAATTAAAGGAAATCCAGGAAGGAGGGGAGATGATGGAATACCTGGAATAAAAGGAAAGCCGGGAAAAGAAGGTCCTGTGGGTCCGAAAGGCGATATGGGACAAAAAGGGAAAGTTGGCAGAATTTTAGGTGAATTTTTTTGTTGGAAGCTAATTAAAAAAAATTTTTTTGAGAATTACGAGGACCTCCAGGATTGAAAGGAATGCCTGGTTAATTTTTAATTATTCAAAATTTTGAATCTAAATTAAAGGAAAATGTGGACCTCCCGGTCCTGTAGGTGATCCAGGAAATAGAGGACGTAATGGGGTTGATGGTAAAGTTGGAATTGATGGAAGACCGGGAAATCAAGTAAAGAAAATTTTTTTAAGAGAAATTATTTTTGTAAAAATTTTAGGGAATTCCTGGAGGATGTGGACATTGTCCTAAACCTATTATAGTGACAAATAAGTTTAATGATAATTAAATTTATTTATTTAATTTTTGTTGATAAACTCTTTAATTTTTAAGGGAAGATTTAATAGACTAATAAGCAAAAAAAGTGTTTAAGATGTAGTATAAGATAGGAAAACTAAAAGTTTACAAGAGCACTTGAAAGCGGATAAGCGAAGGAAACTCTGTGTTAGCAATAAATGCCAGAAGGGTCGATCGGAAATGACGAAGGTATAGGAAATCGGAACTGTCAGAAATCGGAAACAAATCAAAAGTTAGAACTCGGAAATTGTCATAAATTTTCGGAAATCAGAATTCCCCGACAGAGCTCTGGTCAAAAGGTTCCTGCCCAGTTTTATTTTTTAAAATAAATAATTTTGCTTGGATTTTAACTCAAATTCTTGCAAGAAAAACTTTTACTGTCAATAAAATCTATCAAATTTATAAAATAACTGAGGTAATTTAAGTAATAATGACCGGGAGTATTTTTCTTAATTTTTTCAGAGATTGGACTTTAAGTGGTCGATAGACAATATTAATCAGACCTGTCCATGGACAAGGATTTTGCTATCCGTGTCCGGATATATACGTGAGGTCAATCAAGGGCGTATCCAGGAAATAACCGTATCCAGGGGGGCTAGAGTGGAACGCCAAAATTTTGGCGCACACCCAATGTTAGCCCCCCCCCCCAAACCGACCCCTGGATTCGCCCTTGAGGTCAATATCCATCGGAGCCTGTTATAATACCAAAAGCTTAAAATACCAAACCCCCAAAAGCTGTTAAAATACCAAACCGTGGAAAAAAGCTTAAAATACCAAACCCCCAAATGCTGTTAAAATACCAAATTGTGGAAAAAAGCTTAAAATACCAAACACCTAAAAGCTGTTGAAATACCAAACCATGGAAAAAAGCTTGAATTACCAAACCCCCAAAAGCTGTTGAAATACCAAAGTGTCGTTCCAATGTTGGGGGATGATGATTCAGTGATCGGGGAAGTTGTCCCGTGATCGGGGGAGATTGTCCCGTGAACGGGGGAGGTTGTCCTGTCACCGGGGGAGGTTGTCCTGTGAACGGGGGAGGTTGTCCCGTGAACGGTGGAGGTTGTCCCGTGAACGGGGGATGGATTAACAAAGTTATGATTAATGATTTAACAAAGTTATGACCGTTTGTTTTTACCCCTTCCACAAGGTTTTCGCGGAAAAAAGTTTTTGCCGCTGCGGAGGAAGCCGGGCATGTCGAGCGGAACGACGGCCGCCGCTTCGCTACGGTCGCCGCGAGCGAAGCGAGCACGACCGCAGCGAAGCACGGCCATCGTGTAGCGAAGACCATGCCCGGCCTACCCTCCGTAGCAGCACAAAAACAGTTTTTCCAGCGACGATTCAATTGGAACAACAACATACTTGTTGGAAAAACAAAAAAATTTAAAGTTCGAAACAACAAATTTAACAAAAAATTCTAACAGAAATAACAAAAAATTTTAGTTTTGTATTTATTTGGTATTTCAAGTCTTTTACCACGGTTTGGTATTTTAACAGTATTTGGGGGTTTGGTATTTTAAGCTTTTTTCCACGGTTTGGTATTTTAACAGCTTTTGGGGGTTTGGTATTTTAAGCTTTTGGTATTACAATTTTTGGTATTTCAAGCTTTTGGTATTATAACACGGTACCATATCCATCCGTTTAATTTTTGAGGCATATCTATCCGCAGGCATCTGAATATTATCCGTACCCATGGACAGGTCTGATATTAATCACAATAATTTGATTGAGATTTTTGTTTCGGTCCAATCCCTCTACATTTAATTTTATTAAACAAAAATATTTTTTAAAATCTCCGAAATTATTTAAAAAAATTTTTTTTCTACTGGCACTTTTGAATTTTCACTTACAAAACATTCGCTCTTCAATCTATATCAAAAAGTAATTGTTCAGAAACTCTATCAAAATTAGCAAATTTAAATAAACGCATAATTTGATAAGATTCTAATGTTGCTGAGGCTAAAAAAATTTTTTTTGAATTTTTTTTAAAATTCTCTTACCTGCAGAAACAACTCCAGAAATTAATAAAATAACATTTCCAAAACGTTCAGCTGCCGATTTATGCCCAATAGAACGATAAAATTGAAAAAGGGCAGCAATTACTTTATTTTTCCATTCTAAAGCAATTTTTCTAGATTCGTCACTGATAAATGAAGTTGCTTCTTCTGAAATTAAAAATAATTTTTTTTAATTATTTGTCGTGTCTGGTAATTTTGGGAGTATCAAGGTTTATTGTAATAGTTTAGTATTATCGGTTGTCGTTTCCCCCATGGTTCAGATATTTCAGTTAAACTAGTGAAGGCTATTTGCCATAAGTCGAATGATACTAGTAGGGGTCGATATTAAGGCGGGGCTGATGTGAGTGAGCTTACCGGGAATGGGAGTTACAGGGAATTCGTGTTCGGGGAACGGGGGCTCTGGGGGAGACCTTCCTTCGTTCCCCGGAGAAAGGGGATCGAACCCTAGATACCAGTTTCAGAAAGAAGGGTGAGGAAAAAGTTTTGACCGTTTTGAGTTGCTCTTTAAACAAGCTTTGGACTTTAGAACTTATATATTAGGAGCGTGTCGAACAGATTCTAAAAAGCGAAAGACTAAACACCAAAAAAGGCAAAATTAGACAAAATTGGCACTTCCTTGCTGTAAATGTGGGAAACCCAAAAAGGTATAGGACATGGAAGAGGCTTTTATACCTTCCTTCTCTTCAGTCCCTTAAAAGGGAACACAAAGAATTCTAAAAAGCGAAAGATTATACTCAATTTTCTATTTTATGTTAATTCTTCGTGTTGTTTTTAAGGACTGAAGAGAAAAATAAGGGTGGGTCTATAGGGTGGTCTGAGGGTGGGTACGTGTATGTGGGGTACGTGTACCCACCCATCATAAGGGTGGGTCTCTTCTATGCCCTCCCTTTATTTCAAGCAAAGTTCAAAAACCCCCTTATATTCAAAAAATCCACACAAACCTTTTTGTGTATGATTTCCGCAGCTAAAAAGTAAAAGTATTTTTAACGTAACCAATTCTTCAGGTGTTAATTGTAATCTTCTTAAAGGAATAACTAAACCGTCAATACATCTATCAGTCATTTGTTTATATAATTTTTCTTGTCTCCATTTTCTATCTTCTGTTACTAATGTCTTTGAAAAAGAAAATTTTTTTAAGAAGAAAAATTTTTAAAAAAACTTTGCTTTCATCAGGCAAAACATTAACACTTCTTGGCATACAAGTACCATTAGAAATTAGCCAAACATCATCGAGACCAATTTGTGCAGTAAAATATCCATATTCTATTACATTACAGGGCATAGCAAATCTAGAAAATTTTTTAATTTTTTTTTGAAGTTTAAAAATATTTTTATTTAATTTTGGCTCTGTAGAAAAAAAGACAAAAATTTAAGTAGGAAAATGAACCAGGGGCTCTACACGATGACCAAAAAACAAAATAAATAATCACAGTTCGGGTGGATTTTTGAGAGTTTTTTGTAAATTAAATTCATCAAAATATTCTTCAAAAAAAATTTCAAGAGGGGAAGGATAGCAAAGAGATTTTAAAAGGAATAAATGAAAATGACTTTGGGTTTCAAGATGATCAGGAAGCTATAATTTTTAAATTTTTGTCATTGGTAAAGAATTTCATTTTTAAGGGGGTCTGAAGGGATTTAGGTAATAGTCGGTTTAACTCGTCTATTTGTCGTTTTCCTAATGTAAGTTGAAGAAGGAAGCCGTTACCCTGGGCAAACCTTTGATAATAAATATTATTTTTAAAAAATAGACAAGATTTAAAAAAATATAATTAAAAAACCTTTTAAGTAAAAGCATTTTGTCAGGTAAATGAAGTGATGAAAATGCTGGGATTGTCTTAAAAAAATTAATTTTACAAAAAAAAATTGCCAAAAAAAATTCCAAACAAACCTGTACCCATTCAAGCATTGAAAACATTTCAATTTGAGTAACATTACACAAATCCGAACACAAAACAATTTTCATTAAAGTATCGTGTTGTTGAACTACTCGAGAACCTTTACTTGCAACATCTGCCAATCTTTTTGCTTCCGTCCTAGCTCTAATTAATTCAAATTTTCTTGCACGAATTGCTTTATCTGTAGCTGCTAATGAAGATATTAGGTCCAAAAGATTGTTATTTCCGTCAGAAATTGAAGAATATAAAATGTCGGTTTGGGGAGTTAATAAATGGTTGGTTGGCGATGGAGTTACCTGAAGAGAAAAATTATTTTTAGTTGAAAATTAAAGTTAAACCTTATTGTAAGAAACAAATTTGGGGATCAGTTATGGGTCAGGTCGAGAAAAAAAGTCAAATCGGGTTTCGGTATGAAATTTATAAAATTTTCTAAATTAATATGAAAATGAAGGGAATTCAGCCGCTCCAAAATTCGAAAACTTTGAACCCCTATAACTTTACGAAATGGGGGCCAGGGGGAAAAAGCCGAAAATTGGCAAAATGTTATAAACATGCTCTACACGATGGTGCAAAAAAAACTACAAAATTTTCAAATAGTTCAAAATGTCTCCTTGTTAGAATCTGGTTTCGGGTTGAAAAGGTATGGGTTTTGGATCTCGGATAACCCGGCCCATCCCTTTTGGGGCAGGTTCCATCTTATAATGAATGGCATAGTAAATAGGCCTCCTATGAGGATATTCCAGCACCCAGTAAGCAACAAAGGCCCAAGGAAAAATATTTTTCTTTGGGACAAAACAACAAAGAAAAATAATTTAAATTTTGAGGGTATCTAGTATTGGATTTACAATTATAAAAAATTTAAATAAAATTTACTTCACTCCCAGAAGTTGAAGGAATTGTGGAAACACAATTATTTTGATAAAAATGTATTTGTGCTGGTCTCTTCTTTCGCCTGCCAATTAAATCCCTTCGAGGTTGTAATGCTTCCCTAGACATTCCCATATCCAAACATCTAAATAAATTTATTGGCTGTAGTGTAGTGTACCGGTGGTAAAAGTTCGGGACGTGACATATGTCATTCGATTCGACTCGACGAGCTGAGTCGAACGGTACCACTCCCCATTTTAGGAAATAATTCTGGACCGAGTTATAGGTCCCGGAATATCGAAAAACCAAAGGGGGGAGTAAGCTCGATTTTGGGGTGAAAAATTCGAATATGCAAATTATACCTCATTCGAAAGAGCTCCTCGAGCTGAGTCGAATGACACCGAAATCAATAAAATCCGACTTGATTTGACAAAATTATGACCGTTTGTTTTAGCTCCTTACCTATGGCATCTGTGGAGATTTTTGCTGCTACGGAGGCCCCAAATACGTCCAGAGCAAGGGAGATAGGAATAGGTTTATGTTACAAGCCCAGACCCAGCGCCCGTAGACTCCCCGCGAGGCGCGTGCCGCAAGACCCCGCGCGAAGCGCGGGGTCTTGCACAAGCGCCTCGCCGACGACCCATAGGTTTATGTTGGTAGTTTTTCTATCGTAACTTTGTCAAAACTTGTGCAATCAAGATGGTTTTGGTGTCATTCGATTCAGCTCGACGAGCTCTCTCGAATGAGCTAACATTTGTAGAATCGAATTTTTGACCCCAAAATCCCCCCTATGGTTTTTGACCATTTCGAGCCCTATATCTCGACTCAAACTTGTTCAATCAAGCTGATTTTGGTGTCATTCGACTCAGCTCGAGGAGCTCTTTCGAATGAGGTATAATTTGCATATTCGAATTTTTCACCCCAAAATCGAGCTTACTCCCCCCTATGGTTTTTCGATTTTCAGGGACCTATAACTCGGTCCAGAATCATTTCCTAAAATAGGGAGTGGTACCGTTCGACTCAGCTCGTCGAGACGAATCGAATGACATATGTCACGTCCCGAACTTTTACCACCGGTACACTACACTATATCCAATTTATTTTTTAAAAATAAAAAAATAATTAAAAAAACCTTCGAAAACGACAAGACCTACAAAGTCGTCTAGCACACACTTCTTGTTCACAAATATTCGGCTTTTTGCAAATTGTATCCTGACCATGCATTACAGCTCTATAAAACGAAAAAAATTAAAAAAATATTTATTTGGCAGATAGAGAGAAAAGAGGAAAATTAAAAGTAAATTAAGGTCAGGGCCAAAAAAAAAGCGGAAACTGGCAATAGGTTATCGTCCCTCTCTACATGATGGTGCAAAAAATTCGAAATTTATGGTTACAGTTCAATAAGTCTCCTTGTTAAAAGGGATCAAGACGCTTAATTTGGAGCTTATTGTTAGTACTAGACTCTTACGAGTCCAGGCGCCCTAACGGTAGAGCTAAGCATTTAAAAATTTAAGAATTACTTCACTCCACCGGCAGAGCTACTGGGAGATTTTCTTTTATAAATCTCTTAAGCCCCCCCCCCTCCACTTTCTTACAAAATTAACGCTAAAATTCTTCAAGTCAAGTAATCTCTTTAAAAAATAACTAAAATAAAAAACCTTCTAAAAAATGTTTTACATCCAAGACAACTTAAACATCCTAAAAATAAAATTTAAAAATCATTTAAAAACAAATTAAAAACCATAGTGTTTTCCAAAAGAAAGTTCACCACAAATCAAACAGAGCCCTACCGCGTCTGAAAAAAATTTTTTAATTCCTCAAAATAATTTTAATACCTTTATGTGCCATAAATAAAGCAAAACGTTGCTGAGAATTAAATTTAAAAATTTTTTAATTAAAAGATTTTCCCTATAAAAATAATTAAATTAAGTAAATTGTCAAGTTTAATGAATGGACTTTTTTGTAAAAAAATAAAAAAATTAATTAAAAATAAATTAACAAATAAATTAACAAATAAATTAACAAATTAATTAACAAATTAATTTACTTTCCTTTCATTTATAACATGAAAAATATCATTGTCAAACATGAAATAATGTAAAAATGAAGAGAATAAACCCGCCAATCTATCGATTTCTCTTCTTTGGTTCCTTATCAGAGAGACAATTAAGAATGATGTCAACAAATTATTAAAAATTTTTTTTGTAAAAGAATTTCAGGTTTAAAACACATTCTGAATAGGGTTGTTGGGGTTTTCGAGCCGGGCCGACGTTCGAGTCATTTTTATCGGACCGGCCAGACAGAGTATTTTTCGGGCCAAAAGTCAATGCCTGACACATCTTTCAGACCAGGCCGGAACGGGCCCCCAACCCTAATTCTGAATCAAGAATGTAATTACCCCAAGCAAAAAAAATTGAACAGAAAAAATCCGCAATTAATTTAAAAAATCCGCTATTTATAAATGCGGACAGTCCGCAAAAAAATATTTTTAAATAAAATTTTAAAAATTCTGAAAAAAAATATTTTTTTAGTATTAAATACTAATTATTTAAGAAAAAATATTTTTAAAAAATAATTTAAATTTATACTATACTTTTTTTGTAAAACAAAAAAATTAAAGCTCTAATTTTGATATGTTTTTTAAAACCCATAATTTATTTAAAATCCTCTCTCTCCTTTCATTTATTCCTCCAAAAATATTTGTATTTTATTCTTTTTATCAATCTTTTTTTCTCTCATTTTCTCAATAAATTTAATATTTGCAATACATTCTTGTTGATCCATTTGTTTAGTTAAAGTTGAAAAAGAATTGGTTAAGGCACTGTACATGTCTACCTTTAAAAAAAAGTTTTTAGTTAAAAATAAGAGATGGGACTTGAGGATTGATAAAGAGATTCAAGAGTGCTATTTAGAAAAATCTCCCATCTTGCTTAAAAATTAAGATTTTGATCAAACAAATCAATCGCATCTTAAATTGAGGCGAAAAACGCAGATTTTCTTTTAAAAAGCCTTGGGTGTTTTGGTCTGATTGCTTGCTTAAAAACACCTCAATTAAAGATACACCACAATTAAAATTTGGCTGACCAACGAGATAACCCCCTATCTCATACATAAACTCACAGGTACAAGTGTAATCATAAGGTTGGAATAATTGTACAGAAAAAAAGAAATAAACTCACAATATTTCTCATATTAATCGGTTCAATATTAAAATAATCGTCTTGAATATTTTGCCAAGTTCTTCCCCTATCCCCTCCTGGACGCATTTCATTTAATTCATCTATTTGATCTTCACGTTCCAAAGAAAATAGAGAAGCCCCAAGTTGAGGTAAATAACAATTTGAATATTTCACAATAACTCCCCATTCTTGATTACCACATTGCCCACATAACCATTTGGCACATTTTGTGAATAAATGGTCTTTCTAAAAAAGATATATAGAAGAGAGAGAATTAAAGGATTATTAGCCAGATTTTCAAAAAAATCTGAGAAAAAAATTTTCCCACCGTCGGCTTCTCTCGAATGTCAATTTTTGAACGTTTCCAAACAGTAGGATCACAAACCACAAAAGTAGAATAAGCAATAGAACGAACATGAGTGCTCTTACAAATCAGATTATTACAAGATCGACAGCTTAGTTTATAGCTAAAAAGGTTTAAAAAATATTTAAAATACATGAGAATTAATCTTGAACTCTCTAAAGTATGCAAGAATAAAGATGTTTTAAGATAACGATCTCAGATCTTCGTACAACCCTCCCAGTATGGCTCATAGTAAGGATGTGTTGGTTGGGTAGGACGAAATTTAGAGTTTGGCAGAAGTGGCAATAGAACCCCAATTTTAAGTAAAGACATGTGATGTCTGAAAATGTATGAATAGAAAAGAAATTCCAAAATAACAAAATAAAATTTACCGTCTATCATTAAGTCTTAAACGTTTCATTTCCGAAACTTTAAGTTTTCTTTCCTCAATTTTTCTTCGTTCTTCACGCTTTGCATTAATTTGAATTTTAAGACTTGTTTCACTAGTTTCTTGTAAATCCATTAAGCAATGCATCATCTAAAATTGAAATAAAAAATTATTTTGATATATGAAAATTGGGGAGGGAATGGTGCCTGAATCCTTGTAAAATCAGAATGTCGACTGGAGCAAGGAGAGGGAGCAGTCTAAGCGCTACCCTCCTAATTTAATATACCAGACTTGGTAATGGACATGGATTTTGGTATCCGTATCCGGATATTTACGGCTGATACAAAAGATATCCGCATGCATTTTGAACTTATCTGCATCCATATCCGTATCCATTACCAAGCCTGTAATATACAAGTGATTACAATCTACATTTTTTCAACCCATTAGTATATCTTATATCGAGATTCAAAACTATTTAAGAATAATAAAAAACAGACCATAGCCTCCTTTTGCATATTCAAATATTCAGCCTGTTCAACTCCCGTATCTAAAGCCAACAAAATAGATACACTATTTTTCTGTCTGGCACGTCCTCTTCTTTGAATCATTGAACGTTCAGAACCAACATTATTATATTTAACAATTAAATTACAAGCAGTAATATTTACACCTTCTTCAGCAACTGATGTCACTACCAAAACTTTTACTTTTCCAGTATCAAAATCTCTAATCATTTGTTGTTGTTCTTGTGTAGATTGTCCACCGGCAGTTAAAGTTTGATTTGAACTGACCATATAACCAACATTCTATTAAAAAAATTTTTTTACTAAAAATATTAGGGTGGTAAGTAGGTATGAGGTTTTTAGAGTGATATTTAGAGACTTTTACTTTTCCAGTATCAAAATCTCTAATCATTTGTTGTTGTTTTTGTGTAGATTGTCCACCGGCTTTTTACAATCTACAATCTTATGTAGATTGTCCACAAACTTTCCTATTCCAGGTAGGAAAGTTTGGGGTCGTTTGTCAGGTTAAAACTTTTGGGATCGAGATTTAGCTAAGAAGGTCGGGGTTAAACGAGATCGGGGTCCAACGGAATCGAACCGAATAGTCGAGGATTTTTATGTTAGTTCTTTTTTCACAACTTTCTCTACTACATATATTTACAACCCATTCAATATTTGAAAAAATATTTTTCTTCTCTATAAATAAGAAGTAAAACCCATTTTTTTAGAGGCGAATCAAAAATCCGCCGTTTCCTGTTGGGGGTTGTAAAAGATTTCCTTATCATTACATCTTGGACCATAAATTTGGGGCAGGTCCCCTCGATTGGCTCTTAATGGTCTCCCTAAACGGTTGTATTCGGTTGGAGGCTTTTGTTTCGCTTAAATTTTTTTTAAAAAATTTCTTGAAAAATTTTTCAAAAATTCTTGAAAATTTTTGTAGGATCCATGTTTCAAAAATTCAAAAAATTTTTTCACCTCTTTATTGTAAAAAATTGGAAGTTCAGGCACTTTTTTAAGATGATCAGAAAGTTTAGAAGCACAATTTCTAGTAGCAACAAAAATTAAACAACGAGAATCTGGATCAGATTGAAATTGTTCTCGAAGAATCTTTATTTTTTAATTAATTTATTTAATTAGTTAAAAAATTTTAATTTCTAAACTAACAGAATACAATTCTTTAAGAATTTCCTTCTTTTCAAGTTGTTCAGTTTTAACACACTCATATAATTTTGAGTAGACTTCTGAAAAAATTCTTTTTAAAAAAATTAAAAATAATAAAATTTACCTAAAAAATAACCAAGTAATCTTTGATTAATTAAATCAATTGGGCTAGAATTATCACCAGTGTTCTTCTTATAATCGTTCATTTTTTCTTGTAAATAGGAAAAAGCATAAGATCTTGGTAATAAATCGTTAATTAAAATGGCGTGGAAATAATGCTGAAAATTAAAAGGTAATAGGTATTAATAAACATTCAGGAAGAATATATTTCCAAAAAATTTTATATTTAAATATAAAATATGTATAGAACAGGGATCGCGCCGACAAAAAACAAAAATTCCCGATTTTCGTGAATTCACAAGCCAAAAATCGTCGGGAATTTACGATTTTCGAGAATCGTGAATCGAGTTGGCGCGATACCTGGTACAGACTATGCCATTGTCGAAATCCGATTTCATGTGAGTCAATTTTCATTGCTTAATATAAGAACTAAAGACCGGCGCGGGACGGGATCCCGACGGGATTTTCCGGGATCCCGATCCCGAAATCCCGGATTTTTTTGATTTTCGGGATCATTCGGGATCCGGGATTTTTTCGGGATTACTCCCTCGGGATCCCGTCCCGGCATCGGTTAAAAAATAAAATCCCGACTCGGGATCCCGGACATTATTTTATAATTTTCGGGAATTTTATAATTTTCAAAATTTTCGCCTGCGGCGCTGAAAAAAAGAAGAAATCTGTCTTCTTGTCCACTAAAAATTCTCAAAATTTTCGCTAAAAACGGGAGAAAATTGGAGTCTTTACTGGAGATAAAGCGGAGGGATATTAGTATATAGTGGGATTTTATCAAGGGACCTGTTGATTAATCCACCGATATCCCTCTAAATCTATTATAGAGTGAATTAAAGGAGGAGGACAATCCAATTATAAAAAATTATTGATATTTCTACAAATTTAATTTTATTTACTTAGTATAAATTGCAGTATTTTATGCACTTTATTCATAAAAAGTTCAAATTTTTTATTTTGAAAAAAATCTTGAATCCCGGGCGGGATCCCGGATAATTTTTTCGGGATTTTTGAAATTCGGGATTTTTTCGGGATTACTCCCTCGGGATCCCGTCCCGGCATCGGTTAAGAAAAAAAATCCCGACTCGGGATCCCGGAAGTGCGATTTTGCCGGTCTCTAATAAGAACCCGGTAATAACTCGTTTGATAATCAAATATAAAATCTGACGTCAAATTAAAAATTCGACAAATAAAAAAATTCCTCAAAACTTACAGATAAATGGTCAATCGATCTAACCAATAAAAACCGCATTTCAGAATCCTGAACTCGTTGAGCACATTTTTTAAGATTACCCACAATTGTTTGATAACGAGAAATGTTTGAATGAAAGGGAAATTCAATTTCCTCCTAAAAATTTTAAAAGAAATTTTTAAAAATTATTTTTTAAAAATTACTTTTCTCAATTTACACAGTTCTGCCAATTTTTGCAAAGGTTGCTTCATTTCATTTTCAATTTTATACATTACACCTTCTACACAATCAAGGAAAGGATCCTCTGCAGGACGCTTGACACGTGTAACTTCTTAAAAAAATTTTTTTTAATTTTTGATTAAAAAAATATTTTCCCCCTTACTATCAACAGGAGGCATAACATGACTTTTCAAATTATCTAATTGATGTCTAACAGTAGTTATAGTTTCTGAATGTAAATTAGAGCACAGATTAAGCATATGTTCACAACAGGCTTTAATATCCAAACTTGTATCGCCTACACCCATAGAAGCTGTTAGGCCAACAATTTGTGGTTTTTCTGGTAAGTTGCTCTTTTCGAGCATTTCCATGAGTACTAAAAAGAAATAAAGAATGAATAAATAAAATTTCCGAAAATAGAACATTTCGGAAAGAAATATTAAATTTCAAAATGATTAGGGTTGCCAGCTCGCTCGACCCGAGACTTAAAGATAGAGCGAGTCGAGACTGTCTAGCTTTAAAAAATACGTGCATGACTCGAATCGAAAAATCCCCCAAACTCGAAAAACTCGGAAACGACCCGCTCAACAAATCCCAGGCTCAAAGAAATGCAAAGAACGTCGGCTCTAATAGAAAACGGCAACCCTACTGATGATATAAAACATCTTTCGGAAAATATAAAAATTTCCGAAAAATACAGAAAAATTCTTTTTAATATATAAAATACCAACTTTTGTATGGATGTAGTTTTGTCTATAAAAATAATTAAACATTTATATTTTATTTTTTTAAAAAAAGTTTACCGCATGGTGACACTCATCAAATATAATTAAAGTAAAATCAGCAAAATAAACACGTTCAGAACGTAAAATACTTTCTAACATATTTCTAAAAAAATTTTTTTAAACAAAAAAATAATAAAAAAGAAACATTAATATTTGTGGTGTCATAACCAAAATGTCTGCAGACAATAAACGATAAGCCCGGCCTTCCAAAATATTTTCACAACCACTAAAACCATCTACCCAATAAGCAATATTTGGACGATAATTATCTCTATATTCTGTGAGAAATTGAACAAAATGTAAAGATTGTTGATCAACTAAAGGAACTGTTGGTACAAGCATTACACACTTTAAAAAATATAAAAATTAGTAGGAAGTATTAGGAAATTTAAAATTTGCTAGTACTTCGTAGACAGTAGAGATCGAGCTGGAGCTGGACCTGGCCTAAGTTTTCCCTGTACCCAGAGTCCATGTCCAGACATTTTTTGACCTTCCTGGGTTTTTCCTGGGCCTTGGTTTTTCCTGGACTACATGCCCAGGATCCAGCCCAGGTCAATAAATCAAACACCAGAGACCAGGACAGGTCCAGGCTTTTCAAAAATCTCGATCTCTAGTAGGCAGGTACGTGTACTAATTTTTTGGCTTGCTAGAAGGAAGCCAAAAAAAATTTTAAAAGAAAATTAAATTTAAAACTTTTTACCCTTCCAACTTTTCCAGCACGATGACGATTTGTTAAATGATTTTTTATAATATCAACAGCTACCAAAGTTTTTCCACTTCCAGTTGGTGCACAAATAATTGTATTTCGACCTCTGAAGACAAAAATTAAAGAAAAATGAAACTTTCTCTCTTCGTTATTTTAAATTAATTTTGGCACACCCTAGTGTAAATTGAAACTAATTTCAAGGGCATAGCCAGAGGGGCTTCTGGGGCTAAAGCCGGGGAAAAGGGAAAAATTTGAGGAGGGGATTGCTAAAAACTTTTTTTTTGATTTTTTGATCACACAGGTACAAATATTTTAATCTTACATGGAAATAGAATAAAAATAATCCCTTAGATATTAACAACCAAAAAATTTTTTCAAAATTTTTCACCAATAAATTTTAAAAAATTAAAAATTAACTTGTTAGCATGCAAAACCAATTCGTTTTGATAAGGTCGTAAATCATAAGTTTCAGGTTCATATTCCAATACATTAGCTTTAAAAAATATTTAAATAAAAAATTAATAAAAAAAACAAAACTGCAAGTTTTATATTTTAAATAATCTTTTTGGTCTCTAGGAGTAGTTGGCTCTTCTTCATTATTAACCAAATCCGCAAAAAGTTCAGCAGAATTTGGAAGACCAGCACCAATTAATTTGTTCGCCTTCCATTTATCTAAAGAATATTAATTGGAAATTAAAACAAACAAACTTAGATCATCCAAATAATCTGGATCAATAAGTCTAGGAAAGAAACGGCAATCCCCATGACTTAAAAGAGCTTCAAGAAATTCATAATACCAATCCTAAAAATATTTTTTTTTATTTTTTAAAAAAGTTATGAGATTATTGAAGAGTGGGCAGCATTTCATGTGGATTTTTTGGCAAAATACTTTTAGAAACAAAATTTTTTAGAAAAAATGCAGGCAAATATTTTGTAGAAAAATGGTAATATTCAGTTATCTTCTCTGTTTTTCCCCTGTCTTTTCTATATTTTCAGAAATTTATAATAGAAATCTTAGGAAAAAATAAAGAAAAAATTGACAAATTTAAGCTGATTTAAACTTTCTTTCAAATTAATTTTTTATTCTTCCCTCCTTCGGGAAGAAGGAAGAAAAATAATAGGAAAGTGGATTTATGAATTTAAAATCAATCTCCTTCTTGAAAAAAATAAAATAGCCCATAAAAATCCCGCCCCCTCTTCATTAATCCCAAAAATTTTAAATTTACCCCAAAATTTTTTGTAGAATCGGCCACATCTGTACAATGAACTAATCCACGAATAAATAAACAAGCAGCTGCTTCAATCTCTAAAAATTTTAAATTGAAAAAATTCATAAAAGATACAAAAAAACCTCGTTTAGTAGGGTCATTTAAAGAATAAATTTTTTCAACTCTTTCCAATAAATGATCATATTCATGTATATTTTTACTTGAAAACCATCGAAAAATGTGTTTAGGTTCAAGAACACAACGAATACGATCCACTTTAAAACGATCATTGGGAGAAAATAAACGGATATAATAATCAATAGTTGCAAGACCATTTAAATGCAATTCGGCATAAGCCACTGGATCAGCTGGAAAAAAATTAATGTGTGAAAAAGGAAGGTAATGTGCCCCCTTTTCACTTATATTTATCTTTGTTTTTTACTAAATATTTTTGGATCACATAATATTGCCTGAATTTGAGATCTCAAAAAAAGTATTTTTTTCTAACAGACCTCTAAAAATAAGACTGTGTCTGGCGTGTAACTGTGTTTGGGGTGAACCGTTATATGTACTATTTTAAGAGTTACTTAAAAATTTATAGAAGGCCAAAAAATGCAAAGCTTTGAGTTACAGCACCGAGATTCCCTTGTAATACCGGGTGGTATCAAACCACTAACAATAAGACCGCCAGAAAGGGGAACTCAATGTTAAAATCCAAAAAGTCCCCAGTAAAAAATCGAAAATAAATTAATGTAAGTAAAAAGAGGGACGCAATTACCAAAAAGAAACTTTTAAAAAAATAACTAATTTACCATTTCTACAACGAGCAATAATTGCCAAAAGAATAGGCAAAGAATCAGGAATATTTGAACTTGAAATAATTTTAAAAAGATTTGCTTTTGTTGCTCTCAAAGCATCACGTTCTGCTTCTGTAGCTTCTTTACCCAAAACTAACGCCCTTTCCAAAGCAATTTTATATAAATTATTTAATTCGTCAACTTTGTGATCTTAAAACAAATAATTAATTTTAAAAATTTGTATTATGCGTTTTTCTCCTATGTCCGCAAATGTTTGTCCGCAAATTTTTTTGCGGACTCTCCTCTAATAAATATTTAAAAAAAGAAAAAAGGAAATGACACAACTTTGCGGACACGTTTTCCTCCCAACATGTCCGCAAATTTTTTTCCTTTCCTTTCCTTCAGTCTTTCTCCTCTAGTAAATATTTAAAAAAGAAAAAAAAACAAAAGAAAGAATTTGCGGACATGTTAAAAGAAAAATCCATAGCACCAAAAAATTTTAAAAATTAAATTAAAAATTACTTGCGAAATGTTTAACCAATTCATCAAAATCATTCCCAACATTTTCAACAAATTCAAAAACAAAAAGCCGAATATGTGATTCTACTGTTATTCCTTTTCGACGTAATTCATTTATCCAACGATTCAATTTTGCCGTTTCTTCCTCATTTGGTAAAAGTCCAGTTATTTCAGGAAATTTTGCTTTTAAAGAAAAAATTATTTTAAAAATATTAAAAAAATACCTTTAATTCGCATTGATCAACAAAACAGTATTTTATTTAATTAAAAAATTTACTAAAATTTTAACCCCTAAAATTAAAATTTTAATTAATTTTTATAAGACTGCTCCCGCAATCCCGCACTTTTTTCTATTTGCGGGAGTACGGGATTAGGAGGAATGACGGGATTCCGTCCCGCAAACGCGTTTTTAAAAGTTACTCCCTGTGGGATCCCGCAAAAAATTTTATTTTGCGGGGTTTTTGGAAAAAAGGGAATTTCAGCCCCCTGGCCCCTAACTTCGAAACAATTTTCGCCAGCGGCACAAAAAAAAAGAAATATTAAAAAATATTAAAATAAAATATAATATGTAGAAATAAAATAAATAAAAATAAATATTTATTAAACTTTTTTTTGGGAAAAAAGAAAAGGACAAAAAATATTATTTAAATTATCATTCTTCAAATATTTACAGAAGCTGCCCGTTCATTCTTTAAATTTTTACTAAAATCATTATAATTAATTGGTCCCCAAGACGGAAGAGGTTCAAATATATGTGAAACAGCATGTATTTTTGCAAATGCCATCAAATAATGGATTAAAGGAACAAGTACAGTTCTTTAAAAGAAAATTTAGAAAAAATTATTTCGAATTTATGAAGAATGGGAAGGACAAGCAGGACATTTTGTTGGTGAGCCTAACCCTAACCGAAAGCTATATACTAAGTTTGTTTTGGGATTTGTAGGAGACAATTCATTAAATTTTTCTACTTGATACGACAACTTGTGGTAATTTTTAACTTTGAGACCCCATTTTATTTAACCCAAATCTATGATTACAAATACCCAGTTATGCGTGTTAGGACATATGGTCCGGTTTTGTGCAAATATGTGAACCTATTGTAAATAGTAGTGCTACACCCCCCAACGTTGGCATAGGTCCTAATTGCAGAAGTTGGTGATTTACGGCATAGATTCTATTACACACGCACAATACCGGATCATAGGTCCTGACACGCAGATACAGATCTGAGGCTGGAATAAAAAGGTTAAAAATTACCCAAAATTACTTCAAATTATCAAAACAAAGTTCAGAATTACCCAAATTGTCCCATCAATCTAAAATTATTTGCGAATAAAATTTATTTTTAATGATAAGTGAAAGGAAAAAGAGCCTCAAATCCCACTCCCTTCCATTCTTCACTCAATTATTTAATTTAAATAATTTTTACAATGCAGCAAGTATAACCACCATCCACCCATAAAATTGAAATCCACTAGGGAAAGAATATTCCAAAACTTTTATCGATTTATTTTTGTAAACTTTAAATAATATAGTTACCTTTAAAAAATAATTTTTGAAAAATTATTTTTTTTAAATAAACTCTTACAACAATAAATGTTGGAGCAAATAAATAATACCAAATAGCAGAAAGTGTATAGAGTAAATGAGATTTATGTTGATGGTTTTGAAGCATTGTTTGGACATTACTTTAAAAGTCAAAAAATATTTTTTGGTTTTTTAAGTAAAGTTGGGCTTCACTATAAGATACACTCAATATTAGATATCAATGATGGTACTTGCCTTAGAAAATTCTGCAAAAGTCAAGAGAGAGGTCCTTCAGATACACCACAATTTAAGATATTAGTTTACAAATGGATGAATGAAGAGTAAGGTTGTGGGATAATTGTAAATTTTCGGATACGAACCAAAATTTTCGGATATCTAGTCTCTTTTCGGATCCGGACCCGAAAACCTTAATAAAGAGTGATACTTAAGCTAGTGACAATCAATTAATCAAGTGATACTCCCAATTTATAAAATACAAATTTTTCGGCCCTATATATCTTATAGTGAGCTTCAACAATGAAGATAATTTTTTAAAAAATTTACGCCAAATATCGTCTAAATCCATAATGTATATTTATAGCAAATCTAAAAAATTAAAATAATTTTTCAAAGTTAAAAAATCTTCCTTACATTTCAGAAAGACTAACCAACATAAATCCAATACTCGAAAATTCAATCCAGAGTTTACTAACAGTAATACCATTCGGCCCAATTAACCCAATCGAAGCAATAATTCCAAAAATAACAACACCACAAGTTGCAGAAAATTGAATTTTGTTATCTTCATCATGTCCCAAAAAAGCTTCTCTTTGTTTAAATTTAAGTACTAATTCTTCAAATGCAAATTTAACCATATCAAAACAAACAACCTTTTTTTAAATTAAAAAAAATAATAAAAATGCAGTAGGCTCGCTTTTAAGCACATGGGAATTGGGCAACTTCAATTTAAGATACTACTAAAGGATACTACACCTCAACTGGGACACGCCCGAAATGTCGCGCGGCCATAATGTCGCCGAGCCATAACTTGCTTTAGGATTTCCGAATCTTTCCAAATTTAGTATTAAACGATTCCAAATTGATAAGGGACAGAAATTTTTTAGCAAATTATGGCTTGGCGACATTAAGGCCGCGCGACATTTCGGGCTGTACCCCCTCAACTGAATCCCCGACCCTATAACTTATGAAGAGATGGACACTTCTTTATGTTCTTGGTACCTGTGGATAGAGCATTAAATAGGCTACAATATACCAAAAATCAAAATTCTTGAACGACTGGTAAAGAAGTTATGATCGATAAAGTGATGCACCCCTTCTTGTGTTATAGAGCCGGGACTCAGTTGAACTGCTCCGAGTACTAAAGGTCGTGTTTTTGTTAAACGAGAGGAGCTGATTAAGCGATACCCCAAAAGATTATTTAACCAAGTTAAAATATCTTTAACCCAAATTTAAGGAATAGAGCTCCAAGGTGTATCTAAAACAGAGGTGTTTCGAAACAAAAAAATCTTCGAAAATCGGAAATCGAAAATCGAAATAAATCCAAAAATATCGAAATCGAAAATCGAAAATATTTTTCAAAATCTTCGAAATCGAAAATCGAAAGAAAAAAAACCTCGAAAAACGAAAATCGAAAAACGAAAATCGAAAAAATTTTTTTAATAAAAGTAAATTGGAAAATAAATTTTTGTTATGTTGGAACTTTGCTTGAACTCAAGGAATTGGGGAAAACTAATGACTAGGATCGGAAATCCAGGGAGATCACGGATATCTAAGCCCAAAATTTTGCATATCCGAATATACGGACCGGCTCCGACCTATTCAAATCTTGGTCCGATGCCGGTGATTTTCCGAGCCGTTTCATGTTGTCTCCAGATTAAGAGGGATTAAGAAAGAGATCTAATCCTCTATTATTAAGAGAGATAATGAAGGATTTGAGTAAAATCCCCTGAATATAGTAAAGCAGAGCTAGACCGCTTTGCTCATAAGGTGGGGCGGTACCTGGCATAGGGTTCAAGCATGGGAGGCTTCCAAATCCACCTTAATTCAAGCAAATCCTCCAATATACTCCAATATACCGAAGCCAAAGCAGAATATTGTTAAGAGATCAAGGATTCCTCCATTTTGCGCCGCAGGCGAAAATTTTTAAAAATTTGTAGGATCCTTAAGCCACTAATCTTCCTTATTCTGCGCCGCAGGCAAAAATTTTTAAAAATTTGGAGGATCCTTATGCTAAAACTCGTCCTTTTTCTGCGCCACAGGCGAAAATTTTTAAAAATTTGTAGGATCCTTAAGCCACAAATCTTCCTTATTCTGCGCCGCAGGCAAAAATTTTTAAAAATTTGGAGGATCCTTATGCTAAAACTCGTCCTTTTTCTGCGCCACAGGCGAAAATTTTGTGATTTTTGGAAGATCCTTAAGCCAAAACTCTTTCTTTTTCTGCGCCGCAGGCGAAAATTTTGAAAATTTATGAAGGCCGATAAGCCAAAAATCATCAACTTTGGCGCCAAAAATTCAAATTTTTTCAAAAATTCGGAAATCGAAAATCGAAAATATCACAAAATTTCGAAAATCGGAAATCGAAAATCGAAAGGAAAAAAACCTCGAAAATCGAAAAACGAAAATCGAAAATCGAAATTTCGAAACAGCTCTGATCTAAAAGTGAGCTCTGTTTAAAATTAAATTTTATACAGTGTGTGTAATTCCAAGAAATCCAATAGCCAAATAATGAAGAACACCAAAAATCCAACCAAATTTAGTACTCCAAATTATATGCTCTGGAAACATTGTGATGGGCTAAATAATATTTTAGAAAGGGCACATCAATAAAAATCAAATTTATACCGTCACGTGTTCATGTGTAAACATAAATTTAATTCTATGGGGTATTTCATCTTCCGGATATATTCTATGAGCCATTGAAGCAATTGAAGAGAAATGAGTAATTCCAGATATTAAACTAAATAATCTAAAAATTCAAAAAAATTAATTTTAAAAATATTTTCAATTAATCTTTACATATCAGCAGCACTTGTAATTAAAGCATTGTAGAAAAAATTCTCATTAAAATCAGACAGGCTGCTAATTTTTTGTACAGAACCAGTACCCAAAGCTAAAGAAACAATTACAAAACCAACAGCTATAAATAAAATTTTTAAATTATCTTTTCCTATTAAAGTCAAACCTCATTATTTAGATAACCCTTGAGATAAAAAGAATTGTGTCCTTATAATGAGGGGTATTTTAAATAAGGAGTATCGCTTATTGTTAGATAACTCCCCTCACCCGGGTACAGCCTGAATAGTCGCGCGGCCATGAGGTCGCCAAGCCATAACTTGCTAAAAAATTTCTGGTCCTTAACAATTTTGGTACCGATCTTTTTAGCTCGATGAGAGGAATCGTTTAATACTAAATTTGGAAAGATTCGGAAATCTTAAAGCAAGTTATGGCTTGGCGACCTTATGGCCGCGCGACTATTCGAACTTGTCCCCCCTCGCCCATTGGACAACCAAATAAAGAAAACAAATTTTAAATTGACGTTTTGGGTGTATCAAAAAAATGAGATTCAACTAAATTGAAAAAAACCGTCTGCCCAAATTCCAAAGCTTGATAAAGGAGACAAATCAAATTTAAAAAATTCATGCCAATCAGCGTCTGCTGGTGTATAATACAAACCTTTTTTAAAATTATTTTTAAATTAATAAAAAAAATTTAAAAAATACTCATCAACATATTCAAAAGCATTGCAACACCAATAATTCCTTTTAAACAAACAAATGTTTTTCCCAATTTTCTGATTCCAATATAAATTAAAAATCCCGTAACTGTCCAAATAATGAGCAAAATTGCGCCTGATTTAAAAGGAAAGAACCACTCTTTTTGATGCCAGATTGGCTGAAAAATTGGAAAAAATTATTTTTTAACAATCGGACCCCACTAAAAGATAACCCCAATACTAGATGACTTCCATTTAAGAGACGTTTTCTTCATTTAGTTGGGCAATGGGTGGGGAGTAAGGATGGCGGATCCGGATCTGAAAAAGGCCGGATATCCGGAAAATTTCGGTTCGGATGTTCGAAGATTTACAATTATCCGACAACCTTGACGGGGAGGTGTCCAATGTCCACTTTAAAATACAGCTCATTATATGACTTTTTTAAACCTCAAAGATGTATCTTATAATAAAGTCCGACTGTATTTATTTTTAAAAAATAACCATATAAACATTTGCTGTAATAAAATCCAAGTGTGGCGGTCTCCACATTCTCCATCTTTGCTTTGACGAAACATTATAAATTATATCAAGACCACGAATCCACCCATGACAATTTAATGAATTAAATTCTGCGAGTGTATGTGAAGTGTTGCTTTGAATAATTTCATAACATTGAGTATAGCTACTGGAAAAATAAAAAAAATAAAAAGAAAATTCTGAATAAACCGTCTAAAGCAAAGATGACTAGAACCAGAAAATGTACAATTATTCCATAAAGGTCCCCCACTTCTAAAACCTTCACGTATTGTATATAATGCAGACAAAATAGCTTGAGTAGAATCAGCAGCCATTGAAATTGCTTTAAACATTAATAGAGCTAACATAACTGTGCCGATTCCTGAGAGAAAAATTTTTTTTCTTTAAATTTTTAAAGTAACCAGCAAGAGACGGGCACATTTTCCTAAATAATTCGACTGGAGGAACTGAAGCAAATTGACCCAAAGCCATCTCAACACACAATACTGGAACACCAACAAACAAATAAGCAGAAACATAGGCAAAAATGAAAGGAACTAAAAATTATTTTTAAAATTTTTAATAAAAGATTTTGGCGCCGGTCTAGTTTATGCGTCCAATCAAATCGGGTATGGTTCCGCAACATTTCTTCATGTTCCGGACATACGCCCACTGGGTCTGGAAAATAAAAAAAATTCCTTACCCTATCCATCGAAATTTTCCTTAAGTTAAAATCGTTCTTCTGCAATTTTTAAAAATAGGCTAAACTTTCAAAAATTTCGAGGGATAGGGTAAGGATCGGTCCCTGATCCAGTGGGCTTAGGTCCCGAACATGAAAAAAGTTTTGAACCCATACCCCAACCTTGCAACACCAAGAAAAATCCAATTTTCTTTTGATTGGACGCATAAACTAGACCAGCGCCAAGATTTTTCTCTAACCTCCACCATGAAGTGTACATACTAAAAATAAATAAAAAATATTTTTAAAAATTTAAAAAACTTACAATATGGAAATTTAATCATATTACTCTGAGAGAGTATATGAGAAAAGTGGATGAAATGGTGATAAACACCTTTCTTTTCCCAAGGCACTCGAGTTCGTAAAGAACGCATAGATATTCCAGACAGCATTCTTTCACTTTCAATACTATGCGGATATTCATCCCCTTCAATGCTTGATGGGGGACTGCTGGCCTAAAATTGGATAAAGATTAAAAAATACATTCTTTTAGATAAAACCCTTTTAACGCTGACATCCTCATATTCAAAACTGCTTGTACGAGTTACTTCATTAGATGATCTCGAAACCTGTTGATAAATTGGATAATTAAATATAAAACATTAAATACCCCCGAAGAAGACATTTCTAATTATTAAGAAAATGGATTTTTAATGAAAATAATAAGCGTTTTGCTGTTTTATAAAATATTTATTGTTGCTAAAAATCAAATAAAAATTAAAAACTTATTTAGTTTGCAATGGTTTTTTATCGAAGCTTAATGATATTAAGTGTTCTAAAAGTAAGTAAATGGACTTACAAAGTTAAGAGGGTAAAAGAGGTATTTTGGAAGTCTACGTTAAACTTACATCTACTTTAATTACTTCTTTTGCTAGTGGGCAGGGGTGTGCCGAAACAGATTTTAAAAAGCGAAAGACGGAAGTCGAAAAAAGGCGGAATTTTGGCGAAAGACGGAAGTAGAAATGGCACATCCCTGTTTTAGGGCAATGTCTGATTTAAAAATCCCGGACACAAGCAATCTTAAAAAATACGCCAGAATCCTACCGGCATGGTCCCCAAATCTAAATCAAGAAAAAAATACAAATTGTAATGGTATAAAAGCTTAACACTGCGACCGCGTCTTATCGTTAAAACGTTAACTGTTTAATTTTTGAAGGTTAATTTTTGTTTTTAAAATTTTTCTCTGATTTAAACACAACGCCAATTTTTCCTTTATAATTTAGAAATTCAAATTTGTTGCCCGATGGCTCCCGGAGATTTGGGGAGTGGACACTTGGGGAGTGGACATTAGGGGAGTAGATAAATGGGGAGTGAGCGGACAATTGGGGAGTGGACATTTGGGAAGTAGCATAACGATAAAAATACAAGGAATATTAAATAGTTTTTCTTGCTTTTGTATTTAAAAAATGGTTACGTATAAGTTCACCGGAGATAAAAGTTTGGGAATATGTCATTCGATTCGTCTCGGCGAGCTGAGTCGAACTCCAATTTTCGAAAAAAAAACTCAAACTCCAATTTCGGAAAAAAATCCAACTCCCTATTTCAGGAAATGATTCTGAACCGAGTTCTAGGTAAATTGAAAAACAATAGTGGGAGGGGGTAAGCTCGATTTTGGAGTAAAAAATTCGAATATGCAAGTAATAGCTCATTCGAAAGAGCTTTCGATCTGAGTCGAATGACACTAAAATTAGCTTGATTAACCAAGTTTGAGTCGAGATATAGGGCTCGAAATGGTCAAATACCAATGGTGGGATTTTAGAGTCAAAAATTCGAAAAAACATATAATAGCTCATTCGAGAGATTCCTAATTTATTTTTTTAAATACAAAAGCAATAAAAACTATTTAATATTTTATTGTATTTTTATCGTTAGGCTACTCCCCAAATGTCCACTCCCCAATTGTCCGCTCACTCCCCATTTATCCACTCCCCATTTATCCACTCCCCAAGTGTCCACTCCCCAAATTTCCGGACACGTGCCCGATATCACGTTTAAGTGATTGCAACTTCAATGGTATTTTGTTGCTGTTCAGGCAGTTGTTGTTCCATAAATTGTTGTGAAGATAAGAATGGCCATTCAATTCCTAGGCTTACAAAAATTGAAGAGAAAAATTTATCGATGGAAGAACAATTAATGTTGGCTATAAAACGCTCATCTCTACGTTCAATTGTTAATTGCTATATTAGAGGTGTTAATGCAGATGCTGTAATAGATCCAAGTAATGGAGAAAATCCCTTACATCTTGCTGTTAGAGTGAGTTTTTCGGTTTTATTAGACTACCGTGAGTGGTATTTTGTTGCTGTATCGAGAGGTCACAGGTTCGATCCCTCTCCGGTGTCTAAATTTTTTTTCTCTCTCTAGTAAAGACCAGAGTTGTAACCCGACCCCGAACCCCGTTCCCGAACGATTTTTTCCCGATTCTCCCCGACCCGAACCCCGCCCCGAAACAATTCGAAAACCTCGTACCCCGACATACCTGCCCCCGAACGTTCGGGGTACAACCCTAGTAAACACCAGGTAATTCCTAACATGTTTTATAATTAAGACAAACCTTACAACAGTACAAGCAGTCCTTCTCCTTTTCGCAAATGAGCAAATGTTGACTGGACGGAACAATAATGGAGATCAACCGTTACAATTAGCAGGCAGTTATTCTTCAAGAATACGCAAATGTATTCAACTTTTTATCGACATTCATTGTAAAAAGGATAAAGAAGACTCTGACGATGAAGGAGAGAATGAAGAAGAAAAGTTGCCGAATAATAATGATGAAAGAACCAAGCCTCCAATTCTTCTCTCTCTTGATGGGGGTGGAATTAAAGGACTTGTGCTAATAAGGGTTTTAACGTCTTATAATGCATAAATTATTTTTAAAATTTAGGTGCTTCTGATTATCGAGAGAAATTTGGGCAAGGATTTATGGCCCCTAATCGACTGGGTTGCTGGTATGTAAATTGTAACGGATGAGGGACAAAACACAGTCTGACCAAAATACCTTATGGACGTTAAGTTAAAAACACCGTCCATGTTTACAGATAATAAATTCGATTTGTGATATGGCTATTGGTCTTAATTAGTCCTATAAATTGTATGCCTAAAAATTTTATTTATACTTTTTATACTCATGGGTTGACGGTATTTTGGTCAGACGTTGATTTGTCCTGACACGAATATAACATTTCAGGACAATAGAAATTTAAATATTCTAATTTAGGAACCAGTACTGGGGCAATTCTCGCTTGCGCACTTGCTAAAGGTCATTCCTACTTTCTAACCTTAATTAAAAATTTTTTAGGAAAATCATTAACGGATTGTCAAAAGCTTTATTTACAATTAAAGAATATTGTCTTTAGAGGATCTCGACCATACAATCCTGTAGTGTTGGAACGAATATTAATTCAGACATTGTCTACAGATTTTATTTCTTCTATTGAAAAGCCGAAATTATTACTAACTTCTGCTAAAATGAATATTGCACCTCCTTCATTGGTTCTCTTTCGCAGTTATCAACTCCCAGAGGAACTTACAAAAGGGGAGGACAAGATGGAAGAGGTAATTTATTGAAACAAATTTTTCAACTAATTTTTAAACATTTAATAGATGGGATATGTTGACAGAAATGTGACTACTATATGGAAAGCAGCTCGTTGTTCAAGGTGATTTCTTAATTTCAAATTGGGTTAAAATAATTTTGGAGGGTAAATTAGAGATCGAGAGAGATCTCGAACAAAGATCGGTTATCGAGATCGATATTTTTCGAGATACAAGTTCGGTCTCTAGTCAAAAGACCCTTGAGACTAGGGTTGTACCCCGTCCCCGGAAGTTGGGGAATTTGAGACGTTTGTAACCCCCCCCCCCCGTAGCGTTATTTTTCGAAATACCAGTTCGGTCTCTAGTCAAACCTCATTACACCCTTGAGACTAGGGTTGTACCCCTTCCCCGTAAGTCGGGGAATTTGAGACTTTTTTTTATAAATCTGCCCCCCCCCCCCGTAGCGATATTTTTTTAAATACCAGTTCGGTCTCTAATCAAACCTCATTATAAGGTGTGCCTTTAATTTGCTTCAATTTTTAGCGCCGCTCCAACATATTTTCCACCGTTTGATGACATTTACGTCGATGGAGGTGTTATCTGCAACAATCCAACAATGGAATTGCTCACAGAATTTGTAAAACTCCGTCCTTATTTTAAATTGCCTAATCCACATTGTGTTATATCAATTGGCACGGGAACTCCTCCCTCGAAGAGTTTAACAATTCATAGATCTTTTATTTGGAGACTTCTTCAGCGAGTTTCGAGGAATACCGAATTTATGCGGAATATGGCACAAGGGCTTGTGGAGCAAGTAATTTTTATTTTTAAAAATCAAATCTGTCAAATTTTCTTCTTAAAAGATTACCGAGTCAAACCGTCGACCTGTTATGCATTGTAGTGCTTTCTGTGCTGCTTTAGGCGTCCCCTTCTTTCGTTTCTCTCCGCGTTTGAGTGATGATGTGGTGAGGAATTTTTAAAATTTTACAAGAAGGTTTTAATAATTTATTTCAAATTTTAGCGTATAAACGAAGTCGATGATGCCTGTATTCTTAAAATGCTTTGGGATGTTGAAGTTGCAATGTATGCAGCAAGGAAAGATGTAGATAAACTAGTTAAAATTCTGAAAAGTCGAATTTAAATTAACTATTTTTATTTTTTTGTATTATACATGTACATATATGCTGTATTTTTATTAAATTTAATATTTGTAAAATAAATGTTTTGTTGGTTATTGTTTTCTTTACAAGTTTAATTAGCTCTATTTATTTTTATTTATTTCATGTGAACACTTTTCGAATTTGTCACGTTGTTTTTTGTTCTCATCAGTTAAAGCTTGAAGAGTCCTTATTCGAATCGTTCACCCCAAAATCACAGCTCGGCCCCAGTACGTTTTTTCGGTTGTCATGAACTTTCATGTTTGAATTTTTCAACTAGAAAATCAGCTAGGGACTAGTGCGGTTTTGATGTTTTCGAAAACATGGAATTCTAGACATCCAGACAAACTGTTACGTTTAAACTCGGATTTGTTTCGAAACTTTACTTATATGTAGTATTCTGTACTATATTCTCATTTTTTTCTAATTGATACTTTTTACTAGGGTTGGACACGACCGATTTTAAAACCGGAATTTTTGATATTTTTGCTAAAAAGTAACCGTTTTTATAAAATTTTAAAAACCGAAAATTTCTGAAAATGAGTTTTTTTTGTATTAAAAATTCCCCCCAAAATAAAGCCTGTATTTGACCAAAACTCAAAACCGAACCCGGGAATCTTACGGTTGTATCCAACTCTACTTTTTACTATAAAAGCTCTACTAGAATGTTACTGTTTTCGCATACCATCGTCTCGTAGCACAAACATTCAGCGGATAACCGGCGTTTCTGGTTTTCACAAGAAGAGATGTCAATGCTGAAGAAGACTCCACTCTTTTGTGCAAAGGAATGCGCCACTTTTCTCGATCTTCTACTTTCAACTAGGTCAAAGGAATCACAGGTACTTTGACGCCTTTGTTCCATTCCTTTCATTTTATTTAGGTTGCTGCTTCTCTCTACTTCAGAAAAAAACTCGCAGCGTGCCAGGAGCCTCCTGAAGAGTTGGTTGAAACAATTGTGAGTTTGCGATAAAGCACATTTAAGAGTTCTAATCCTTCCAACTTTTCAGATCCTCGAGCTTATTAACTGCCTCCGTCGTCCTTCAAACGAACTTCAGTTGAATGCTTCTTGGGCTCTGACAAATTTAGCTTGTGGCTCTCGTCAAGAAACGCATAGGATTATTGCCAGTGGAGGCATTGATGCGCTTGTTCACGTTGCGTCGACAACAGTGGGAGAAATTCGGGATCAGGCTATTTGGGCGCTAGGAAATTTGGCAGCAGATTGTGCCTCGTGTCGACAACAAGTGCGAGCTTCAGGACTTTTGGCCTTATTAATTGTAATGCTGGAAATGCCAGATTATCAGGCTCACGATCCTCGCAAAATTGTTATTTGGTGCTTGGCTAATTTGCTTCGTGGTGGAATGAATGACATTGAGCTTGATGTGAGTTTGATTGGTTTTTTGTTTAAAAAAACAAAGACTTTCTTTCCTTTTCAGAGTGTCGGCCGACTTCTCTCTTCACTTCATGTGACTCTATCCCTCTACGATACAGGCGAAATTCTCTGTGATGCTGTTTGGTGTATTGCATATCTCATCGACCACGCTACAATTGAAGGAGAAAGAGTTTAGTAAATCTCTCTTTGAATGATTAATTCCCTCTAATTACCTTTCTTTTGCAGATTGATCTGTTGTTTGCTCAACCAGGCCTAGCTGCAAGTATTGTCAATCTACTCAAGTCTGATTCTCTTCGTGCGCTCACTGGGGCTCTTCGCACTGTTGGAAACATCATCACCGGAACAGATGAGCAAACCACTGCAATTCTTGACCTTGGCGTCCTGGAAGATTTGGTAAAATATTTTCAAAAATGATTTTTTGATTAAATTATTTTCATTAAGAGTGATCTAGTCAACTCCAACGTCCATCAAATTTCGCGAGAATGCCTTTGGATCCTCAGCAACATCGCTGCCGGTACTTCAGAACATGTCACTCGCCTTTTCTCAGTCGATGGAATGGCACAAAGCGTTTTTCAACTTGCCTACGATCAGAGTCCAAGAAAGCGAAAAGTCGGTTTCGAGTCTTTTTAAGTAAAACAATTCTTTAAATTATAGGAAGCGTATTGGGTTGTTGTGAATGCGATGATGGGAGCGCCGCCGTCTCTTTATGAATATTTGATGAGTGGAGGTCTTGCACAAATTCTAGTGCAGCTGCTTGAAGAAAATTTGGACGCGGCACTGCTTGAGCGTACTTTGGTTAGTTTTCTCAGTTATTTACTCTAAAAAACACCCTTTTTTGTTTAAAGAACACAACACAGCATTCACTTCAAGACAGATCCCGAAATCGTTTATACACTATTGCATTGTTCCGACGCGTTGGCTTGGTAGAGCAGATTGCTAAAATTGCGTTCAACAACTCAACTTTAAATGAAGTTGATCCTGCTTCTGTAAGTTGAAACTTATTTTATATAAGTAAAAATCCCATCTTTTTTCATAGAATTTGGCTGCTACAATTCTGCAACAACATTTTGGAATCCATATCGGACGGGTGGAAGGGGGCGGAAATATTAGAGGAGGGAGAAGGAATGAAGAAAATGAGGAGGATATTGTTGGCCAGAATGTTCGCTGTGTATATGAGGAATCTGTGGAACTTGCATCAGCAGCGTCAACATCGAGAAATGTAAACCAAAATTCTTCAGAGGAGCGAAAGTCGATTTTGGTCAGAATCAAAAGAATGGATGAAACTTGTGATAAAAAATAAAAATACACCTATTGTACAAAATCCCTTTTTGTGTGTTGTGTATATATGTATTTATATAAATAAATCTAAATGATCAAGTTGATTTTTAAATACCTCTACCATAAATTTGGCGCTCCGACACGGGCACAGTGATCCATTTGCACATTAAGACAATTGCACATTGGGCATCTGCACAGTGGACAATTGCACAGTAATTTGTGGTTAAGTGCATTTGTGTTAGACTTTCTGATAAGTTTTTTAATAATAAAGTGGTTTTTCTTAAACAAAAACAATTTTCCCTCTTCTATAAGCAATTTTTTCCGTTGTTGGAAAAGTTGTTCGCGGGAGGCGAAAACTGCAGAGATATAGGCAATAGAGTAAACCAAGCGGTAGAACAATAGAGTAAACCAAGCGGTTTTTTGGGGTAAAAAATTCGAAGATGCAAATTATAGCTCATTCGAAAGAGCTTTTTGAGTTGAGTCGGCTGACACCAAAATCATCTTGATTGGATGATTCTGAACGAAGTTATGACCTATAGGTGAATGAGCCTTGCGTTTATTTGGAGTGTTTCGCGACTAAACAGGCGTTTTGCGAATAAATGGTTAGGTCGTTTTGCGAATAAACAAGACTTTACTGTGCAATTGTCCACTGTGTAATTGTCCTCTGTGCAAAAGTCTTACTGTGCAAATGGATCACTGTGCCCAAGTCGTGTCACCCATAAATTTGGTTGACGGAAAATACCAAAATATTTTTTTCTAGTTTTCTGAATAAATCCTGACGATTCTTGCCCAATTGTCCTTTGTCTAAATGGTTTTTTGACCATTTGTCTAGCTTTGATTAGGGACAGCCCAAAACGGCGCGCGGCCATAACGGCGCAAATCCTTAATTTGCTTCAAGATTCCCCAATCTTTCCAAATTTAGTATTAAACGATTCCTCTCATCGAGCTAAGGAGATTGGTAGCAAAATTTAAGGGCCAGTTATTTTCAACCAAGTTATGGCTTTGCGCTTTATGCCGCGCGCCGTTTTGGGCTGTATCCTTTGATTGCCGTTCCACGTTAATGTTCTTTTTACTTTGATTCTGATTAATTTTTTCATTTTTCCAGACAAATTTGCTCAATTCTCAAACTTTAATTAAGCTGCAAAAATGCTTTCACTTTATCAAATTCTTGAATTTTCTTTACTTGTTGTGAATGGATTTGCGATTATCAATAAAGAAAGAGTTTTAAATAAGGTTTAATTTTCTAATTTTTTTGTTAAATTTATTTTCATTTAATTTTTAGTATTTAAAAAATAGACAACACAGCTTTCACGAGGACAGTGAAAATTCGATTGTTTTGAGATTGGTTAATCTTGTGTTGGCAGTTCAGACAGTGCTTAGATGTAATTGATATTTGGTAATTTTGAATTTTGTTCCTCTTTTCTCTTTTTCTCCAATCTCACATTATTTTTAATAGGTCAAAAAAAAATTGGTATAATTTGACATTTAAGATATTAAGGGAAAGCGTAAAATAGTTCCAGATCCAGGAAGGTCCAGGTTTCATAAATTTAAATTCGAGTTCGTTAACGACAAGAATTTTCTAGAGAGCGAGATTTTCAAAAAAAAACCTTGTCCTTGATTTTGGATGGGTACCTGACCATATTCTTGACCTTGAGTCAAGGAAGAATCAAGGAACGCTGAAAAATGCCTTCATCTGGATCCAGGAAAAATCAAGGTCTGGATCCAGCTCGCTCTCTAGAATCTTCCCGAACCCTCTGGTAAAATTCTTTCTGAACATCTCCGTATTTTTGGCACGGAAAAAGAAGATAGGATCATCTGTCACCGAACATTTTCAATATTTTAATAAAAATTTCGAACCGGATACCTACTTTGAAACTGACGGAGGAAGAAAAGGGGGAGTGAGAGAAACGAAATTCAAGATTACCATTAACGTTATTCTTTAATTTAAAAATAAATTTTTTTAATTTTCAGTTCCACTTATCTTCCTAAATATTATTGCAATTATTTTTAAACTTTTGTTTGGCTAAAGTTTGATTTTTTTCAGAAAAAATATTTACAAAATTTGTGTTAATAAATTATTTTAAATTAATTTTTCGGTAATATTTTGAACCTGTCAGACCACAAATTTTCCTTCCCAAGTTTTTTCCTATACATCTACAGAATGATCAGACTTCTTCCTCTCAATTCAATTGCCTTCTATGTTTTGCCTACAAACAATCAAAAGAAATTTTTTATTCCCCCTGGATGGAAGAAAAGAAAATTGGGACGGAAGAGGTCTGACCATTCTAAAATATATAGGAAAACACTTGGGGAAGAAAAATGGGGTCTGTCAGGTTCAAATTTTTCTTTAAATAAATTCTTTTTATTCGTCTTCATCAATTACTTTCCTTCTCTTTACCTTCTTTTCTGTTTGAACAATTTCAGAATTTTCATCAGAATCTTTTTCTATCATTTCTTCATCTTTTTGTTGATTGCTTTGTTGAGTTTTTAAAGAATCCAAATATTTATCCAAATCATCGTTGTCCTCGTCACTAGATTCAACCAATTTTTTGCTCTTTTGGTCCTTTTTATGAGTTTGTTTTGAGTTGATTGTTGGGTTATTCTGGAATTTAATTTTGAAATTTATTGACCCCCTTGTATTACGTGTTCTTTTTGTTTTACTTTTGGCAACTAGATCGATTAAGGAATTAATTTTTAAAAATCGTTTTACCGAGGATAGCTTTTCGGTCCCCATAGGTAGTTTTGAAGGTTCGTCTTCAGGAAGTCGAAGCCCCTAGAGTTATATGGTTGAGTTTCCTCGAGCTTCAACATTTATAAAAAGCTACGTAAGCGAAAACCTAGCTTCTTGAGCCATACAAGGGAAAATAGCGACTAAACAAACAAAAGACGGGGTCCATAAAATCCAAAATTCCCCAAAATTTTTTATAAAAATGTTTCGATAAAATCTCTTAAAATAAAAAAATTAACCTCATCCTTTTCAACATTCTCATCCTCAACTATTTCATCATCCTTATCTTCCGCCTGAGAGCATCCAGGGCGTAGTCTTTTCATTGTTGCCTTTAAAAATAAAAATAAATTTTTTAATCAAAAAATCCCCCTCAAAAAACCTGTACTAAACGTTTCCTTCCCAACTTTTCAATTTTATCCAAACAATCATCAAAATTCATTTTAGGGAAGAGATTGTGTGCCCAACATTCCATTTTATTTAAAAGTATATCCAATTTTTGATACTAGAAAAATTAAAAAAAATTTTTTTTAATTTTAAAATTTTCTCGGCGCTGGTCTAGTAGTTTATGCGTTCAATGAAAAGAAAATTGGATTTTTCTTGGCTTTGCAAAATTGGGGTATGGTTCCAAAACATTCTAAAAATTCCAAAAAAAAAACGATTTAACCTTCAGAAATTTTGCGGGATAGAGAAAGAAATGGTCCCAGACCAAGTGGGCGTAGGTCCCGAAAAAAGTTCACTGGACGCGAAAACGCGTAAACTAGAATAGCGCCATTTTCTCTTACAGGATCATATTCTTTTGGAAAATTAAAATTATCAAAAGTTGCTTTTAACGCTTCAATCCCTTTTTCAGAAGTTAATTCTTTTTCTGATAATTTTGGTTGAGGCCTTCTAATTTTTCTTTTTGAATTTTTTGTTTCGTCTTCTTCTGTTTTTTCCCAAACATTTTCCAAATCCTTTGCTTTTTGGGTACTTTTTTCTTTAAAAATTTATTTTTTAATTGAAGAAAATAAAAATAACCTTGTTCAATTTCATCTTTCTCAACGTCCTTTTCTTCCATTTCGAGTACTTCATCTCCAAATAAATCTCCAAAATCGTCAAATTCCATTGCTTTTGTGTAAAAATTTTCTTAAAATTCTTTTCAGATTATTCAAAATTGAAAAAAAAATTAAATAGACAGCCGGTACAATAGAGTACTCTCAATTGTCCTCTCGGCCAGTTGTATTTTTTAACGGGCATTGATCAATTGTCCTATTTATTATTCATGCCATTTGTCGCTATGCCATTTGTCGTTAGATCAATTGTCCAGATCCGGAAAAGACTGGATAACCGGAAATTTTCGATTCGATTAATAAAAAATAGAGAAATCTGGCTCCTTGGCCTATCAAAATTCTCAACATTTTCGCCTGTGGCGCTCAAAAAGGAAGAAAGATTTGTTAAATTTTACTAAAAATATAGAAAATACAAAAAATAAAGTACAAAAATTTGTTTATTTCTATTTATCCGGTTGTCGGACAAGAACAATACTTTGCATCTTCTCCATGTATTCCATTTGCCCCTCTCTATAATTTAAATAAATATATAAATTTATGTATTTTCCCAACCTCTCCAGGCAATCCGGGCACTCCAGGTGTTCCAGGTAACCCAGCATTGCCAGCAGGCCCGGGTGGTCCTGCCAAACCAGGAAGACCATTTTGCCCTTTTTCTCCTAAATTCTTTCAATTTATTTTTATTTTAGAAAATAAGTCTTTACCTGGTCTTCCGGGCAGACCAGCTTTCCCAATTTCTCCTTTCGGGCCTGGCTCTCCCTTTGAAGTAAATCCGTCTCTGCCGGGCTGTCCCGGCTCACCTTCCTTTCCTCTCTCCCCAATAGGGCCTAAATCACCATGAGGTCCTTGAATACCAGGATGGCCGTCTCTTCCAGGATGTCCATCAACGCCTGGCTGTCCAGGGACGCCGGCCTTTCCAGCAGGACCTGGCGGGCCGACTGGGCCTGAATTCGTCATTTAACGAAGAATTATAGTTTTGGAGGTTACCCGGCGGACCAGTCGGGCAGCGAATACAACCAGCCTCCCTTCCATCCAAAAGTGAATTAACACCAGCAGCTCCTGGTAATCCGGGCACGCCTGCTTCTCCAGGCTCTATTAAATTATATGAAGTTAGAAATGAAGGTTCCTCAAACCTCCCTGTTCTCCTCTTGCCCCGGGTGCGCCGGGAAGTCCACGAGGGCATAATTCACTTCTTGACTGGCAATCTACATTTAATTTAGTTTTTAAATTTAAAAATAAATTTAACTGCATTTATCAACTTCATCAGCCAAATAAAGATCTCGAGGAGAACGCCTTTTAGACTCCAAAATATTTTTATTTTTGGAATATTTATTTTGTAAATTTAAAATATTATTCCACGCTTCCTTGTTTGTCACCTTTTTTTAATTGAAAAAAAATTTTTTTCCAAAATTTTTATGAACCAAAGTTATTTCCAGATCAGCAACAATTTCTTCATAAAGAATATTTAATTCATTAATTAACATTATCCCCACAAATCCACAACTAAAAATAATCCCAACAGAACAGAAAATTGCTATAGATGCTGCCAAGCTGGAATGACATTTAATTGGAGAATTAAAATACATTTTCTTAAAATTTAGTTAAATAATACAGTCGAATCTCAATTATAAGATACCCCCCTCCCCCCTATGCATGACAAAAATTGTCCCCTATAATGGAGTGTATCTTAAGAGTGCATCTTAAATAGAGGGTATCGCTATAAAGCTCCTCACGCCCAATTGAATACCAACTTCCAAACGAGCGTCTCCTAAATAGAGGTGTATTTTTATTGTAGGGTATCTTATAGAGTAAGGTTGGCTGATCCTGGGAAATCCTGACGGATCAAAAATTTTTGGATATCCGTTTTTTTTCGGATCTAAATATATGGAACTGCCAACTTTATTATAGAGGGGATTCACAATCGGACTATGACTGCCGTGTATTTTAGATCAACAATAAATCAACTAACAATAAAATTGCTATAAAATTCCCTTACACATCTCTTATAATAAGGAAGAATTACCCTAGTAGAATATTTTATTATTTAACCAAAAATATAAATTGGACAAAAGGCTTAACACTGTTAACCTGTTTATTTATTTATTTTATCAATTCCAGTTTATACATAGAAATAAATTTATTTTTATGATAAAATATTTTAATTTTTAATGAGATCAATTGATTAAAGATTATCTTTTTTTAAATTCAAGAATTTTTTTTTCTCTTTCATGTACAAAATAAACATAAATTCACATGAAGTTAATATTTAAAAATAATGTAGAGTGCATGTATAATTCCAGGAATATAACCACAAATAGTTAAAAGGCTTAAAATTAAATGAAAAATTAATTTAGGCAACCTTCCTTTTTAGATACTAATCTCGACAAGGCTAATTAATTTGGACTGAATTATGGAGGCGTGATATGGAGAGAGACGTGCTATTCAGAGGCCGATCGGAATTCCGATTTCCGAAAAGTTGAGCTGATTTCTGAGTTTCGATGTTTGAGTCATTTACTATTTCCGACAGTTCCGATTTTCGGCACCTTTGCCATTTCCGATTGACTTCTGGTGCTATTGACGGTCAAATCTCCCTAAACAGATTCCTTGTGATTTTGTAGGCGTATTAAGGAGAGCTAACGGGACTAACGGGAAGACGTTCTAACAAGATTCGACCCCTTATTGAACTCCCTCCCCATTCACTCCAATAACCAAACAAGTTTTAAAAAACGTCTCTTAAATAGAGGTTTATCTTATATAAGACACACCACTTTAAGATACACCTAGTATTGAGGGTATCTTATAGAGAGAGTTCTGTATTTATAAAAATTAACAAACATATTTATCAACAGATGAATTGAACATCCTTTCTCCACTAAAACACCAAGTGGCTTAAATTTAAAATATTTTGGAGAATCTCCTTTTAAAAACTTACAGGAAATATAACTGCACAAATAATTTTAAAAATATCCGAACATGTACAGGGCATTTTAAAATTATTTTTTTAATTATTTTTGAATTTTTGAGAACGTAAAAATAATAAATGGTTATTTAAAGCTATAAATTACTTGTTTCCAAGGAAATCCAATAAAAATGGCAAAGACAAAAAAAATTTTTTTAGTAAAAGAAGCCAACAGATATGCTTAAATGGAGATATAATATAGATAGAAATGTGACTTTGAAAAATATAATTATAGAAATATTTACGTCCTTCACATTGTTATGTTTGGTTTAAAAAAGGCTAATTGTTCGAGGGAAAATTTTTTCTTGGAAATTTGTTTTTGTTTTTTTATTTTTTTCTGTGTTTATTTTTATTTTCTGTTTTGTGTTCGTTCCACCAACTGAAAAAATTAATTATTATATCTTTTGTTGAATTGCTTTAAGAATTTTAAAATTTTTGAGAGCTTATAATTCTCTTATCATTTTAATCGTTTCATCAAAATTTTATTATTTAAAATTTAAAACAAAGATTATACTAATGAAGAACGATTTTTAACAAAAGGGAGAAAACAAAGACGGAAAAGCCGAAAAAGGCGAAATTCGGAGGAAGATGCACAAACCACCACCCTCCTTTCCAACCGCCCTCTTTCTCAACATTCCTGAATATCAGAGGTCGATCCGAATTCCGATTTCCGACTTTTGAACCATTTCTGATTTCCGACAGTTCCGAGTTCCGGCATTTTCGTCATTTCCGATCGACCTCTGCCGAATATGAATATCAAGACGGAAACTACCAGCTTTTCGTTTTTCATCGGTTTTCGATTTTTAATTTGTTAGTCATCTCTTTTCGCCTTCTTTTAAAATTTCGTTTCGGCACACCTTCCTTTTTTAAGATTTTTAATAAACTATTTATTTATTTCATCATTCGTTCCATCATTCGAAATATTTCATTTCAATTTTCAAATGAGTCACACAAACAAACAAGCCTCTCCCCTCCTTCTCTCATTTCCTCCCCAAAAAACCAGTATATTGTTTATTTACACACAACATGCACACATATTTTTCTTCATTTTTTTATTTCTAGCCGCCCTCTTTTTTCATGAAAATTGATTTTTTTCGATAAAATATTTACTCCATTTCCGTTTTATTTATTTTAATTTTTCATCAATTTTTATTTTTAAGAAAATATATAAATTTTTAGACTATCCAATAATTCTTAAAAATGCCGTTGACTTGCTCAGATTGTCCAAAGTTGTGTTGCTCTTTGATTATTCCGGTTGGATTTTTTAATTTTAGAATACCTCCAATGTTAGGTGAACCTCTAAATAAGCTACGTTTATCTTAAAATTTAGTTGGATGTTGGGGAGGGAAGCTGTCCAAGTATACCCTCTATTTAACATAAACTCAACATGAGAACCTTCTATATAAGACTCGTTCTATATTGGACACCCCTTTATTTAAAAATTGGTGGTTAATAGGCGGAAGAGCTGCACAAGCGGAATCCTCCGTTTAAGATACACATTATAAGAGACCACTTTTTAAGCTCCAAGGGGCATCTACAAGTGATGCTCGGGAAAAGAAAAAACCCGGGAAACGGGAGTCGGGTGGGGAAACGATGTCAAGGGTTTGAATCGGGAGGCCGAAAACTCGGAAAAATTTCCCGACTCGTGAGTCGGGATCGGGATACCCTAGCACCACTAGTATCTACAAATGAAGGTTGATTGTATTTTTAACTTTAGAAAAATCTTCTTATTATTTCAGCCAATCGGTGTTTGGATAGAAAAAGGCTGTTCAGTTCATTTGCTCGCCAACATAATACTTACACTTTGTGGCTACTTTCCTGGATTAATTCACGCAATAATTATTATTTGTTATTACTAGAATGTAAAAGGGAAATTCAAAAAAATTGAAAATTTTTTCAACTAATTGCTTAATTTCACAGCCTTTGGTTTTTCAAAAAAATTCCTTCCATTTAAAATATTTTATTATATCTTTGGATGCTTATATTGTTTGATATTAAATAAATTATACATGTGATTGCTAAAATATTTAAAAGTGATGTGTAAATGAAGCATGGAAGCATTCGACCATTTTCAACAAAGTTATAGTTCTGCGGTAACCTGGGCTCGCGGCACCTTGGCCTGCTCCCCTAATAGAATAAACCTCTGGTTCTTTGATTGTACTTTTAGAGAATGAATACAAAAAATAATTACTCGAGATCACCTAATCATCTCTACTACAAAATATTTTGGTCGAGAAAGGAAATAATTTATGCTAACTTTAAAGCAAATAGACAGTGATACAGTTGATAAACAAAAAGGCAACATTTTTAAGCACAAAAAAGACATTTTATCCAAATCACATCTTCTTCCAAACATTTTATTCTTTTACTTTTTAGGTTCTTCCCCTTCTTTCTTATCTCCTTCCCCTTCCTTCTTTTTATCTCCTTTATCTTCTTCCTTCTTCCCTTCTTTATTTCCTTTAGAAAAGAACAATTTGTAAGAGAGAAAGATAACGCCACCAATAAGGCAAACATTCAAAAGTCCCAAAACAACATATACCGGCATTAGCGTTTTTGAACAAGTCTAAAAAATAGAGGTTTTTTCAAAGAAAAATTTTGAAGATTACCGGTTCCTCATTCCCCTCCACAAATCCAAAAACAATAAACACCAAAAATGTCAAACGAAGCAAACTCCCAACAAACAGAGAAACAGAACTAGAAGGCATGTTTTGCGAAACAAAGTTGATTAAATAATTAAAGTTGGCAAAGTGTTTTGTTGATATAGAGCAGAATTGAAGAAAACATTTTTAAAGTTTAGCTTTTATAGTAAAACTTTGGGAAGACAATTTGTTAAGGCTAATTTTGTTGTTTTTCTTAGGAATTCTTACAAGGGAACATCGTTTACTGTCAGTGCGAATTTGATATATTTTTTGGTACCATTCGATAGAGGACCCTCGATTTAGTATCGTGGCGTGATCCGTTTGTTTTTGCAAAATTAGTTTGGGCCGAGTTATGGCCGTTCAAAGTTGGACTGCTAGAGTCTAAAGTTATAGGGTAATGATATGATTTGTTTGAAAATCAAAAATGAGTTGAGAATATACAGTCGAAACTCATTATAAGATACACACAATATTAAATGCACCTTTATTTAAAGTGCGTTTTTTAATTAGGTTGGCAGGATCGGGGTGCTATTCAAGCGTTGAGAAAATTTCTCAATCTCAATCCCAATTTTCTCAATCTTAAAATGAAGTTTTTATTTTTAAATTTGTTTCACAAAAATTTATTTTCACTACGTCCATATATTAAACAAAATACATAAATTTTAAATTAAAAATTCATTAAAATTTAGCTGATCTGTCAGACTTATTTTATTTTTTTCTTTTCATCCCCCCCCCATATTTTTTTATCCAATTTCCTTTCATCATTTTAATACTCCTCCTCCATTTTTAAGGCCTACTACATTTTTCCTATGCATTTCCAAATTTTCTCATTAAATTTTGCCTTCCATTTTCTTTGTCTTTTCTAATCGGCTAAATTGTTTTTGCCTTTCATTTTCTTCCAAAAAAATTTTTTTCATTTATTCTCTCCCTCTGCGCTTTTTCAGTTAAATTGGATTTTCGTGCCAACCACTAAATAACCTTTTTTTTCAAAAAAATATTTTTTCCATAAATTTCTTTGTTTTGACATTATATCCCCCTATTTTTGACAAATAAATAGTAAGAGAAATAAATAAAAAACAGAAAGAGAAGTAGAGTAATATGATGTAGATGATTGGGATCTTCCCAAAAGATCACCTCCCTAAAGGACAACGTTTTAGGCTCCCGGACAATGTGTCAGTGGAAAATGCGTCAGTGGACAATCGGTCAGTAAGAGATAAAGTGATTAAAAGTGATGATATAAAGAGATAAAATCCACTGATATCCCTCCAAATAGGCTGATCTCCATCTTAATCCAACCAAATAACTTAATATCTTTGTTAATCCTTCCAAACAAGAGATATCGGCCTTAATCCCAACAAATCCCTCTATATCTCTTTTAAGCCACAAAATCCTTTTTAAATACTCCTATCCCATCCTTAGTCTATTTATATAGTTTTTTATCTCTTTACATCATCACTTTTAATACTTTATATCAATACCGACCGATTGTCCACTGACGCATTGTCCGGACACAACACTTGAGGGCAGTTGATTTTTAGGGGGTGATCTCTTGGGTTCGGAACTAGATGATTCATAAATAAATAAAAAATATATTTATTTATTCTCGCCCACTTTTTTTCAACTTCTGTTTTTTGTCATTTATATATCTTTTTTTGGCTACGTTCTTAAATTTCTTTTTTTTTCTTATTAAAAAAACTATAAATTAGTTTTGTAAAAAGAAACAAACTTGAATAATCACTTTATATGGTTAAATAGTTTATTTTAACCAAGTTTCTGGTGACTAATAAGTTTTAAAAATATAAAATATATAAATAAATGGTTATATTTATTTATTGACATCATTTTTTTGTTAAATAATATGTATAATCTTGAAAAATTTTTTTTAATACGCCTTCATTTTTAAGATCTGAATTTTCTTATTCATCTCATAATTTCTTCATTAAATTTTGTCTTCCAATATATTTTTGAAAAATATAATTAATTAATAATTTTATTTTTCAGTCAAACTTCAATATTGTGACTCCCCACTATTTTTAAAAATCCTCGATACAACGAACTTTTCTTTTGATCCCTTCGATCTCGTTAAATCGAGATTCGACTTTAAATACCTTTTAATTTTTTTCTAATTTTTATAACAAATAGCCTATCTCTTCTAAAATTTAGATAAGCTAAGGAGAAAATAATGGGTAGGAGAAAAAGGAAAGATAAATTCCCATTTGACATACATTACATTAATATTATATAATTATTTTCATGCCAAATTCTTCTAAAATTCTTTGACTTTTTTTTAAATTAAATTAGTTTAATGACCAGTTATTAATTAAAAGAATTCTAATTATCTTTTAATTATTTTATTTTATTTCTTCTAAAAATATCTCGGTGCTACCCCTTGATGCTGAAAAAATCGTCTCTCACCACCCTCTCACTTCTAAACAATTTAAAAAAATCGTAGCGTAAAGACATCGATTTTAAATTTGAGGTGAACTATGTATTTAAGCAACATACCCCCAATTCTATATACCCCTCGTTTTTAAATACCCTTTCTTCAACGCCAGTGAGCATGCCGTTTTTGGTATTTTAAAAATTGAGGTTCACCTATATTTTTATTTATAACATTCATTTACTTCATTTTTTATATACCTATTTATATAATAAATATTTTTGGAAAGAAATATTTATTTATTTTTGTCATCTTCTCTTCTCATGATACAAGTCAATATATAAAAAAGCAATCAAAAAATTCTTCTTAACTTTTTGTAAATAACTTGGTTAACCCAAAAATATTTTTTTTATCATATGCACAAAAAAAGAATAAATATTAGGTAAGTTTAAATATTTGCACCCACAAATTTATTTCTAAAAAAATTATTTTTGGTTTTTGGACATTTTGTCGGTGTGGCACCGTAAAAAGAAAGATAAAATAATTTATGACCAGAAAAAAGATAAGAAAATTAAAAATAATATTTTTCCATTTTAGTTTGTATGTAGTATATAGAATTTATTTAATATTTATGTTTGTCGGGCCTCGATTAATGTACCTCCAATTAATGTGTACACAGCATACGTTTTTTACCATTATATGGAGAAGGGCTACCTAACAATAAGCGATGATATCAGGGCTACACGCATTTGCGGATTTCGTGTTGCGGATTTTTAAAAAGAAATTGCGAGTTGCGGAATCTTTTTTCAATTGCGTGCAGCCCTGGACGATCCCGATTTTAGTCTCTTCTACTAATCGAGTTTTTCAACCCCAAGGGTGTATACATAAAGTAAGGTTCGACCACCCAACCATCTTTAACACCAACCTCAACCCTTACATATCGAATAATCCTTATACTATTGGACTTATCGTGATTAACTCCTCACTTCCTTAAGGAGGGAGGAAATGTTCATTGATACACAAATATTAACGAAAAATCAGAAGAATTAGGCATTTCCCACCAAATTAAACAAAGTAACCCTGCGAATTTAAAATTAAAGTGCTCTTTTAATATTTTGTTGATTGATCCCCAAACCTTTCAAAAATTAAATTAAACTCTAATTTGCTCTAAATATTTTCCCAAACTACTAAATACTTTTAATGATTCACATAAATTTTGGAATTTTATTTTTATTTCATTTGGGGGGTTTTATAAGTATTTATATACAGAATATATTTTGATTTAAATCATTCATTTTTAAAACTAAAATTACAATAAAGAGATAAAAATCTAAACTTAATTAATTACAGAATTGCCAGACTATTTTATTTTTTTATTTTTTTAATTAGAAATATTTTGAATATTTTTTAATTAATGTAAATCGTGTCACGGCAAAATTCCGTCCAGACAAAACTCCGTCCAAGACTACAGGAAAGGTTGTTCCGACCAGGCCATGAATACGGACATGGATACAGATAATTACAAAATGCCTGCGGATATCCGTCTGTATCCGCCGTAAATATCTGGATACGGATACCAAAACCCAACTGTCCATTACCAAGTCTGGTTCCGACTCTGGGGAAGAAATATTTGAAATAAACAACTTTGGAATGAACATCTTTGTTGGAATAATCCTCCCCGCAGTTGGAACAGATTTTTTTCTTTGGACGATATTTTGAACTGACGGAGTTTTGTTGAGATAAGGTTTTGCCTCTATGCAAGTTTAAATTTCAAGTTGTTTCTAAAATGTTCGTTGATTTCCAGGTTTTATCCGGCTCCGATTTTTTCGATATTTATTTAAAAATCGATATCAAAAATTTTTAATTTTTCCTTTTGAAATATTTTCAGTCGAGCATTCCCACCGAGCTCTAATTTAAATATAATAATTTTTCGGGGTCATAATCTGATTATCTATGTATTAAAATTTAAAAAATAGCCCCAAATAATCTCTCAAATATTTGCCCATTCAAAGTTTGATAATGGCCACTAATAATTTTCTTTTCTCTATATTTTCTCTCTCTCAATAATTATTTTGACCATTCCCTTCCCCCAAACTTCCCCCAACGGCCGCCACCAACGGAGAGAGGTTCCCCCGCTCATTCAGCGCAATCTTTGTCTTCATTTTCTCTTCATTCCCCTCTTGATCTTTTTTCTTCCTTTCTCTTTTTTTCAATATTTATAGGAAGGACAAAGAATAATATAATAAAATATCCCCCCTATAACACCAACATTGAACATATTTTCATCCCTTTTCTCCTCTCCATTTACCCCCCCCCCCCTTCCATTCCTTTAGGCTAATCCCTTTCTATATTACATTGTCAATAATATTTATACACATTCCACTCATTCATTTCCCCACTTTTCATTTTTCTTCATAACTAGAACACTTTCCCCAACTTTCATTTACTTTTTTTAACACAAATTAATTCAAAAAATATGCAGTACATAAAAGCCATTGAAGGCGAAATGCTAAAGCCAACACGTGGATTATTGGTCCGTAATTGGACTGAGGATGTCGTTAATTTGGTTCAATATCCGCGAACTCATTCTGTTGTTAATGCATCTCCGTTTTGTGTAAAGTTGGAAACTTGGTTGCGTATTACTGGGATAAAACACAAGGTAAAGTTGGATTTAAATAGGAGCTTGGCAAAACATGCGGATGTTTGTGTCGTTTACCAAGCTTTATTGAGAATTTCAAAATACGCTCATATTTTCCACTATTTTATTAATTGAACTCTTTAGACAAACTTTTATAAATTATAAACAAAATAGAACCATTAAAGCAAGATAGAAAATTAAAGGAGATGTGATTTTTTAATATAAGCTTGGCAAAACATAGTGTGATTTGTACGTTTTGCCAAGCTCTATTAAAAATTAGACTGAAATTTTTTTAAATTTAAGAATACCGACAACGAAATGACAAAAGCATCATCAAAAGGTCAACTTCCATTTATCGAACTTAATGGAAGGCAATTTGCGGATAGCAATTTTATTATTGACCATTTGAAAAGTCATTTTAAATTAACAATAGACGAAAATTTGAGTGACCGGGAAAAGGCTGATGCTCGAGCATTTACTATTCTTATTGAGGAGTCGCTCTTTAGGTAGAAAATATTTTTTCACTTTACGACCCTTTCTTCAGAAGGAATATCCGGAAATTTCTTAGACACTGACAAAGGAGAGCCTTTTGGGTGTCCGTGGGACTTCGGGATGAAATTTGGTAGAGAGGTAGAGTATACCCTTTCTATTGTAAATCTTGAACCATTTTCGCTGCGGGGTACCAGGGACCGAGTTATAAGCCCCCAAAGTTTTAGGATCCCCCTCAGTTTTCTTTTTTACATATAAACAATTTATTTTTATTTACAACTGTGTTCTGCGGTGGTGCAGTGGTAGAGTTCTTGAATTTCCTTTTTTTCTAAAAGTTCGAATCCTGATTGAGCAAATTAATTTATTTTAACAAAATTTTCACTTTTGTTTCTGAAAATTTTGTTTTTAACATTTTTTAAAAATGTTCTAATTTTTTTTTGAAAATTTTTAAAAATTTTTTGAAAATCTTATAAAGGAAGGAATAATCACAAGGCTTTTTCTGGAACACCCTATTAATGAATAAAGGGAAAAAGTAAATATTTAAAAATATCACAAAAGTTTTTAAAAATTTTTTTTGACAAAAAACATTGGATAAAAATCAAAAATTAATTAAAATAAATTAATTTTTCAAATAAGGACTCGAACCTTGCGGGAAAAAACTATATGCGAGAACGTTACCACTGCACCACCACTGAGCACATTTGTGACTAGATAGAAATTGTTTATATGTGGGTGACCCTAAAACTTTGGGGGCTTATAACTCGGTCCCTGGTACCCCGCAGCGAAAATGGTTCAAGATTTACAATAGAAAGGGTATACTCTACCTCTCTACCAAATTTCATCCCGAAGTCCCACGGACACCCAAAAGGCTCTCCTTTGTGAGATCCTTCCTTTTAAAATAAGCCGAAATCTTCTCTCAATAAACATATGAAAAACATGCTCTAATTGTACTTTGTTCTTTCCTTCCTATAAAGAAAATTTTCCAATTTGCCTTTATTTCCAGCATAGATTATTGTATTCAATGAATGATAGATAATAATTTACAGGCAGAATTGCGGTACTTGTGGGTTATCCCTAACCAGTTTTTGCGGACATATTTTGCGGACTCTGTATACACAGAATGGTCAGTCTTCCTCTTTCCTCAATTTCACTGTGGCATTATTCAATGAGAGGCAATAAAGAAAGGATTATTTTTAAATATAAATGACCGATTTTTAAAGCATGTTTGCCTCATTGAATAATGCCATTGAAATAGAGTGAAATTGAGGAAAGAGGAAGACTGACCATTCTGTGTATACAAAAGAGTCCGCAAAATATGTCCGCAAAAACTGGTTAGGGATAACCCACAAGTACCAGAATTGCTTGCCGAAAAAGAGTAGGGCAAATATTTGAAAAAGTTTTTTGCCTTCTTTGTCAGTGATAAAGGCAAAAAGCCAAGTATGGGAAAGTTTTTAGCTGGCTGAGGTTTACCCTAGACGGCCTACTTTGACTACCTTATTAACCCCTGAAAATCATCAAAAAAACAAATTTAAATTTTTAGATGTTTGGCATATGATCGAGCAAAAAGTTTTGGATGGTTAGCGACAGATAAGGGTATCTTGCCTTTGCAAGCCCTTCAAAAATTCTTTTTCCAAAAAATTCTTCTCAAACAATTTGAGAAACGAGTTTTGATTATTTTTTAAACCTAAAAAACAGAAATTTTTGTAGTTAAAGAATCAATTACATGCACAAGGTTATGGACGTCATTCCCCTGAGGAAATTGAAGAAATTGCTAAGAAGGATTTGACAGCATTGTCTACACTTCTTGGGGAAAAGTCTTTTATGTTTGGTGATATTCCATCTACTGTGTGTTTTTTTTTGTTTTTCAATATTAGGGGAATCCAATTAATAATTAAAATATCTCTAAAAATTAGTTTCGGTTAAAGAGAATTAATTTGCCTCACTGACCCACAGCAATAAGATGCCTTTAATGATAGGCACATCTAATTCTAAGATACGTTTTTAGAATATGGCTGGATATGTGAGGGAGTTAGCTAAACAATACTCACTATTTAGCAAGTAGTAAGATTGGAGACGGGGCTGTGACGAGATCTTGAACATAAATCTCAGTTATCGCAATTGATATTCTTCGTGGTATCGTATGATTCTCGCAGAAAACTCGCAATCCGGTCTCTGCCCCAAATACGATTATTCCGTTTCAGGGGTATATCTTATAGTGAAGCTTTTAGTTTAGTTTCTTAAGGATACTTTTGGGTCAATTGAGTGATTCACCTTCATCTATCCGTTTCTAACCTTAATTTTTCTAATTTAGTTGGATGCAACAGCTTTTGGTCTTTTAGTTCAATTTACTGATGCTCCAATGACTTCCGATAAAATTAAAACTTTTATGGAACAGAATACACCAAATTTGGTTGAATTTGTTAAGCGAATCAAAGAGCGTTATTGGCCAGATTGGGCACAACTTTGTGAGACTTTGGCGCTCAATCCTGAGGATATTAAAAAGGAAGAAGAACAAAAGAAGGAAGAAAATAAGGAGACAGAGAATGCGGAGACTCCAACCGCTGCTGTACAACAACCAACGGAGACTGCTGCTGCTGTGCCTACTCAGGCTTAAATATATAATTCCAAATAAAATTCATCGAAAAAGATAAATTAAAAATTTTGTTTTTATGAATGCAGTTGGACTCCCTTTTTCTAATTTTGGGAACTATTGTTGAGTCATGGGCATTTTGTGGTGGTCCAACTTCAAGTACTAGAAAACCAGAAAAAATTAAGGTGGCGTTATAATTTCTTAACACACTGTATTTCAAAATCCTTCAACTCCAAAAACTATTTTCCAGAGCCATGCCAAAAACTGATGGGGACTGAATAAATTGTCTAATAATCCCTCATGTTTTTCCCCTCTTACATAGCTTAAAATATCGTTTAAAAAGCTCCACTCATTAATCTTTAAAAAGTTAGTGAGTTCAACTGTATTTTGCAATCTTTAAGCCTTTTAATTTTTTTCATTTATATCAGCATTCGAATTATATAACTTTTAATTTAACAAATATAAAACTTTGTTTTTTAAAATATATTTTTGGCATTAAATAAAGCTTAGAATTCAAATAATCTTTATGTTACTCCTCGGAAAGTTACGAAAGAATTAGCTTCAAAAAATTATTCTCTGTTCCCCTTATGTTTTCCCTAGTATGTGTGTTTGAAGATTAAAAATATTCTCCGAAATTTGAAACAATTTTGTAAGATTTTTTTAAAAATGGGTTGAAGCGGTGGTCTCGTGTTTCTTCTCCATATGGCAAGATGGGTCTGAGAATTCTTTGGTTATTTTTCTAAAACAATGGAGTAATAGTAATAATTAGGCTGGCTGTCCTGGGAAAATCTTAACCCGAACCGGAAATCTCTCTGGAACTGGACTGAAAATTTCCGGAACCGCAAATCTTAATAGTAATGCGAGTGTAGACTTTGCTTTTTTTTTCGAAGACTAAAATAGGCAGTTGAAAGGATTAACCAACTTATTAAAAAACCAAAAGAAATATTTATCAGACTTTCATTTAAAAAATATCCAGTTTATAATAATAATATAATTATCAGAAACAAATTATGGAATATATAGAGAAAGAAAAAAACAAAAAAATAAATATATTTATTTTTTAAAATATATTTTTTTAATTAATTAAAATTTTTCAAGGTGATAATTCCCCTCGTTGCAATTTATTGTCACTTGAATTATTCTCAATTTCTGTCGTCGTTTCTGTTTTAGTAATTGGTTCGCAACCACCACTACCATTACTACCATTTAATAAAGGAGAAGAATTGACAGGAATTGTTGGAATTTGAAGAGGAAGTTCGCTAAGAAAACGATCCAAATCTCTATGTTTGTCCAAATCGTGATAACTGTCAGCAAAAGTCTTTTTAATTTCTTGGAAAATACGTTCATCATAAATTGAATGAGCAGCATTGCTTAATGTAAATGGCTCTTCAATACAAATACAATGCCATTGAGAAAGTGTATTAAATGGAGACTTGAAAAGAAAAAAAGTTTTTTTATTTAATTTTTTAGAATTAAAGATGGTGTTGTTATATCTCAGCTATTATCCTAGTTTTGAGACTACTTTGGATTCTGAATCTACAGGGTGCGCCATAAGTAACCGGACACTTTTAAATTCCTTATAACTTTTTTTGTTGTCAATATTTTGAATTGATTTTAAGCTTATTTTTTAGCTCATTCAATTCTCTATTATGGCTAGTCAACGTGATTCTATAATCTCACTTTTTTTACAAAAAAATTCAGTCCGCAAAATTTCATCTCTTTTGAATGCCCCATATAGCATTGTACAATACACAATCAAAAAATTCTGGTGAAAATTTTTTGGGAGAAAAATTTTTTTAAATTAATTTGATAATCATGGCACAACTAAGAACTTACAAAAAAGTAAAAGACCTCGTTCCGTAAATACTTCCAAGAATATTAAAATAATCAAAAACTGGGTGCACCTCAATTATCGACCCTCCGTAAGAAAAGTGGCTCGTGACACCGGAATAAGTGAGAGGACCGTCAGACGAATAGCTAAAAATAAACTAGGGTTAATACCCTACAAAATCCAAAAAGCACAACTGCTAACAAAAAAAACCAAAAAAGTTAGACTTGCAAGATACAAACTGCTCATACAGTGGCACGCATGTCCGGACATTCTTTTAACAGACAAAAAAATTTTTACAATAAAATCCGTTCACAACCATCAAAATGATAGAATTAGGACTACAAAATCTCCTCTTTCCGATAAGCTTATCACACATTCCAAACATCCCCAATCTATCAAGGTTTGGGCCGGTATTTGTGCGTCAGGCAAAAAACCCCTTATTTTCGTGGATTTTGGTGTAAAAGTCAACAAAGACTATTACTTGCGAGAATTTTTTTAGCGTGTTCTGAAGCCTCGGTTCAAGAGCCATTTCGGTCGCAGAGTCTGGATTTTCCAACAGGACTCTGCTCCGGCACACAAGGCGAAAGAAGTTCAGGACTGGTGCAAGGCCAATTTTCCTGGGTTCATTAGCGTTCAGTAATGGCCGTCCTACTCCCCGAATCTAAACCCGATGGATAATTCTTTTTGGTCTATTTTGGAGTCCAGGGCCTGTGCTATGCCTCATAAAAGTTTGGGGTTTCTGCGTCACTCTCTCACCCGAGGGTGGGACTTAATTACACTCAAGGAGGTGCGTGCTATTTGCGAAAATTTTTCTTCGCGCCTTCGCCTCTGTATCAAAGCCAAGGGTGGGCATCTCGAATTTTCTTGATTATTATTGTTCCTTATTTAATTCTCTATCATCTGATTGTATTTCGATTTTATTTGATTGTGTTTTAATAAAGTTATCAGAGAAAACAAGTGTCCGGTTACTTATGGCGCACCCTGTATAGGAATTGGAACTAGACGGGGGAATTGGGTCTAGAGTTGATAGGAAATCGGTCGACCAATTCAAAAACATTTAACTTTTTGGTTTGTTTCTTTGATGTTGTACACATTTTCGAAATTCTAGGGACCAGAAAAGTATGTATTAATAGCTAACAGAATGCCCTGAATCTTAATACAACCACTAAAACTCGGTAAATCAAAGCATATAAAATGGCTTACGAACATCACTGACAAAAATTATATCAAAAAATTACTAAAAATTTGTATACCTGATTCTGCATTGCTTGTGCTCTATCCATCTTCCGTCCCATTCGAATACTTATTGCATCAGTTTCAAAACTAGAAAAAATTATTTTTAAAAATTATTTTTAAATTTCCTACTTAAATTCATAAGCATAATAATGAAGAAATCCAAGAAGTAATTCTCCAAGAGAAAGTCGTTGATCAAAATTCCAAACTTGGCTTGGAAGAGGATCCAATGGTTGCGAAACATTAAGAAGACGAACATCAATTTTTTCAGAAAAACGTTTAGGATATAACATTTGAAGTGAAGGAAGTACTGGAGGATTAGCCCCACATTGTAAATAATGAATAACCATTAAAACAAGCGAGTAAGAAGTGAACGACGATTGGCTTGCATTATTTATGTTTCGACGTTTTGCCCATTCTTTAACAACCATAACAATTAAACGAACACGCCAATCAACTTTAAAAAAAATTTTTTTTTTGGAAATTTTAAAAATTGATAGTTTTGGGGTATTTTAAAGGTAAAAAATATTCTCAATTGCCCGATTTTTTAGAGAAAGCTGGAGACAGATTAGTCTATCGCAGAGCCAATAACTAAACTTATACATGTCATATCATGTCTTTTTTCGACGCAGCTAGATGAGATAAAATAAATCATGCCAAAATAGACTAGCCCAACCTATAAGTTTAGTCAAAAGCTTTCTCGGAAGACGGACCACGGTAGATAAATGTGAACAAAAGACCACTTCATTTTTTAGGATTCGAATCAGAACCGGATCCTGGCACTTTGAAAAAAACAGGGGTTTTAGGCCTTCGATTCTTTCACAAAATCCAGATCTGCCCACGTAAAAATCACAATCGAGGCAGGTTCGAAGTGCCTAACTCAACAATTTTTAAAAAGTAAAAAAAACTTACAGGCACTATAATAACAAAGTAAATGAGTGTTCCTAATTGCCACAGAATTATTAACATTTAAATCAACAATAATATCAGAGAAAGCACCCCCACATTTAATTCGAAGAATTGGCACTTTAGCTGGAATTAATTGTTGATCAACAACCAACATTGTAGTTTTCAGTGTTCGCATAACAGAAGAAAGAACAACAACAGCATCGCTTTTTTGGTCAATCTTTAAAAATTAAAAAATATTGTCGAATCTTATTTCCCAGTCATCAATGATACACGTAATTGATGACATTTTAGATCCCCTCACTTTTCGGGGGTAAAATCTATAAATATGGGTCACCTTCCTAAGGGTCACCTCCTAAGATTCTGAGAAAACTGAGAGGTGATGAAGAAGGGGATGGTCTTAAATAGGGGTGACCGTCTAGAAAATGTTAAATCTAGTTGACCACCTCTACCCAATGGCCAACTAATTTTAACCAAAAAAGACATCTTAAATAGGGGTGTACCTACTACTGGGTGTACCTTATAATGAAGGGATTGACTGTTACTTGTAAATTCTGAGAAAACTGAGAGGTTAACCTATTCAAAATTCCCCAAAAATTAAAAAACAAACAAACATCTCTATTTGTAATCATTAAACAAAGATCCAAATCGGAACGTAAAGTGCCGAAACCATTCAGTGAAGAGCCAACAATATACAAACCACACACTAAAAAGACATTGTTAAAAGAAATAAATTTAAAGAAAATACATGGAAATATTGGTGATATAGCATAATAAAGTTGATCACGCAAAAGCAGTTTGCGATTCAATTGCATTTGATTTTGCTCTGTATTTTGATGAAAGTCATAAATGCGTTCACTCAACTTTAAAAAATTTAAATGTGTTAGCATGCTTGTATTTTACAGGGGGCTTATGTTAGAGGCCGTCGGGTTCCCTAGCCGTAGGATTCACAATCCCTTTTTGTTTTGGTTTGGTTTCAAAGTTCAGTTCCTGGTCCTTTAGTTGTGTTAAATCTGAGAGCTATTTAACCTCAACCTGGGTGTTCCCTTTACCTCATTTGGGAGGCATTTGCCCCCTTTTTGGCTTTCTCGCCCCTTTTAATCTTTTCTGAAAATGGAAGAAATTTTGCCGAAAACCCCAAACCAAACTTGAGGAAATTTACCCGTTTAAATTTTCAAGCTTTAAAGTTTAAAAATTGTGGTTCAATTCCTTGCCGAATGTTCGGCCCAAGAAGAACACTAATCTAATTTAAAAATAAACTCACAACATCCATTCGGGAAATCCCACTAGGACTTATTGGCACTTTGGATGAATAATGCTGAAATTGTTGTTGAAGCATATTATTGCTCTTTTCAGTGTTTCTAGTACTTCCGCTACTTGAATGCCGAATACGGAGAGCCATTTGCTCATCAGTGAGTGCTGGATGAATAAAAAGTATGGGAATTGTCATTGATTAAAAAACGAAAAAAATTTTTTTAAAGACAACCTTCCGAGCGAAATTTTTTTTTATTTTTTAAATTTAGCCTAACTTTGTACCCCAAAACTTGTAAAATATACAACCATCATAATTTTGATTGACAAAAGAAAATAATAAAACTTCTTACTAAGAAAATGAATCAATAAATTATTTAATTTCTAGAAAAATCGTATTTATAAGAAAAATAATTAAACAGAACGCCAAACCCTTAAATATTTAAATTTAATACTAGCACTCTTTTAAAAATTGTCACTTTACAAAAAAGTTTTTAGGAACCAAGAAATTCTCAAAAATAATTTGGCAGGAACCGGGGTATTTATAAAAATCCCTCCCCCTTCCTATTCGAGTCTCAGATTAATTTTTGTTCAATTTCCTTTTTGATACTTAGGTAAATGTTGATTTTTGCCGTTGCCGCATATTTTTCCTACTAATTTATGATCACTTAACTTACCTTTTACTTAAAATGCTTAAGGAATAATAAAAGAAAAATTAATCTGGGAACCAAATAGAGATCCGGCCCGGTCTTATTACACTATTAAAAATTCGATTTCCGGATCAGGAAAAGTTTTTACTACCGGAAACCACTTATAGTTAGAGAATGCAAGTCTACGAGCCACTAGGAACCCAAAATTTCTTAAAAAATTTTCTGAAAAAATTACCTTACAAGTTTTTACTGTACTGTATTTTAATAAAAAATATTTTTCAGTAATTGTTTATTAGGAAATAAACATTAAAGCAAATAAAAATATTTTTCTTTTTCTCTCTATTTTATTTTTAAATTTTTAAAAAATTCTATATTTTTTCACTTCTCTATAAATTTAAAAAATATACCTATACACGTTTCTAATAAAAAAAGAAATGATAGTTGTATTTTTTTTAATTTTCTCTAAAAAAATTTTTTATTCCTCCATTCCCCCCTCCCCCTTATTTTTGTTACAACAATATTTACCAGAATTTTCTTCCTCGTATTTCCCCTCATCTTCTTCCTCATCTTTTTCTTCTTCATCACAAAAACGTCGAGATATTGAAAGTCTTAGAACGGCATTTCGAGTAGCTCTACTCATTCTAACAATTCTTCTATCAAATGTTAGAGGAGAGTTTGGGGTACTTGAAGTTGCAGAATTGGCAGCACTGCTGCTACCTGCTTGGTCGTCATCAACAATTTCTTCCGAATTTTCTTCTTCTTCAAAACAATCATTTTCAAGTTTTGTAGGTTCTTGTGTTGTTGGAGTATTTGTGCCGCTACTTCTTGTTCTTGTTGGGGGTGTAGATGTCCCCGTCTCTGTTTCACCCGAATACATCGACTCAACACCCGAACTGCTGCTAGGACAACAACAAACACTGTCTGGCGGTAAAGGCTCTTCTGTTTCTGATTCGCTAGACGAATAAATTGTTTTTGTTGTTTTTGTGGAAGAAACTAAGCTGGGTAAACAATTATTGTCGTTTTTCTCTTCTTCATATTCCTCTTCTAAAGGTAAAAACGCTGCTCTCTCTGCTTCAATAATACCTTTTATGTCCAACAATCCCAACAAAATTATTTGTCTAGTCCAACTAACGCTTGGAGCAACTGAAAGCAATGTTCTTTCAACAGGTATTGGAAGAAGAGGGATAGTTAGAGGAATTGGTGTTAATCGACGATCGTCTCCAAAAAAGTGCCAATTTGGAAGTTTTCTGAATAGAGGGTTATCGAAAAGGAGTCGACGATGACAACGATCGTTGTTGCTAATGTTGCTCTTTTTTGTTGTGTCAAAAATTAATTTTTCTTCTTTTTCTTCTTTTTCTTCCTCATTTATTTCTTCCCCATTTTCTTCTTCCTCATTCTTCTTTACTATAAAAGGAATATTTTTATTACAATTTTTTAGTTGTACAAGAGTAAAACTAAGTTTACTTTCTGTTGCTTCCTCAAAACTATTGCCCTCATTTATTTGTTGTCCTAATAATCTTTTATGTCCACCCATGGGCAGAAAAGGAACTAGACTATTTTTGTTATTGAAAGGTGAAAAAGGGGTTGTTGTTGTTGTTGTCCCTCCTCTCTTGGTCCATTCAATTGGAATTTTACTAGTTTTTGGAATTGTTAAAGGGTTAAAGACTGTGGGTAATTCAAAAACAACAAATTGGGGGTGTTCTGTTGTTTCTGAAGAAGAAAGGGGAGTTGCCTCTGTTGTCATTTTTTTGTTTAAATTTTAAATTAAATCGAAAAAGTTTTTAGTTGTTTTAATAAAAATAAGAGTATTTGTTGTCTTTTAGGTATCCTTAAATGTTCTCCTTCCCCTCTTCCTTTAATTATTGTCTTATTATTCGGCAAATTAATTTGTTTTTTAATTTTAATTTCTTTCCTGGTGGTCACTTTTATTGTTTGTACAGGCCGGATCATTCGCCGTCAAACAAGAAAAGAATAAATAAAAATATTTTTTTGATTGTTTAAGAAATCTAAGAAAAAAAGGAATGTAAAAATGATCAAATTACTGGGGCTGCAAACGAGCAAATCAACTAACTCTCTCTAAAAGTAAACCGATCTTCCGTAGATTCTTCGGTCAATCGGGGGGAGAGAGGGAGAGTTTTGTTGCTCGATTAGTCTCTCAAACGAGGAGAGGGTCTCCAAACGCACGCGCGACTTTCGCCAATCGAGAAGGAATCATTCCCCCAATATTCCCCCTATATTGGCGTTGTTTAAGAAAGAAAATATAAAAATGTGTAGATGATCTGTGGGGCCTTTTTGGCTTTTAAACTGTAATAAATCTATGACGATTAAAATAGAAGAAAATATATTTATTAATAAATGATTGACTGGAAAGAAGGCGTTTCAATGAGAGGAAGTAGTAATTAATAAAAAGAAAATATGTAGGTGAATAAAAGAAAAATTAAAAATAAAAAGGCACATCGAGAAAAGAAAGAAGAAAAATAATTTTTAAAATTATTTTTCTAAAAATTTAAAAATAAAAATAAATTTATTTTTAAAATTGTTTCGGTAAAAGATAAAAAGGCGTGTAGAGGCTTAAAAAATTTATTGGGCAATAAACAGAATTTTTATTTTAGAAGAATTTTTATTTTTTAAAAAAGGAGCAGAGTTAAAAAAATGAATTTATTTATTTAATAAAATGTGGAGAGAAACGTTTTAGAAAAAAATTTTTTAACACAAAATTTTTGTAAAATAAAAGGTGTGGAGGGTATATTTAGAGGGATGGTGTGACTTTTATTTTAATACAAAAGCATATTATAGACACAGTTTTTGGAAAGGTGTTTCTCGACTGGATAAAAGGGCAAAAAAGGCGGTGGCGCAAAAAAGGACGGGGAAAATGGGAGAGACAAGGCTTAGAACGTTTTTTGATATGGAAAAACAGTTTTTTTAATAAAAAAAGGGGAGGCAATAAAGCAGCAAGCCAAACACCCCCCAACACCCCCAACAACCACCGGTTGAACAAACGTACAATAAAAAATATCAAAAATGGTTTAAAGGGGGAAAAGATTTTTCTTTCTCTTTCCTTCCCTTATTTTCTAGATTCCAACACTAAAATAACAAAAAAAAAGTAGACAGACGCCAACACTGATTTTTCTTTATTAAATAGAAAAATCTGAAAAAAAATTTTTATTTAATAGAGAAAAAGAATTTTTAGAGAGATTTAAGGAAAAAAATAAAATAAAATTTTAGTTATTGTTTATTAAAAATAATTTGGCCAATATCCAATTTATTTAAACAAAAAAAATTTTTTTTATTTTTTGTTGTCTGTCTATTACGATTTATCCGAAAAAGGGCGTTTTTACTTTGTTAAATTTGAAAGGAAAAAAATTTAAAAAAATAAAAAAAAATTTTTATAGGTAAGTCGGCTTATTTAATGCGCGAATATTAGTAAGATATAAATAAAAAAATTATTTTTATTGAAGGGATGATTCATCTGGCAATAGTTAAAAATTCTTAAGAGAATGTACGGAAGGGAGAGGTGTAAGAGGGGTTAAAAATCTTTAAGGATGAATATAAGAAGAAAATTTTTTATCGCCCGTATAAGCTCATTCGGTAAAGCGTCTACAAAAGTACATATAATTGAAAGCTAGTCTGTCCGAGCAGAGGTGGGTAGGAACAGTCGGAAATCGGAACTGGCTCAAAAGTCGGAACTCGGAAATCAAGATTTTTTTTTGGAAATCGGAATTCCAACCACCTCTGTGTCCGAGAACACTTACAAAAAATTATATAAAATTGGCATTTATTCCAAAACCTTATAGAATAGAGAGTCCCCGACCGGTCGCTGACTTTTGTCGGCAAGGCCACAGGTTCAATTTGTACCTAAAAATTTTTGGCTAAATTCTCTCTTTTATTTTAAAGTGTCAATATTCAATCAAAGAAATAAATGGGGTTTTTGGAGGTTAAAAATTAAAGAACAAAAATCAGAAAAAATATTTTTAAGATTTTCTCACATTTTATTTGTTCACAAAGGGGAAACGGAAGGAAATAAATATTTAAATTTAAAAAATAAACAAAAAAATATTTAAATTATTCAATAATTCTCTTTTTTTTTTAATTTTTTTCCAAGGGTCGTCCCCTACAAAAATATTTAAAAGAAAGTGTCCACATTTATTCCCTAACTGCGCGTGGAGGGATTTCTTTTTTCAGTTGTTTAATTGACGTCCGCGCAACGAACACTTACAAAAGTTATATAAAATGTCATTTATTCTAAAACCTTTTCCCATTCTTTTTTTTTAAAAAGATCTTTATAAGATAACCTTGAGAAAGGAATAATTGATGAGGGAAAAAGATGAAATAAAAAAATATATAAAAAATATATTAAATGATTCATTTCTTCAAAAAAAAATTTTTTTAGTTGATTAAAGTTGCGCAAGTTTAAGATTAATAATATTTAATTAATAAAGTTAAAAAAATTTTTTAGAAGATTGAATAAGACAGGTAAAGCCTAGAGTAAATTAAATAAAAATGAAAAAAAGGTTAGCAAGCAGGATCAAGTCCCATCCAGTTAACTTAAGGATGACAATTACGTAAGGTTAAGATAACATAAAAAAAAAACGAAATTAAGGACCATCCTAAAAATCAAAAGGGCAATTGTTGTTTACAAAAAGTAAAATTTTTGAATAAAGACGGATCTCGATTTTACAGTTAATTTTGGCTCTTGTCCAGATTACGCGTCCAATGAAATGCTTATTATGCGTCCAAACATATTCGTATTTACTATAGCTCTGGGTGAGTAGAGCTTTCTAATTCCATGGATTTTATGGTACTAAAGTAGAAACCCGGGTAATTATCGCCACTGATTGACGCATAAACTAGACAATAGCCCTTAATTTTCCTCTAATTTAATTTCTACTCCCCTCCCCTTTAATTTAATTATTAATTTTGAATACACCTCGATTTAAAATTGAGATCCAGTTATCAATACTAAATTTTTTAAATTTAATTTAAAAAATGGCTTCTAAGCGGAAGGGAAAAGAATAAAAAATAAAATAAAATTATTAAAAAAATATTTCTTGAAAGAATTAATTATTATATTAAAAATAAAATTTAATTTCCGGTAGACAAAAAAATAAATATATTTTTCGAGAAGGTAAGAAAAAACGTAAAAAGAAAAATAAATATATCTCTTATTTATTAATCATTTAACACATAAATTCTGCGACGATTTTTTGGACGAAAATTGGGTAAGTAAAAAAAAAACTAAAAAATATATATATTGACAGTTGTCAAATACATGTTTTTTAAAGGAAGAAAAAAATAAATAAATATTTTTATGTCATCACAGGAAATACTTGTGGCGCTTTTTTAAAGTTTTTCTTTGGGTTTCAAAGTTGGGGGTAGGGCTAGGTAACATTTTTGGATTTTGGGACATTTTTTAGATTCAGGACTTGTGGCGGTTTGTTTTGGGACTTTTCAGTTTTAAAAATGGGATTTTAAAAAGGCAAAATATACTCTATTTTGTAGGTATAGATTATTTTAGCCCCCTACCTACGTTATACCTTTGGAGTTAAAAAATTTGTATGTTAAAGTTCGGTATCACTTACAAGCTATTGGAGAGGACTGTTAATTTGGGGTCTCACTTATAATTATGTAGGCAGTTCCCGTTAGTGGAGTATATGGGTCCAAATGTAAATATAGTAGGTATTTAATATATTAATTAATTAAATTTTAATTAAAAAATAGTAATCATTTTAAAATAAATTAAGAAATAAATATTTCGAAATATTTTCTGAAAAAAAAGAAAAATAAAAGAATACTAGAGGAAAAGCGAGAAAAGGGGGAAAAAAAGAAAAAAGAATGTCTGTTACTATAAAATATTTTATTTATTTTTATATGAGAAAAAATAAATAAATAATATTATTTAAATAAATACACAAAACACACAAAAGAAAAAATTATTTTTAAAAATTATTATTTAATAAAATAAAATATTTAATGAATTAAAATAATTTAATAAAATAATTATCAAATAGGTAGTTTAAAGCAAGTATTTATTTAATTTGATTTTTAGTCTTTTTACAAAAATAGATAGAAAAAAATAGAAAATTTATTTCTTCTACTTAAATTACATATTTAGTAATTTATTAATTTTATTTCCGAAAAAAAAATTTTTTTTTTGGTTTAATAAAGAATATTCTTTATTTTAATTTAAAATATAGAGAATTTATTAAAAATTGGAAATGTGTTCTTATTTTTTGGTTATTTAACAAATAAAAATTAAAAATTATTTTAGAGGCAAATATTGGACTAACACAATAAATTGACAGAAAATTGACAGAAAATAAAATTTAAAAAAAAATTTTATTTTATTTTATAAAACACTTTTAATGTTTCCAATTTTTATTTAAATATTAGTTTCTTATCAGTAAAATTTTTTAAAATTATAAAAAAATTTTTTTAAAGAAATCTACTACCTTCTATACATTAATTTAAATAAGTACTTTTTCTTTTACAAAAAAGAAGGAAAAAAGAGAAATTAATTAATTACCTATACTAAAGGTATTAATAAAAACCCGTCTTTTTAATAAAAAATCAAAACTCAAAACACAAAAAAAAATTTCGCTCGTATATTTTTATATAAAAAAATTTTTAAGATGGCTGATTGACTGAATACCAGTGCTGGGTATTGAGCATTTGTTAGCTCTGACTCCAGGCTTTTAGAATCTTGACTCGAGGCCGAGCTCCGGAGGTAGCTCCCCGGAGCCAAACCCAGCACAGGGGAATACTCATGATTTATCATTAACTTTTTAATGAAGTCTTGACTAGGGTTGTCGATTCCTGGAAATTCTTCAGATATCCGAAACTGAACAGAAGAACTGAACCAAAAAATCCTCGATTCTTCGGTTCGGTCCAGAACCGACAACTCGAGTCTTGACAACTGACCAAACAAATTGATAAGAGATACCGCTTATCGAGAACTTCCGAATGATATAAGATTCATTTGGATTGGAACAAAAATAAAAAAAGTTAAAGTCAATCAACCGACCCCCATACCGTTATTCTTCTTAAAAATATTTTTATTTACCTTCATACTGTATTGGCGTTTCGTTTTTAGTTTCTGATAAATTTGTTGCTGTATTGTTGTTTTCATTTTCATTTTTATTGTTTTCCAAACAACAACAACAAGTACAAGAAGGATTAAAATAAAAATTGTTGTTAAATGGTTGGAAGGGGATTGGAGGTGCTGGGGGATAACCAAGATGTTGATGTGGGGGAGGGAAGTATTTTTTAATAAATGTTGTCGAATATCCATTGAAATCTTTATTGTTTCTGTGTTTATGAGGAAATGTAGAATAACGATCGCCGGGAGGGGGAATCTTTAAAAATAAATTAGAAAAGTTGAAAAAAATTTTCAAAAGAATTTTTGGGTTAAGGTGTAAAATCGCAAATTTTCAGTCATTCCTTTAAGCTAATTTTATTTGATAGTCAACAGCAGTCCGTGGAAATTTGGTTGGAAAATTTGCTAGAGTCGCTAGAAAATTTCGAACTTGGCCTATTTTCTTGAAATTTTCTTCGGATTGGTTTGAGTAACCCGGGACATCCATGGGGGTATGAGTGCGAATTTTGGTACAGTAGAGAATGGGCCTAGCCGAGATCTCAATCAAAAATCCTGATTATCGGAATTGAGATTTTTCGAGATATCTCGTAGATTCTCGTAGACCTCCCAGTCCTATCTGCTAGTTAACAGCCAACAAACTACCAACTAACAGCAACAATATTATTGGTGATTGATGGAAAAATATTATTGTTTCCTTTGTATTTAAAGTACACATTTTTTAATCAGTTTATAAGTGAATATTTTATAAGAATTTTAATTTAAAAAATTGAAAAAAAAATTAGAAACCAATCCAAGACGTGCAGAAAGAGCAGCCAGTTGCTGATCATAAATTTGACGAAAGAACAATCTTTGTTGAAAATAAAATTGCCTTAACCCTGGATGGGATAAATCTAACATAAATATCTCCTCTTCATTTTCATTCCCAAATTCTTTTAAATTATTTTGTTCTTCACTTTCATTTTTTATAATTTCTAATTCTTCATTTTTAATATTTTCGTTATTAATTATTTTTGATTGTTGAGAAACTTTGACCTTAAAAAAATTTTTTTCGTCAATTATTTCAAAATAAAATTTTTAAATTTATTTAAGAGGGGTATGTCAATTCTCGCTTTCTCCCGTCTTGCTTCTCTTTCAATCTCGTGATTTTCGGCTCGTGAAAAGAAGCTTAGGTGAATTTAGAAATCCATTGAAAACATTTTAAACACTGTTAGTGTATATATTTCTTGTATTCCTGGTTTCCTTGGGTTGCATTTTTAGGTATTCTTGGTATAAATAAAAATCCCAAGACTTGTATTGATAGGTTGTTCTTTTAAACGTTGGGGATTTTCAATTTTAAATCATAAGCATGAAAACAGGAGATTGAGGGATTAATCTAGAAATCGGCCTGGATATGATATGAATATGCCTGGATCTGAACCTTGATTTTTCATGGACCCAGAGTCAAGATCAAGGCATTTTTCAGTGTTCTTTGATACTTCCTTGACTTAAGGTCAAGAATCTGACCAAGAACCTCGAAAAATCAAGAATCAGGGTCAAAGCTGATTTTTATAATTTGTTGCTTGATTTCCTTAATTAACCCTGCGTGGGTTACTCCCACAAACATTCTTCTAAATTATTCCATTATTCGGGACTAAGTTACATAGACAGACAAACATCTCCTCACCTTTCCATTATTACAATTTCCTTTATTCTCATTCTTTTCTACTTCCGTTTCCGAAGATGACCAACAAGTATTAGTAGTTGATGAATTTATAGCCGTATGTGAACCAATACTTAAATGACTACAACAAATCCCACTAGATGAGGAAGATAAAGAAGTTGAAGAAGAAGATAAGGATAACATTGAAGGGCTTATATTAGAGGAGGACTTTATTGAATTTGTCGTTAAACTCTTCTTTTGAGTAAAAACATTTCTTCTTTTACGCCAACGTTGACGCGGTTTTTGATGATAATGTTGATGTTGTCCATTAATAATTGTTGTTGTTGGCATTTTGTTTTTAAAAAAATTAATTTCTTTTTTATTATCATTTTTGGAATTTTCGTAGGAAAAATTTGAAATTTGTCGTTTTTTGGAAAATGAAGAATTTCGACTTGAAATTGACAAAAATGAAGAAGAGGAAGAAGAAGAGGATGTTGGACGGGGGGAAATTAAATCTGGCATGTTGTTGGTGGTGTTATTAATGGTTAATTGACTTAAAGATGTTGGAGGGGAAGGAGGAATATTTTTTGAATTTTTAACTTTTTCGGAAAATAAAGGCTTTTTGGAAGTATTTGAAGGAGAAGAATTCATTTTTTAATTTTAATGAATTTTTTGGAGTTTTCAAAATTTAATTTCTAAATTAATAAAAATAAAATTAATTATTAAAAAATTATTTTAATTGAGAAATTTAAATATTAAGAAATCAAAGACTTATAAAAAATTAATAAATAAAGTCAAGTCAGATCACGTTTATTAATGCCCTCTTGGGGCTAAAAAATTGAAAAATCGAATTTAAAAACGAATGAAGCTAAGTTAAGGGTGTTTAATAATGGAGGGGGATATCGCCTATAATGCGCTTACAGAAAAATCCCTTTGTGTTTAACGACAAAAAATATAGGGAAGAAAGGAGTATCATGTGATTTTGTCGGATCCTTCTTTTAAATTTTATTTTTTGTCGCTAGACGCAAAGCGATTTTTTATAAAAGAATATGCACTTAGCATTGGGCAGCTTCTCCTAATGGCCAACCAAATAGAAAAAATCCTACTTATTTAAAATTGAGGAGTATTGTAAGTATTTAAGACTTCGAATACTCCTTCCGAATGATATAAGATTCATTCGGATTGGATCAAACATAAAAAAGGAGAAGAGGTGATGCGACTTTTGCGGCCCGTACACTTGCGGTTCGCCCTATTTAAGGTGATAGCCGCAAGTATCGGGACCTTAAGTGTCAAAATAGGGGCGAGCCACATATGTCTGACAAATGAGCCGCAAGTGTACGGGCCGCAAAAGTTAGCTAATCAGGAGAAGAAAAAGGAAAATGCGTGGAACATAAAAGTAACCAAACTACTATATGTCCACTAATAAATTATTGATTGATGATAGACTACACGATTATAGGAGAGACAAATATCGGGCGAGGGGGGTTAGAGAAATTTTTCCTTGGCCGGCCGGAGGGGGCTGGCCTGAGCGGTCGGCCAATTGGTCCAGCGACAAAATGCCACATGACAAAACGTCCTGGGACAAAATGTCAACTGCCAAGTTGCCAATTTTTAAAAATACTTTTAAAATAAAAGCCGCTCGGCAGTGATCGAACTGGCGACCTTCTCTGTATAGGCGGATGCTCTACCAACTAAGCTATTAAGAAGCTAAATCAATTTTACTATTAATGCATCATGAACCTATTGGAAAGCTTTTTTACTATTGAACTGTTGAATACTTTAAATGTCCTTTGTTCAAATTTCCAAATCTACCAAAAACGCAAAATTTTTGATTGATTGTTAAAAAAAAGCAATGATTTAAAAAACTAACTTTTTCAAAAAAATCTGATTTTTCGTCACTTTATAGATCATAACTTTTTTTTTTACCAGTAGCCTATTTAATGCTCTATCCAATGGTACCTAGAGCAAAAAAAATAGTGACCTTTCCTTCGTAAGTTATAGGGTCCGGGACTCAGTTGAGTTGGTACTCAATTGAGGTGTACAGTAAGAAAAAGATTAAAAATACCTAAATTTCAAAGTGCCAATTTTAAAATGGAAAATTTTCAAATAATGTATTTGGCATAGTGTTAAACATTTGGTGTTATGTATATTATACTTTTTATTTTGTTCGCCATTGTTACTAAGAACAAAAATGTTTGGCTATATTTTTCTTTCTACAGGGGCATACTCTCTTTAACAACTAGGTGTTTTTAAGTAAATCGATAGAAATTTTTTATCCAATTCTTTTGCTTTCAGATATTTTACAGTGAGATTTATTTTGCCCGTTTTATTTTAATTTTTTCTTGCATTAACTATTGTTTGCAACTTTTAATTTTTTAGCAGATTCTCCAAGTTCCCCGTCACCAAATTTGGAGTGACGGGGAACTTGCTGCCTTAATACTTGTGGTGGTTATTCCATAAAGTTGCCTACAAGGCAAAACAACGTTCGGAATTACTAGATGGTTTGATGAAGTCTTAGATGCATTGGCCGTTTAATGACCGGCGAATGGGATCCGAGGTCGGAATTTTTTGATAAATAAATATAAATTATTGTTTTTAATTTTTAGCATTCGAATTGAGCCTCCTAGTACAATTCCTAATCAACAGAGCCGTATTCAAGTTAGTGTATTTTAGAATACTTATATATATATTAAAATTTAAAATTATTAGCAAAAGCCCTCAGCTAGAAGTGACAAATTTTCCTCAATTAATTGGCAGGAACTAGTACTGAGGATTCCACAACTGGATTACCTTGTGGAATTGGAGGTTCTAAACTTGCTGGGAAAAAGGTTTTAAAAAAATAATTTTTAATGTTATTAATTGTAACTGATTTAGAAGAAGAGGACGGTCACGGTCAAGATCCGGGTTTACGCAGAACTGGGAAATTGTTTGGGGGTTTAATGTTAGATATTCGGTGTGTTAATTTAAAAATAAATTTTAATTTTTGAAGTCGGAAAGCCCCACATTATTTATCCGATTTTACTGATGCGTCAAACCTTCAATGTATAGCAACTACTTGTTTTATGTATTTTGCACTGTTGGCCCCAATTGTAACTTTTGGTGTCTTCTTGAAGAAGCTACTCATCAAAGAATGGTTATTTAATTAAAGGAATATTTTTAATTCTTTTAAAGGCAGTAATGCAGAACTTAGCTAGCGGTGCGATCTGTGGCATCATATATCACTTGTTCAGTGGCCAGCCTCTAACTATAATTGGCTCTACAGGTCCTGTACTTGTTTTTGAAACAACTGCCTTTGATATTTGCAATGTAATAAAAATAATTATATTTTATTAAATTGAACTATACTAACTGCATAGTAATTAGTATAATTTCCGATGATATTTAGACAATGTCTGTTAAGTATTTTGATCTACTCGGACAGCTTTACCTGTTCAGAATCTTTATTTAAAAATTATTTTTAATTTTCCATCAAATATTCAATAAATGTTGACACTCCCAACTTTTAACTTTTAAGATTGCCAGATATGGGACATGGAAAATGTGAATGTACTCATAACATGAATGGAATGAATAGTGATGACTGCGAAGACTTTTACAACGATTCACCATGGAGACCAGGCATTGAAGATCAATCAAATGAATGTAAAAGATGCGAATGTAATGATCATGCTACTCGGTAATTAATTATTTTAAAATAAATTTAAAAATATTTTTTTAGTTGCCATTTTGATTGGGCAGTTTATAATGCTTCTGGGTTTTCTTCTGGAGGTGTTTGTGATGATTGTCAACATAACACAATGGGGAAAAACTGCGAGCAATGCAAACCTAATTTCTATCGAGATCCTCAAAGGTAAAAATTTTGAAAAAAATGGCAAAGTTGTATTTGATATTTAGGCGATTTAAGGATATACTATGGACATCTAGATAAAATAAAGATTAAAGTTAATAATAATATTTATTTTCTAATCCCCTTTCAATATATTCTATAAACAAGGATTATTTATTTCAGAGAATATTTTAATTTTACTGAATTTTACAAAGTCCCGATATTTAAAAATTTCATTGACTTTGTTTAAGTAATTGATCTTTTTTTTTGGGTTTCGAAAATAAAAAATTCGGAATTTGAATAATTCTTGATAGGTTTTCTTTAACTGCAATATTTTTAGATTCATTCGAGATCCATACGTCTGCAGACCCTGCTACTGCGGTCACAGTGGTTCTAAATTCGAATGAATTTGTGAGGGTGAAGAAGACCCAGAACGTGGATTGTTTGCAGGAAAATGTTATTGCAAAAGCAATGTTGATGGGCCAAAGTAATTTTAAAAATATTGAGAAAACAACAAATTTTCTTAATTATCTTAAGTTGTGATCGATGTAAAAATGGATTTTGGGAAATGAGAAAAGAAGATCCTGATGGTTGTCGGCCATGTTCTTGGAATCTAATTGGGACTTATGGGAATGAAGGTTGGGACAAAGTGACAGGAAAATGTACATGTAAAGCTCTTGTAATGGAAGAACAATGTGATCATTGTCTTCAAGAACATTATGGACCAAGTGTTGACGATCCTAATGGATGCAAGACTTGGTAAAAAATTTTATATTTGGCTTTATTTTTTTTTTGTAAAATTTTTATGAAACATATCCATAATGTTGGATTTTTTTAAAATTTAATTATGAATTTAATTAAAATTTTTGATTTAAATATATTTTATAAATTCGACTAATTTTTTAAATATTTTTCTAGTGATTGCGATCCTGGTGGCGCTTATGACAATCACTGCGATAGTGCTGAGGGTATGTGCCGTTGCAGACCAAATTATATTGGGAGGAAAATGGATATTGCTGGCCATGCATCGATAAATATACAGTTGAAGTAATTTTTAAAAATTTTTTAAAAATTAAATAGTTTTGATCTTTCAAAAAAGTTGACTTTTTGGGTTGGTTTTTGCTCCTTTTTTCTCTTTCCGGTCAACCTTTTGTAAAAAAGATTGTGTGAAGTACAAGTTACTTCCGACTATAAAAAATTGATGGAAATTTAAAAACAATTAAGTTTATAATATAAAAAGACCTAAAAACTTTTTTTCTCAGTCGGGTCAAACTTTACAAAATTTCCGAGTAGATGGGCGGGTTGTGCAAGGAGCAAAAATGAACCCCTTCTTATTTCATTAATTCATTACTTCATTTTATAAATTTTATTTATTTTTTTTTGTAAATATTTTATAAAATTAAAGTTTATTATCTCCCACCGTTTTCAATTTAATTTATGAAAATAATTTTTTAATATTCACTTTAATTTTTTAGTTAATAATGAGTTCCAATCGACGACGACCAGCTAGTAATTCTTCTGATGCGCCACCTACTAATAGAGCTCGGATCGACAATGGGCTTAATATTCTACCAGCTGCAAATAATAACATTAACAACAACAACTTTCCAAACAACTTACCAAACAACAATAACAACTTACTAAACAACAACAATAACTTACCAAACAACAATATTGATGTAATTTTTACAAATAATTAAATTAATTTTGTTATTAAAAATTTAATTTTTAATAAAAATTCTTTTTATGTGTAATAAAAAATTTTTTATTTCTATAAAGGTGGAAGCAATAATAGCCGCTGAAAGGGCACGTGCTAATATTATTGAAATGCCGCCTGCGGCTATGCTTCTACCACTCATAGATATCCGCAATCGCCTGACATCTTCCAATTATGCCTTTGCAGGGTGGCGCACAAATCACGTGTTTAAGTAATTTTTTGTGTAGAAAATTAAAAATTTAATTTAAAAATTTTAGTTCTCTGACTGGGGTTGTTCAATTTGTACATCGTGGTGCAACTCTTAGACGCAGCTTTGATCGGTGTGACGTTCGTGTTAGTTTTGGCTTTGGCACTGATACTCAGACTGTTGGCATATATGCTTATGATCAATGCGCTGCTATTCTTGAGACTGCCCGGGTTAATGAGGTAATTTAAAAATTTTTTATTTGAGATGATTTTTTTATAAAGATCTGCACATTTACCGCACTTACGGTGGTGGAACAAGGGGACAATAGAGGACGGTGGACGGGCACCGTACCTTTTGTTTTGCGATTTACACGTGCGTCAGCATTTGCTATTACTGGGCCAAACAACAACAACAACGTAAATAACAACAATAATAATTTGCAGCAAGCTCCCGCTGATAACAACAACAACATTCCTATTGGTAATAAGAATAATAATAATAATCTAAAAAAAAATATATTCGGTTAATTTTTAGTTGGAAATGTGGCCAATCACAGAGAGATGCAGGGAACAAATGGCGGCACGGCAAACAATGTACTTCCTATTGGTAATAATAATAATAGGAAAAAAATATTTCGTTTAATTTTTATTAGGAAATATGGCCATGCAAAGAGAGATGCAGGGGCCAAGCAGCAGCAGCAGCTCATCAAACAACGTTATTGCCGCACCAACTCCTCGTGTCTCGACAACTGCACGTGCAAATCGTGAGCGTGCTACGGATCAACGAGGGGTAGATATTTTAGAAAAATTATTCAATATATAGATATAAAATTTTTTAAAATTATTTAAAATTTTCGAATAATAGTAATACATATAATAATGTTAAATTTTTACTAAATTCTTTTAAGTAATTTATATTTTCTTTTAAGTAATTAAATGAATAGATTTGATGTGGAGAATTAAAAAAAATAATTTGGATTTTCTTTTAAGTAATTTTTTAAGTTAAATAATTTTCACTTAATTAAAAATGTTTTATTCTAAATTCAATAATTTAGTTAGTAATAAAAATTTTTTTATACATTTTATTTGTATTAATCAAATTAACTGAGCTTTGTCAAAAGAATTAATTTTTGAATATTTTCATGATTTAAAAAAATTCATATATTTTTCGAAAAAATCAGTTTTCAAATGTAAAAAAAAAAATAAAAATTTTTTGACAACTTCAAGTTTTCTATTTTCTAAATTTAATTAACCTTGTTAAATTTTTTAATAAATAAAATTCATATATTTTTTAGATAAAATAAGAAAAAATGTTATTAATCTCTCTTGCAATATATTTTTTTTGAAAAAAATATTTGTTTTTTAAATTTTATTAATTAATTAAATTTTATTAAAAAATTATTTATGTTTTTTTGATAAATTCAATTTATAAATGTTTGAATTTCTATTTTTAAATTTGACTAATTTTGTTATATTATTTATTAAATAAAATTTATATGTCATTGATAAAGTTAAATTTTTTTATTTAATCCCAGATTTAAAATATTTTTTGAAAAATTTTTTTGTAAATTTTACATAATTAATTAAAAAATTTTTTTTAATTAATAGTGTTTTTGACAATTTCAATTTCTAAATGTTAAGAATTTCTATTTTGGAAACGGATATAAATTTTTTTATTTAATCTCAGATGTAATAATATTTTTTTGAAAAAAATTGTTTTTAAAATATTATCTAATTAATTAAATTAAAATTTTTTGAAAAAAATTGTTTTTTAATTTTGTATAATTAATTTCAATTTTTTTAGATTAATCGTGTTTGTTGACATTGCAATTTATAAAAGTTGGAAATTTCTAGTTTTAAATGGAATTAATAATTTTTTATTAAATAAAATTCATGTCTTTGATAAAATTAAAATTTTCTTTTAATCAGGTGTAATATTTTTTGAAAAAAATATTTATTTTTAAAATATCATCTAATTCATTTAAAAATTGGAAAAATTGGTTTTTTTAAATTTTATCTAATTAATTTAATTTTTTTAAATAATGTTTTTTGACAATTACAATTTATAAATGGTGTGAATTTCTATTTTTAAATTTAATTGAATTTGCTATTTTTCTTTGATAAAATTAAAAAATTATTTTTATCTCTGATGTAATAATATTTTTTTGAAAAAAAAATATGTTTGTTAAATATTATCTAATTAAGTTAAAATAATTAAGAATGAAATGTTTTTTTAAATTTAATTTATTTAAATTAAGGCTTGTCAATTTTAATTCATAGATGTTGAAAATTTTTTTATTTTTAAAATTATTAAATAAAATTGAAATAATTCTTGATAAAATTTAAAAAATTATTTAATTTCTGATGAAATAATATATACGTATATATTTTGAAAAAAGTGTTTTTTAATTTTTAATCAATTTAATAATTGTGTAAGGGTCATAAATATAGTTCTTAATTTTATTATTTTAAAAATTCTATTTGTGGTTGAAATTTTTTAATAATTTATTTATAATGAATATTGTTTGTAATATTTAAATAATATATAAATGATTAGTTAAATGCACATAATGCTCAGTGGAAACAAGGAATTATTAGAAAAGATTCATTTAGGAGAGAAATATAAAAGATTTGAGCCCGAATAAATATTTTCTAATTTAATTTGGAATGTACTTTTTATTTGGAAATTTAGTCCCTATGTACTTTTAAATCGTTTTTTGTCGATCGTAACCCTGGTTTAAAATAAAAATTTTTTAAAATTAATTAATATTTGTTTTTAAAAATGTTTTCTAGTCATCATCATCATCCTCAACAGCAGCACCCCCATCGCCATCACCATTCTGGGCCTTCCAGAATGCCCGTGAGCGTGAAGTGGCCGCTGCAACATCGGCGCTCCGGGCTTCTGGAAGGCCCCCAGCTTCAAGGGCTGTATCTCCACGCTTGCGTGGCCGTATTGGAAGAACTCCACCTCTTGGAGTATATGTCAATCCAGAGGCCGTTCAAAATAACGGTTAGTTTTCTAGTTGTGAAGTTGTCTTTAGGTAGGGGGGTATTGATTTTAGGGAGGGGTACTAGTTTAATTCTAACCTAGCAAAAAAATTTAATTTAGTGAGAGCTGTCATCGATGACGATGATGATGATGACGTAGAAGTTGTTGAAGTGACTCCACCCCGCAGACCTGCATATTTTTTCCGTGAAAATGGTTTGGAGTTGGAGGTCCCTGAGGATGATGAGGATAATGAGGGTTTAGGAGCGCGAGAGGTAAAAAAATTTGAATTACATGTGGTAACGCTCCCTCCTCATTTTGACGCCCAAGAAGAAGAATGCTTTTGCCAGGAGCCTTTTGCAGGCACCCGAGTTGTTTTTATGGCATGCCTCCACAAAATGCATTATAATTGTTTTGTTCAGTGGGCGCAAGGCTCGCGTGTGTGCCCGTATTGCCGCCGTGACATGCTTCATGGCGCGGCGGTTGATGGGCGCGCACGCGATGGGCAGGGATCCTCAGCCAATACTTAATACTAAAATTATTACTTTTTAAAATTAAGGCAAGAGGATCCCTGTTTTATTTGCTAATGTTATTTATACTTAGTTTTTGTTACTTTATTAATATTTCGCCCACAATCCTGTTTGAGTCTCAGATTAATTTTTTTTCATGCCTCGGAATGGTCAGATTTCCTTCTTTATAAATGATAAATTTTTCCGCTAGACCGATTTTTGCCGCCGAAGGCTATTTTTTCCTTCCTAATACTTGCTCTTTACCAGTAATGTTTTAAGGAAAAATGATTGACATTAAAGACAGCAAAATCTGAGACTCAAATAAGGGTGGGGGCGGGATATTAATAAAGTACCTAGTTTATTTTTTTTTAACTTGTCTGCCTTAATACTTTTAAAATGTCTTAATATTATTTTAAATACATGCCTTAATCTTTTAAATAAGTTAATTTTCATAGAATTATTTTAAATATATGCCTTTTTTTACTATTAAATAATTATAAACCATATTATACCTACATTTTTTATTAAATAAATAAAATTGTTTTTATAAGAATAAATCAAATGATGATGATTTGTTTTGAAAATGGGCAATTAAGTAGTGTCGGGCTCCAGAACCCGTAATGACCAAAACACGGAATACTTTTAAAATCATATATTTAAAAAAAAAAAAAGAATTTATTTAAATAAGAATTTTAAATTCATTTATTTAAATCAGAATATTTTTAAAAATCAGAACATTTTTAAAATCAGAATTTTTTTAAAATCAACATTTAAAAATAATCCTGAAAAGTTTTTTAAAATTTTCTCTTGACTGTGTTTTGGTCGTTCCGTGTTTTGGTATGGTCCGTATTTTGGTCGTTCCTTGTTTTGTCGTTCCATGTTTTGTCCGTTCCGTGTTTTGGCATTCCTTCTTTTGCCCCTCACCCAATTAATTTAGTATTTAACTAATTTAAAGAGAGACCCTACAAATATTTAAAAATTTCTTTAATTTAAAAACATTATTGTATTCAATCTTATATGGGAATTTAAATTTTTTAATTATAGGTACAAATTCAACAAGAAATGAATAACGACCCATTTATAATCGAATCTGTACAGCAATTAAATTCAAGATCTCGAAATACCAGAGGGGAGGTCTGTAATGTGAGATTCAACCCTCTTGAAGAACATGCTCGGCCAGATTTAACAATGACAACGCTAATCACACGATTACTGGATCGGGTATTAGCTGGCCGGCCTCCACCGCTTCGAGTTGGGTTGCAACTACACCCGCCAGCATTTCACAACCCTTTCACGGTGCCGCTACGCCCACCAGCTCAGAATAATCCTGCAGCTTTGGCCGCAGCAATTGAACGTCTTAATGAGATGTCTCAAGCTGGAATTGACTTGCTGGCGGGCACCACTGTAACTAAGGTTGTTGCTGTTTGGCCTCTGAATGCCCAGTTGACAGACAGTCCAGCTGTTCATACAGGTGAGTAACAGTCTTGCTTTACATATTATTATTATTAACTATGTAAGGCGTTTCTGTTATTCAAGGTGCATGCAATGTTGATATAGAACACAACTTAACACTGCAATGCCGATCAATTGTCCAAGTGGTTAATCCAAATGACCGGTATTGTCTTGCACGTGCTGTGAACATAGGGCTCAAACGAATTAGATTGCTGGAGGTGAATGGCCCGCAACAACAGCAGCAATTTCGCTCTTTCTGCAGGCAACAAGAGCAACATTTAGAGGCAGCAGTAGAACTTATGCAGAATGCTGGTCTTCGACTTGATTTACAACATTATTCGCTCGACCATGTTACTGCCATTCAAAATTTTGTTAATCAAACAATTGGAGGGGAAATTCGAATTGTCGTTTTCCAAAAAGAACAACAATATCGGATTGTATTTAAAGGTAAGCCTGTTAAATTTTCCACAAAATTTTATTTATCTAAAGGTTCGGTCCGTGCTGCCAGGTTTAACATCTGCCTTCTGCTACAAAATAACCACTACAATTACATTGGAAGGCCAGAGCAGCTGTTTCGCGCTCATCGCTTTTGTATTGATTGTGAAAGGAGAGTAACTCGCTTATATCACTGGGCTGGTTGTAGTGTAGTTTGTAGACTCTGTATGCGAACAGGACCGGATTATCCATGTCAAATAATTGAGAGGATCCCGTGCAATGATTGTGGCTATGTGTTCCCTCAGCGGTCATGCTTTGATCATCATTTAACTAACCATCCCCCCGAGGAAATGACTGGGCCTCGATCACGACCATTTGCTTCAATTTGTCAATCGCGCCGAATTTGCACAAATTGTGGGCATGTAGTCTTTGGTCAACAACAACTACATAATTGTATAGCCCAACAACAACAACAACAACCGATACAACAACAGGCAGTTGAATGTAGTAAGTGTAAAGGACCTCATTTTCCTGAACAGCCTTGCTTTATTCAACCGCTTCCTATTGACCAAAATTATAACAATTATGAGGAAGCCAATCAAGAAGCAGAAACTGAAAATGAAGGACAAGAACAGGGACGAAGGAATAAAAATAAAAGGCAAAAATTAAGGCTGTGCTTTTTTGATGCCGAAACAAGCCAAGATCAACCTGTGCAAATAAGTTCAAACAACAATGGGTATAAACATATTCCTCTTCTAATAATCGCTGAAGTTATTTGTGAAAATTGCATTAAAGCGGGGATTGGAATTAATGAAATCGGTCAGCGCGCAACTGAATGTTTTTGTGGTAAACCATCAAATTATCAATGGCGAAAGTGGTGTTCACCTCCATTTAAAAATGCAACAGGAGACAACACAGAAGTTCCCTCTGCACTTTCTTATAATCCCCGTCGAATGTACTTTCACAGTTTCGACGACGAAGAGGAAAATCCTGTTGATCAATTCTTGGACTATCTTCTAAATGTAAAATTTAATTCTATTTCAAAATTTATAATATTATTTAGCATGGTTCACAAGATATTTTGACAATATGTATTGCCCACAACGGAGGGAAATATGACTTCCACCTAATTTTAGAAGCACTTCACAGGCGAAGTCTACCTCCAAAGTTTTTATGTACAACTGGTTTGAAGATTTATTCTATGGGGCTGAGTGGTAATCACCAAAGAAAACTACTCTTCAAAGACTCGTTAAATTATTTCATCTGTGAGCTTGATGCTCTTCCAAAAATATTCTCTTTACCAGAAGAAGTTGCAACAGTAAAGCCTTTCTTCCCCTACCTCTACGTAAAACGACAAAATTTACATAAGAGGATTCGGGGTTTGCCAGCGCTTCACTATTACCAACCTGATTTTAAAAAATTTGAGAAGAGAGCTAAATTAATTGAATGGCACCACCACCAACAACAACAAATAAATTCCGGTGTTAATTTCCAATTACGAGAACAATTAATTTTATATTGTGCCAACGACGTCGCGATCCTGCGTGAAAGTGTTCTTCGCTACAGACGTCTTATTGGGGAACATACACAGGGGCTTGACCCTTTTCAAGCAGCTTCTACTGCCGCAGGACTTGCCTTAACAACTATGCGCCGTTGTTTTCTTCCAAAGAACTGGCTAGTTCACTCTCCCGAAGGTGGTTATTTAAGAGGAAGAAGAGCTTCAGCAGAATCGCAGCGTTATATTCGTCTATTCGAATTGGAGAATGAAGAAGCTCGAGGGAAGGTGCAATGTGCTCAATGGGCAGTTGGAGAGGCTCATGTGGAAGATTGTGGTTATCGTCTCGATGGTCTCTGGTTTCGGTCCCCACCACTTAGACCGTTGGCAATTGAATATATGGGGTGTTACTATCATGGTATTTTATATTTAAAAAATTTTAGTTTAATTAGAAAATTAAAATTCAGGATGCCCCCGATGCTTCCCAATACGAGACCAACGTTTGGCTGCAGGCCGTACCGCTGAAGAACTTTATGAGCGTACCCAAAATCGCCTTTGCGAGTTGGAGCAACAACATGGATATTCTCTACATGTTGTTTGGGGACACGAAATGAAAGATCGTCTTCGTAACAACCCCCAACTTAAGCGTAAATGGGATGAAATTGATTGTGTGAAGCCTATGGATCCTAGAAATGACTGCCTGAGGGGAGGCCGCACTGAACCATTCAAACTCCATCATGAATGTGCAGCAGATGAGGAGATTCTCTACATTGATATAGTACTTTACTGCTTTTTAAAATTTTATTATAATTATTCTTAAGGTGAGTCTATACCCATATGTGATGAAGACATGTTCGTTTCCAATCGGAAACCCTCGAGTGTTAACAAGAGAAGTTCTTTTGTCTTCTACCCCGCTACCATGGACTTCTAAAGAACAAAACATCTATCAAGGATTGCTTCTAGTGAGAGTTTTGCCACCAACAACATTGAATGGACTACCACCTCTGCTCGCTTACAGAACATATGATGGAAGGTTAACTTTCCCCTTTTGTTCTACGTGTGCTAACAACAAACAACAAAGCCCTTGTCGACATGTGGATCGTCAACGATCTTGGGTTAGCGGGTACACACATGTTGAACTCAATCGGGCAATTGAACTGGGATATAAAGTCATCGATGTTCATGAGGTATTTAATAATTATTTTTTATTATTTAACGTCTAGGTTTGGCAATATGATCGATGGGACCAAGAACTCTTTCGACCATATGTCAACACCTTTATTTGTTTGAAACAGCAAGCAAGTGGCTGGCCTCAAGGATGCGAAAACCAGGTGGAACGTGACAACTACATTGCTGAATATGAACGGGTCGAAGGCATCAGAATGGACCCACAAAAAGTTGCCGTAAATCCTGGTCTTAGACTGATCGCTGTACGTTTATTTAACTACCAACAAAAATTTTTTTAATTTTTAAGAAAATTCTGGCGAATTCTCTTTGGGGTAAATTGGCACAACGTGTTGGTGGCACTGATGTTAAATACGCAAGAACACCTGTCGAATTTCATCAATTGCTAGAAGACCCTACAATTGAAACTCTCGACTTTGACCACGTTAGTGAATATATGGATAGGTGTGTTGTTCGTAAGAAGGAAGAATTCGCCAAGCCACCTGAAACCAACTGCCTACCAGTTGCTGCATTTGTAACTTCTTATGCGCGCCTACATTTATATCGATACATGGAAGAAGTTCAAAGGGTTGGTGGGCGCTTACTCTACTGCGATACTGACTCTCTCATATACGTCGCAAAACTTTGTGGAGAACGCGTGGCTGAGGGAGAGGCTCTAGGCCAAATGAAACGTGAACATCCAGAAAGACGAATAATTGAGTTTCTAGCTGGAGGGCCAAAGAATTATGGGTACCGACATGTTGATGCTTCAACTGGCAATGATGAACGGGCAGAGCTAAAGATCCGCTCTTTTCCACTATCGTATGCTACACATCAAATGCTTAACTTCCAGTCAATGAAAGAACTCGTACTTGGGCAATTTAATATTGATGGAGAAATGTAAGGGAAAAAATTTTTTGGTAAAAATCTTTATTAAATTCAGAGATGAAATGTTATCAGAAAATTTGCTTTTCAACAACAACAACAACAACAACAATGATAGAAATAATTGTATTAGAGTAGAGTTTCCACAAATTGGACGTACTCGCCGCTCGGAACTCTATACCAATCTAGCTAGAAAGGAATACCGCCCTTGTTATGAGAAGGGGAGGATTAGACCCAGCATGGAGACACTTCCTTTCGGTTACAGAACTGAAACATTAGGCCCCCATCAGCAACATGTGGTAATTCAAAATACTATTAAAGAAAAGGATTAATTAATTTAGGTTTCTCCAATTAGCAGAAGACGAAAACGAACATCAAATACAACTCAGCAAATGGGTGTTCAATTAGACTTGCATGATCTTCCTGGAACATCTGCATGGACCGAAAATGAATATTTACAAAGATATCCACAATCATTTTAGTAAAATTTTTATATTTCAATTTTTAAATATTTTTTGATATTAATTTTTATTCAATAAATTTATAATCTTGGAAATTTTTTAACTAAAGGTAAAAGAAAATTATCAAACAAATTATCCATCTGTGTTTTACTAGTCAATCCTGTCATAATAATCCGTCCAGAGATGTATATTAGATATGCAGTTTCTTTTTCTTCTTTGTTTTTCATTTTGAATCGAAGTGCCGGAAATATAGATGGCTCGTAGAATATTTGGCAAATATCCTTTTGTATCAATCTTTGTTGTTTAAGATGTCCATAAATATTCTCTATAGCTAATCTATTTGGTTGTCGATAAGAGCCAACTATATTTGTAACTCTTAGGTGTCTAACGCATATTTCATACATTTCCTCGCATTTTGCCGCTTTATATGATGATTTTATACTTTTCGTTATCCTCCAAGCTATTTTTGTTGCGTACTCAGGACTTGGAACTCCAGTTAATACTACTTTGCTAGATTGAAATATTAATGCTGCCGTTGTTTTATAATTTTGATGTCTAATACGCATTATTATAGCATGGAAACGCTGCGGATTATATTCTGTATTAATCCCATTTCGAGCTATTTGATGAAAATTTTCAATTTTAAATCGTTGAACACCAGGCAAAATTTTAAAAACACATGTACAATTTTCAATATTCATAACATTTATTTACTAAAAATAAAAATTACAAAAAGTTTTTTAATGAGAAGGAAATTCCAAAGAAATAAAAAAACAATTTGAATATACAATTAAATTAAATTTAAAAATAATTATTTATTTATTCTTAATTAGTTAATGGCCTTTCATCTGCTTGTTCTTTTCTGTTACACTGAGAACTTCAAGCGGGTAATAAGATCGATGATGGCCACCACCAAATTCGATTACGCATGGTAAATATGGGTGTCGCAATTTAAAGTTGTGTTTGACATAGTAGTATCCGCGGACCTAAATTAACATTTTATTTGAGTTACTTAATATAGTTTACCGTAATTCCCAGATATCCCCCCATTGCTGGGACATTGCACGCTGATTGTACTGTGAAGTCGTTACAACGGACAATAAAATTCCTTGATGGTGGTAAATGAGAGGTGCGTAATTGTACATTAGTTTGCAAATGCGAAATAATTTCCCGTCGTATCTCAAGATTGTAGAATAATACGTGCATCTCCTTGAGCACACATTTACGTAGCTGACAAAGATATTCTATCAATGGCATTGATCGGCGTTTAATGATGGGGATATTCAACGGTTTCTCAGGATTAACACATTTTGGTTCAATAAATGGATTTTCTGGCTCTTTCTTATCTTCGTTCATCTCTTCTTTTATATCTTCATCCTTCTTTTCCATCTCAGCTAACCAATCTAGTGGTTTATGTTCGGCGTCTTCATCATCACCATCATCGCTGCCAAGAACAATTTCGAGTATTTTTTCATTAGTATCATCCATAATATCTTCTTCAGTCTTCTTATCTTGTAAATTTTCATTAATATTTATAGTTCCTCCAATTTCTGGCACTATTATTGCAGCATCTTTCTGAAAATGTTTAAAAATTACATAATATTAATTAATAAAAACAGACTTTCTCCGCAGATTTATTTTCTTCCACTTCTTGCTTCGAAGAGTTCTTTTCATCTTCATCGTCATCGGGAAGAACTCCCCAGACGGCCCAATTGTTGAAAGCGTTAAAGTTCATGTTTGTATAAATTATAAGATAATAATAATAAATTCGAAAAAAGGGTTATATATATATTTATATATATATAATCTGAAAAAAAATATAATTATTAAAAAATAAAAAATGGAAGGATTCGAAAGAATTGACCTTATTCACACAACTTTTAAACATCCCTTTACTATGATCGTTTCCGGAAGTACTGGTTCTGGAAAATCAGAATGGGTTAAAAAATTTTTGAAAAATTTGACGGAAATGGTAAGTGGTGATAAAACTATTTCGTTGGTATTTTACTGCTATGGGGAATTGAATAAAAATATTTTGCAAATGCAAAGGAGCGGCTTTGTTGATAAAGGACAAACCCGCGTTATTGTTCATAACGGGTTACCAAATGCCGGGGAAGATTTTATACACAAACAAGCTATACAATCAGGAGGATCATTGCTATTGATTTTAGACGATTTGATGGTGGGTATAGACCAACGTCTCCTCGACACTGTATTTACACGTGGATCCCATAATTGGGGTGTAAGTGTTATATTAATTACTCAACATTTATTTAGCAAAGAACTTAGAATTCCCCGAAATAATTCACATTATTTATTATTAATGCGAAATCCTGCGGGGGCATTGCAAATTAGAACTCTAGCTACTCAACTTTTTCCCTCACGCACAAAGTATTTCTTGGAAGCATATGCTAATGCAACAAAGGAAACATTTGGATATTTATTAGTTGATGTACACCCCAGTACTCCCGAATTGCTTAGACTTAGAACACATATATATCAAAATGAAAATGAGAAACCAATTATATATCTTCCAAAATGAAGAAAAAATTTTCAGCTAGTGCTTTATTAGAGAAAAATGCGAATTTCCTAAATAGTATTCTTGCTAAGTCAAAATCGAAAAAATCAATTAATGAAATTATTTCCAAAGCTTCAGAAGAGCAATTACTATGTCTTGTTGAAATTTGTTTAAATTTACTCAGAGGGCGACTCCCATTTCATAGGAAAAGAATAAATAATCTGAAAAATCAAGCTGCTTTACTCCGAAAAATTAGTAGGTCTCGAAGCGCCAAATCAGCTCGGCGTCTTTTAATACAGAAAGGGGGTGGTTTTCCACCTGTTGCGGGTCTTCTTGCCAGTATCGCTTTCCCCTTAGTAGTAGAATATCTTGCTCAATAATATAAATAATGATTACGCGACAAACTTGATTAATTACTCAAAATGCATCATGCAACTAGAATGCTGCTAATACCCGAAGATTTTTATAAGAGTTTAATTGGCATAGACAACCCAGAAGAAAAGGCAAACAACGCTGATGGAACTGCATTAGGTTTATTTCGAGAGCGTTTGCAAAGTACCGAAAATAACTCCATTTTGGACCCTCATACAAAGGCCGCTCGTTATGAGCAGGACTTTAAGAGATATAATAAGCTTGTAAGGGATAAAGAAGAGAAACCTATAAATGTTAAACTTAAAAATTTTGAAGAAATTGTAGAAACATTAAATAAAAATGTAGATAAAAATAATGATACTAATAATATTGAAACTAATAAACCTATACAAAAAATTGTTCGCAAAAGAAGGAAAAAGATATCGGGTTTTAAAATTAACAAAAAACTTCTACCGGGTAAATTGAAAGTTCCCCCTAGGGGGATAGCAGACAAAAATATAGAAGTTGAAAGTGATTATTTTTCACAAGAAAGTGATCCAACCACAAGTGAACAAGCTCTTAAATATGTCAAAGAAAATTCTAGATCCTTAGGTATAACAGATGACTTGAAAATAGCCAAAATAATAGGGGGTCAAGAGCCATTATATAATAGTAACGTTGAAAAAATTATAAAATATATACTTTCGAATAAATCTGTTCGTAAGAAACCAATACCTATTGGCTACAACGAATTTATTCGAAGAATCGATAATCATACATACCTAAAAGATTTGCTTCTACCTCCCTCCTCCTCGTCAAAACAAACAGGTAACGGTACATTCTCGTTTAAGCCATCCCTATGGAAAAATCAGAAGAGAAACGAATAAAAATATTAGATCGTTTATATAAGGATGTTAACTCTCCAACTTGTTTTACTTCAATTGAACCTCTCTTGCGGGAGGCTAGAAAATTTAATAAGAATATAACTCGGGACCAAGTTAAAGAATACCTATCAACTCAAAATACTTATACTCTACATAGAAGAGTAGTTAGAAAATACAGTCGAATGCATACATTGGCGGCAGGTTTACATACAGAATGGCAAGCTGATCTAAGTATTTTTGATAGGTTAAGCGTTCAAAATAGAGGTTTTAAATATCTATTAGTTTGTATTGACACACTTAGCCGTCAAATATTTGTTGAACCAGTTAAGAGTAAACAAAGTATGAATATGATTGATGCTTTTAAAAAATTGTTTTCAAGAATAAAAATTGTTCCTTGGAAATTACTAACAGATCAAGGAATTGAGTTTACAGCGAAAGATGTCCAAAAATATTTTAAGTCATTGGAAATGGAGCATTTTTCTATGCTTACGTCTCCGCAATGGCACGCAGGAATGGCAGAAAGGGCTAATCGAAGTATAAAAGAACGACTATATCGCTACTTTACTGAAAAACGAACATTAAAATGGATAGACGTTATTCAAGATATAGTCTCTTCCATAAACCACTCTTATAATTCAAGTATTGGTATGCGTCCTGTGGACGTCTCTTATAGAAATGCTGAAGAATTAAGAAAGAGATTAAAAGTAAAGGCCATTGAGGAATTTGCTCCAAAGCGTTGGAAGACCAAAAAGTTTTCAGTAGGGGATAAAGTTAGAATAGAGAAGTACAAGCATGTATTTCAGAAGGGATATTTGCCAAATTTCACTAATGAGATTTTTATCATCAATAAAATAAGAGAAGTACCGCACCAGCCACCTACATATAGAATTTGTGATCAAGAGGGAGAAATAATAAGGGGGTGGTTCTATTCAGATGATTTGTGTTTGGTAAAGGAACTCAAGAATAATGAAAAATTTTATGATATAGAAAAGGTTTTAAAGAAACGGAGAATCGATAACGAAGATCAGTGTTTAGTAAAATGGAAGGGTTACGCTCCCAAACATAATAGTTGGGTTCCTGCAAGTTCAATTATTTGGAAATAATATAAATAGATGGGCAATTGGAAATACTATTAAATTAAAATGACTTCATTTTATATTGTTTTACCTTCTAATACTAATGTTGACGGGAATAAAACAAATTCGTTCAGAGTTCGATTACCCCATAAATTGCAATTTAATTCAGAATGGTCAGTTGGATTAGCTGTAATGGTTTACCCCCATACATGGCCATCTCTTGGTACTACTTCCGAACAATTTTTTATTGTAACATGGCAGACCGGGGAAATTGTTAGTTTAAAAGTACCTTCCTCTAGTTTTGTTAATCCTCAACAATTAAAAGAAAGTTTGGATAAATCTCTTAATGAAGGTTGTGAAGATTTATCAGAAAAAATGAGGATATTTCATTTAGAATATTTGGGTAAGTTAAAAGAACTTAGAGCCCAAGCAAAGCAAGAATATATCAATTTAAAAGGTGAAAAAAACAAAAAGCTAGCAGATAATACAACCAAAAATGAACACGAACCAGAAGAGAATATTAATATAATGACTGAACCAGAAATATACTCTAATTTACTTTTGGAATACCATAATAGTTTGGATGAAAATAAAAGAAAAATTATTTCATTAACAAGTGATACTGGATTCGAAAAATGGATAAGTGTCTATCGTAAGCCAGGATCTGTGTGTAACTTTGAGTTTTATGCTAAGAAAAATCGTTTCGCACTGACTCTAGATAAAACATATATAAAAAATATTAAAATTACAGATCAACTTGCCTATATTTTAGGGTTCGAATCTTATGATATATCCGAATCCACGGTAGCAAGATTTATACCTGATATGAGAGGGGGAGTGTCATCTTTTCACGTATATGCCCCTGGACTAATCGAACCCATGGTGATTGGAGATGTAAGTGCTCCTGTTTTACGCATTGTAAATATTAGGGGTCAACAAGATGAAATTGTTGAAGAACAATTTCTTTTTATACAGTATCATAAATTGCTAATAAAGGAAATTTATGAAATTTTTATTGAAATAAGAACATCAAGTGGAGCCCTAATGCCATTTCAATATGGAACTTGTACATTAACCCTCCATTTTAAAAAGTCACCCTATTTTTAATGTGTTATGAACACTTTACAAATAAATAAAATATTAAATAGAAATAACATCACAAAATATTATTATATCGGTTGTTTCCCTTCGGATTCCATTCCTAACCCCATTAATTTTAAAATCTTTTGTATGGTTGTAAATACTGATACAAGTAGGGAAGCTGGTAGTCACTGGATAGCAATATTTTGTCAATATCCAAGTGTAGATTATTATGATTCGTTGGGGATATGGCCCCCAATAAGCTTACATATACGAAACTATTTGAGTTTATTTCAAAGCGTTCGCTTTAATAGAATTCAAATTCAAAATTCCTTTCAGTACACATGCGGTCAACACGTAATATTTTTCTTGTTTCTGCGATGTAAAGGATTGCCCATGGATAAGATAATTAAATATTTAAAAGGAGTTGACGCAGACAAATTGGTTTCGGAATTTGTCTCCGCTAAGATATTTAGTATAAATAGTTGAGAATTTATTACATTGATATTAAAAATAATGCATATCGAATTTGATCCCTCGCATGTTGATTGGTCAACATTGACCGATTTATCATTAGACAATTCAGTTCATCAATGGGGTGGTTATAATGTTTTTCGAGGTGTCCCATACCAACGAGGCAGTGGTCTAGGATCTGTATTTAGAAGTTTTTTGCGATACCTGATTCCTTATGGAAAACAAATTGGTAGTGCCATTGGTAGGCAGGGCTTGGAATCTGGTAATCGTGTTCTAACAAATGTTTTAGAAGGTAAAGATTTAAAGGAATCACTTATAGATGAGGGTAAATCTGGTCTAAAGAATTTGCTTCAGAAAGCAGCAGACAATGTTGACAAACAAAAGGGGAAGGGTTTTGATTTTAAGCGGTATAAAAATGTTGAGAAACGCCCTGCAATAGGTCAGATGAATAATGATAGTCATGATTTAGAGGTAAAAACTATAAATAAACGACCATATTCAAAAATCGGTCCCCCTAATTTTATTCCAAAGACTTCACGAAAATCGCGCAAAAAATCTACCAAAAAACGATTTCGTGTAGACGCACTTGGTACATATTAAAATGAGCTGCTGCAAGAAGATAAACGAAAACAGCCCCTTAGCTCTTAATAGTGCCTTAAGTATATTCACTGTTCCACCTACTAACGTTTCAGTTGTTCGTTCCTTTTTCCGTGAAATACTTCCCTTAAGTACAATTACCCAAGATTCTCCTTATTTATTTCGTTTGTTTAGCGATAATCTCTGGACTGATTTATCGCGTACTTATCTCTATCTTGAGCTTTCCATTGAAAAATTTGGCGGAGACAATAAATGGAGTGCAATTACCGCTACTGATACAAGCATTGCCCCAATTCAGGGAATTGGCCAAACATTTATTCAACAATTAAAAGTCACAGTGGGAAATAATGAAGTGTACGATAGTGGGACTCTCTATCCTTACAAGGCGTATATAACAAATGAACTTTCATTTCCTAATAATGTTAAATCTAACTTTCTTGCATCCATCGGATATTACAAAACCGATAAACATGATGATAGCATTGACTTTGGTTTCCTAAAGCGAAGTTCTCTCTTTTCAAATGGCAAGAAATGCCAATTTCTTTCTCGCCTAGATTTTGATTTGGGAAATCAAGAATTATTTTTATTAAATAATTTAGATGTTAATTTTAGCGTTTATCGATCTAAAAATTCATTTGCCTTACAAAAGCTAAACTCTACTGATGAGAATCAGTATAGACTCTACGTTCATGACGTTAAGCTTTTTGCAAAAATGATTGAAGTTCAACCATCCCTTAACATGAATATTTACAAGACTCTAGAGTCCAAACCAGCCACTTATGCAATTCGTAAAACTGAAATTAAGTCAACTTTTCTTACTGCGGGACGAACTGAAATCGAATACAATGCATTTAGTGCAAGTATCCCGCGGCGAATCACAGTTGCCCTAGTAGGTAACAAGGCCTTCAATGGAGATTTTAGTCTATCTCCTTTTAATTTTCTACCCTATGACTTGAGAGATATTTCAGTTCATACTGGTGGGCATATTTACCCCATGGTCGCCTATAAATTAAAATTTAAAGAAGATCTCTTTGTTCGCGCCTATGTTGACATGTATGAAGCATTGGGTATGGCTAATTCAGATCGATCCTTCGATATTTCTATGGAAAAATTTAAAAGCGGATGGACCTTCTTTGTAATCCCCTTAACTTCCACATTAGATGATTCATGCGGTTTCGAGCTTTTGCGAAGTGGTACGACTAGTATTCGCTTAGAATTCAATACTCCAATTCCCACGGGAGGTGTTGAGATGATTGTTTTAGGAGAATTTGATCAGATGCTCATGATTGATTATAATCGCCATATTGTATCTGACTCGAATTTGGGTTAATACATAAGAAGCCTTTATTATTTTCAATAACAAAAATGCAGAATATTTCTGACACTGGTAATTTCTCCAATCAATCATTTGATTTTTTGACTATAGAAAAAGATTATATAGATGCCCCGATGCCTTATGAATTATTGATTTTAGTAATACAATACACCCTATTATTACCTATTATTTTTCTCTGTTGGATTTTTATGCTTAAGTTTTTAAGGACCCATGGATTTATTACTCAGACTCAAGCAGACAATATGATAGATACTCTAAGAAACTTCCCCTTAGATGAATGATTAGGTTTAAGATACATTAATAGTAAAAGTAATTTAGCTTCTTGGTAGCTTAGTCGGTAGAGCATCCGCCAATAACGTGAAGGTCGCCAGTTCGATCACTGCCCAGCGGCTTTTATTTTAAAAGTATTTTTAAAAGTTGGCAACTTGGCAGTTGACATTTTGTCCCAGGACGTTCTAAAAAAAAAATGGCATTCTGTCCCTTGACATTTTGTCATGGGGCATTTTGTCCCTTGACATTTTGATAAGTGGCATTTTGTCGCGGGACAAAATGGCAATAACTGGCCAGCCCCCTCCGGCCAGCCAGGGAAAAATTTCTCTAACACCCCTCGCCCGATATTTGTCTCTCCTATAATTGTGTAGTCTATCATCAATCAATAATTTATTAGTGGACATATAGTAGTAACCAAAATTTGTTTTCTTTAAAATTAAAAAATAGCAGAAAAATAGAGAGCGAAATAGAAAAGGCAATTTCAATTAATTAATTATTCTAATTAAGAAAATTAATGTTTAAATAAATTATTAAACTAAAAATATTCAAAAAATTTATTTAAAAAAATTTCTAGAAAAATTTCAAAAAAAAAGAAATTAGGCAAATTTATGTAGGTAATAAAATAGAAAGAGAAATAAATAATTTAGGTAAAAGGAATGTTAAAAAAAAGAGAAAAAGAAAGTTATGTGCGCATTATTTTTAAATAATTTTTATTTTTTATTTTAATTTTTATTCAATTATTTAAATAAATTAAAAATAAAATACAATGTAATCTGCCCTCTCTAACTACGCCCACACACGTTGCCTTGCTTTCCTCCAACGTCGCTCAAGGTGTGCAGTAATGGAGAGAGAATCGACTGGAAATTGCAGGGATGGCTTCCGCTTCCGGTTCTTATTTTGTTCCGGTTTCTTCCGACTTCCATCATACACATTCTAGGATGCGGCAGGTCCCATCCCTTGTATATATGAGGGGATATTTCAGCGAATTTTTTAATGTTGGTCTCTTATAAGATTACTAGATGGGCTTACTTTTGCTTCCAATTATATCAATATTAAGAATTTTATGACTTTCCCGCTTTCCGTTTCATCTAATAATTTTTGAAATTTTTACGAGAGGCAGAAGCGAAAAACATCAAAGTTTGACCATTCTGTACATATTAAGAAAAAATAAAAGGGAAAAAAAGAAAATTTAAATATGGGCCGATAACAGGAAAAGTACCCGGCAAGACTGGACATAAGTGACATTTTTAAATGAGAAGATTGAAAAAAATTAAAAAAATTTTTTTTAATTTAGGGGAATCCTTTATTTGTCAAATTTAATTTCTTTTCTTTAAAAAAGGGGGTTTTCAATCTTTAAAAAGAAAAATAATAAAATAAGGCTAAAGAATAAATAAAAAAAGTTTTTTTGGTTGATTGTTAGTCTTGACAACGTCGCAAATATATTTAATATATTTACCCCTCAAACAATTTTTAAATGCCAACAAGACACCAAAAACAAACAAAATTGGTAAATGATGTAATTAATTTATATTTAATTTTTAGAAAAAAAAGTCGGAAATACTCCGAAAAATTATTGGTATATTTAGACAGATTTTTTAGCCTCCACGTTTTTCTTAAATTATTCCAAGGGTTTTGACGTTATAAAATTTTTTTTCTGAAATTAAAATAAAATTTTTGAAAATCTCGTTTTTGATGTAGTTTGTACTACTCTGGGGATTCGGATTCGAATATTGAATCCGAAATTCTAAATATCCGAAGATTGGAAGCACATAATCGCCATCCTTATTTTAAGTCACCATCAGATCGGAAAAACTTGTATCTTACAATGATCCAATATTGAAGGTATCGTATAATGAATGTACTCTAAATAGAAGGTATCACTTACTTAGCTTCCCACATAGTCCAAGCAACTTTTAAAAAATCGTCCCTTAAATAGAGGTGAGTCTAGTAAAGAGAGTAATTATAATGAAGTCCTTATAATAAGGTGTTCTTTAAATAGAGTATATTTTATAGACAGCCTCCCTATCCAACGGCCAATAAAATTTGAAAAAAACGTTTCTTAAATAGAGGTGTGTCTAGTAATGGGGGTATTTTATACATAGGGAGATTCGACTATATACCTATTTTTAATAATTTTATTTTAAAATCTTTTTTAAAATAAACTTTTTAAATACCACAAAGATATTAAAAAAATAAACAAATAAATAAACCTCAAAAAATACGTGGGGGAAATTTTAAAATGCAACTGGTTCAATAAAAATATTTATTAAAAAACTTTTTTCTTTCCCTTCTCTATTATTTAAATAAATATTTTTTTATTTAAATTTATTTAATATAAAATCAATTTTTAATATTTTTTTTTGTTTTTTCATCTGTTAAAGTGCATTTTGAGGGGGTATTTTTTAATTTAAAAAATATTTTTTATAAATTAGTTTAAAGGGCAAAATTTTTAAATTTTAATAAATAAATAGACAAAAAAAGAAAAAAAAAGTTTATATTTTATAGAGGTAAATAAAGGCAGAACCTCTCTGTTAGATACACCCAATAGTAGATACACCTCTAATTAATAGACGCCCTTTAAATTTTGATTGAACATAGAGTAGAGGAAAGTGTCTAAATAATACCCTCTATTTAATATACACCTCGATATAAAATGGACCTCTCTATAAGATACTCCCTCAATATAAGATACCCCCAATACTAGATACACCTCTATTTAAGGGACGTTTTTTAAATTTGATTAGGCGCCGAGTAGCGGAGCTGTCTAAGCGATACCCCCAATTTAACATACTCCTCACTATAAGAGACAATAATTATAAGAGACTCTATAAGTGAGGTTCAACTGTGTTAATTAATCGAGTGTCCTTAATAAATAAAGAATTCATATAAAACAATAAAATTTAAAATATTTTAAATTATTAAAAAAACTTTAAGAATAATGAAATAAATAAAGGAATTAAAAATTAAATTTAAAAAAGAATAAAAAGAAAAAGTCGGATGCTAATAAAATATTGCGCAATTTAATATTCGCCGAAGAAAAATTTTTAAATGGGAGAGGGGGGGATAGGCGCTTCCCTTATATTTTTTTAAATTACAAATTAGAGAAAAATAAAATTAAAAATAATAATAAATTAGAGAAAAAAAGAAAGAAAAATTTTTTAAAGAAAATTAATCAATCAATCAATTGATTATTTATTTTTTGTGTGTGATGATCACGTGTATGTTTTTAAATTTAAAAATAAAATTTTTTAATTTAAAAAACGTCTACCTATACGATTATCCTCCCAACATTATCGTCTACTTCCTTGTTTTTTCTCTTTTCTCTTAAATTATACATGTGTTAAAAAGGTGCATAACGGTCAGAGATAGGGTTGTTGGTTATTGGAAAATCATCGGATATCCGAATTGAACCAAAGAACCGAACCGACAAATCCTCAGAATTGGTTCTAAACGACAATACAGAGTTGTTCAAGACCAAAAAGACTCCTCGAGAAAAAGACGGGTCGGGGGAGCAAAATATGGCCGGGGTTCGGGTCGGGGTACGGGGGTTTAGTGGAAAAATTTTTAGAGAAAAAAATGCTCAAAAATAATTAGAAATCGATATATGTATTTTCGTTGATTTATTCAAAAATTAAGTAGGATTTGAAGAAAAAAACTCGTTAATAATTTGTTTTTGTAAAGAAATATAAAAACAAGAGTTCTTTCTCCTAATATGGGTCCGAACCCAATCCTATATTAATGAAATATCGGCTAAAACCAACGACTAAGCCACTCAGCCACAAGTCTATTAGTAAAGAAGGAAGATTTTCATTCATTTTTCTTTCAAAAATAATAAAAGCAAAGTAAAATGGGTGGAAATTTTTTGAATTTTCTTCATTAATTTCTCCAAAAAATGACATTTTTTAGGGGTATAAAACCCCGATAACCCCGAAACAATAAAGGGCATGCGACCCAGATGTCGATTAAAAATTGAACGCGAATAGGCATTATAATAAATCCACATGCCTAATAAAATAGTCAATCGAATTTTATTAATTAAAAACTCGGTCGAGTAATTAAAGTCGGTCAGTTAAAAGGAGTTGAAAAGATTGCGGAGAGGAAAATATGCAGAAAATTAAGCGATACCCCCAATTTAATATACGCTCATTATAAGTTATAATTCCTTTCAGCCGTGTATCTTATAGTGGGAGGCAGACTTGGTAATGAATATGGATACAGATAATTTAAAAATGCCTGCGGATATCCGCCGTGAATATCCGGATACGGATACCAAAATCCATGTCTATTATCAAGTCTGTTGGGAGGTGAATTTAATGAATGAAAATATTTTTTTGTTAATTTAAGAAATTAATTTTAATTAAAATTATTAAAAATTTTTAAGAATAAAAATAAAGTCATAATATTTTATTTAACATTTTGAAATTAATTATGTAAAGTGCAATAAAATGATGAAAGAATTAAAAGATTGTGTAATATTTTTAAATTTATGGCGGAGGTTTAAGATAAATAAAAAAAGGAGGCCCCCCGGTAGCTCAATCGGTAGATTTTGAGCAAAAATATTTAAAATCAAGAGTTTGGTGCGGCTTTATTCAGAATGGGTATGTATTGGGATATTCCCTTTGGGGCCGAATTAAGCTGATAGATGGAAGAGCGAAATAAGATAGGGTAACGGAGAAGTTCGGCTATATACATATTACCGTAAATACTCTATTAGAAGCCCACCTCTATTAAAAGACCACCTCTATTATAAGCCCACCTCTATTAAAAGACCACCTCTATTATAAGCCCACCTCTATTTAAAGCTCATCTCTATTATAAGCCCACCTCTATTAAAAGACCACCTCTATTATAAGCCCACCTCTATTTAAAGCTCATCTCTATTAGAAGCCTACTCTATTAGAAGCCCACCTCCAATATAAGCCCACCTCTATTTAAAGCCCACCTCTATTAGAAGCCCACCTCCAATATAAGCCCACCTCTATTAAAAGCCCACCTCTATTAGAAGCCCACCTCTATTAAAAGACCACCTCTATTATAAGCCCACCTCTATTAAAAGACCACCTCTATTAGAAGCCCACCTCTATTTAAAGCTCATCTCTATTAGAAGCCTACCTCTAATATACATAAGCCCATCCGAGGAGACTCATTGAAAAATATAAGCCCAGGGCTTATATTAGAGTATTTACGGTGTTTATTTTTAATATAAAAAAAATTTTTTTCTAAAATTTCTAAAAAATTGAGGAAATAAATAATTTAAAGAAAATAAAAAAGAAAAAAGACTTTTTAAACTTTCCTCTAAAAAATCATTCGCTTTTTCAGTGAAAAAAGTGAGTGATTATTAGAAAATAAATTGAAGAAAAGAAAAGAAAAAAAAGAAAAAAAGTTATTTACTCTCGTTCGATTTTTTTAAATAAAAATTTGTTTTATTTTTTCTTTAAATAAATTTTTAAAAGTTTAAAAAAATAAATAAATTTATTTTTTAAATTAAATTCATTTGAAATAAAAAAAATATTTAAATACAAAATGATTTATTAAAGGAAGAAAAAACAGCAAATTAGTTTATCATTCGATTATTGCTTCGAAAAAAATTGTTAAATTAAAATTTGTTAAATTAAACGTTATTTTAAATTTAAAAAATAATAAAAAATTTAATGGACCAAGCAGTCGGAATTTTTCCAAAATTTCAGAAATCGGAATTTCAAAATCGGAGTTCTGCCTAATACTACTAGAAGCAACCCTTTAGAATGGTTCTATTGAAGGATATATTGAAATTAAAATTGGGGGAAAATAATTTTTAAGAAATTAAATAAAGTTTAGATTATAGACCGGACCGAGACGAGATCTCGATTGAAAATCTCGGTTATTGAGTAGAGAATTTTCCAGATCTCGATCCTCGTACGACACTTCCAGTCCGGACTCTAGTCTAGATTATTCGACTTTAAAATTTACACAATTTTGGGAGGAAAAAATTAAAAGGTAGAATTAAGAGATTTCGTAAGAATCTATTAGAAAGAATCGCTTAAACAGCCCCTTCCATCAATGGCCAACACAATTTTTTGAAATATATTTCTTAATTAGAGGGGTGTATTTAAATAAGTAAAATCAAAGTCTGTGAGTTTAAACAAAAATTGTAAAATAAATATAATTTAATAACCACTAAATGATTGACTAAATATATTTATTTAAATAAAAAATAAAAAATTATTTTGTCAGAAAATAATAAAACATTTAAAGCTGTCGTTTTATTTTTTACTCATAAATATGCACTATTTCCCCGTGTCAATCTTTTAAAATATAGGTAGACATTTTATTTTTTATCATAAATTTACTTATATTTCAATCACTTTATTTTTTTATTTCGAAATTTAAGATGCCCCATTTGAGGTTAAAAATTTGTTCCTTATTTAATTCTCTATCAGAAAAGGTTGATTGTAACTCATTATTTTTAATTTGAATAAAGTTATGCCAAAAATAAGGTGTCCAGTTACTTTTCTGTCACCCTTACAGTGAGAGGTATAGCTTAACTTTGGAGGGATTCGGTTAGTCAATTCCCCACCCAAAGTTTAACCAAATTTCTAATTTGGTTTTTGGAGGTATGACGAGGGAATTTGGAGGTATAACGAGGGTTATCTAATAATGAGGGTATCTTATAATGAGGTGTATCTTAAATAGAGATATAAATTAAATAGAGAGTGTTTTTTAGGCGTTGCCCTCATTCAAAGTCAGATCAGATTATAAGATGTCTCTTAAACAAAGGGGTATCTAGTATTGGGGATATCTTATAATGAAGGGCACTTAAATTGGGGGTATCTTATAATGAAGGGTATCTTAAATCGAGGGTATCTTATAATAAAGGGATCAGTTAGACAGCTCCACCATAACCAATGTCTAACAAAATTTTCAAAAACAAATTTTTAGTATTGGGGGAAATTGGAGGTATTGGGGATTTTTAGGGTTGGGAGGATGTCTTATAATGAGGGTAGAATATGAAAAACATAAAAATATATTTAAATAGCCTTTTATTTCGAATTTTAAAGAAATGATTTTAATAAATAAATTGATTTTAAATTTAAAAATAAAAAAAGAGGAAAGAAAAAAGCTAAAGAAAAATAATACACACAAGTCGCCTTTTTATTTTTGATTTAAAAAATAAAAATAGGGAAAATAAAAGCAATAATAATTTGGACCTAAAAAATTATTAAAGACATTAAAAATAAATAATTAATTTATTTATTTATTTTTATAGAAGCTAAGAAAAGAAAAGAAAATATTTATTTAAAAATAACTTGTTTTTATTTTTATTAGGACTTCCTCCTTTTATTTTTTCGCTAAACTACATATTTATTTTATCAAAAAAAAATATTTTTGCGCTTTAATAAACAATTAATTTGTTTGTGATTTATACAAAAAAAATATTTTTTTTTAATTTGCCAATAAAAAATTATTTTTTCTAATTTTTTAAAAATATTTGTCGGTAATTAAAAAAAAATTATTGGGAAAAAAATATTTTTAAATTTAAATTAAACTTGTATAAAATACCCCAAATATTTTAAAAAATTTTGGTTTGAGGAACATTTAAAAAATTAAAGCTTTAAAATAGAAAGTGGACCCTTCAAAATAGGAGTTTGTCTGGGTTGGGGTGTATTGTCCGACAAAACCGTTTGAGGCAGGGCTGGCTTTATTCAAGTAAAACTTAAATGTCGGAGGCCGAGTTTGAAATGAAAAATATTGCAAAAAAATATTATGATAATGTTGTAAAGCATATAGCTATTTAATTCCTAAGGCTGTGCAGGCGTGGATAAGTCAGGTCTACTGAAGATGCTGGTATAGCCCAGCTCTGCTTTACTACATATATCTACTATCAGTCTAGATGATAGACAGAATAGTTTCCTGTCTTGATTTAATTTTGGTTCTCTCAGGTAGAAATTTTTGGATTTTCAGAGAAAAAAAACTTTTAAATTTTATTATTCAATTATGGAAAATTTTCATTTTATTTTCTCACTTTTAATAAGAACAAAAAATATTTTATTAAAACAAAAATTTTAAATTAAAAATTTAAAAGTTTAAATACACAAATTTTGTTTGTTTAAATAATCAAATAAAACAAATAAAAATATTATATAATCTTTAAAATATGCAAATCTTTTTTTATCAAAAAATCATTTTGTCAATAAAAATTTATTTATTTTTAATGTCTATAAAATATTTAAAAAAAATAATAAAAATATGCAAAATAATTTAATCTTTATTTCACATGGATGAAGCCATGTGAAGATAATTTGGTGGAATTTTAAAGAGGATTTAATGAGGGTTTAATGATGGTTACTTTATTATTTAGGATGAGGGACAAAACACCGTCCGACCAAAATACTGTCAGGACATTTGAGTAAAAAGACATCAGCCACTTTAAAGAGTAGAAATATCACACTGTTTATGTCACTAGTATACTAAATTGTTATCTTTAGAATTTTTATGGCATTTTTAAACTAATGTTGGAACGGTGTTTTTCGGACGATGTTGTCCACCCCCACAAAATCAACACTCTAGAGGACAAAACTCTAGAGAACAACTCACACAAATCAAATTGCCCTAAAGATCAACATCGAAAAGATCAACGTTATAAAGACAACTGAGGGGCTGGGCAATTTAGGATATCCTTATTCAGGATTAGAGCTTATTTAGGCTGGTCAGAACCTGATATCTCCGATATCGCTCTACATCTCCTAATATCCCTCCGCATTCAATGACATCCCTTAAAAAGAACTGATGTAGATCTCTAGGGTGTCGATCTTCAGGGTATTTTGATCTCAAGGGAGTTGTCCTCAGGATTTTGCTCTATAGAGAGTTGATCTTGTGGTTTGGGCCATTTCATCTCATCACGTTAACAATTTAAAACGTGAGACTCAACACTGAGACTCAAACGTCGAGACTCGAATGACCGAATAATTTAATACGATTACCGTATGAATTGTAGAGATTTTGAAAGTTGGGATTTCGAAATATTTTCTTTGTTTACCGTTTTAAGAGTGACAATCTACGTTCAGATTATCCTTTTTAGAAGCCAAGCGCTGCCACGTCGTTCATTTCTCAACACTTGATAGTTAATCGATTTTATTTTATTGATGGGTTTTACTGTTTCCTTCTTACTTTACCCGGTTTCTAACAATTTCGAATGTTTAAAATTCGAATATGCAAATGATAGCTCATTCGACGCGTCTCTTCAAGCTAAGTCGATTGGTGTCAAAAACAAAATGATTGGAACATTTTTGAAGTTAAAAACATTTTGTAACACGTGACGCTCTTTCAACGCCACTTTGATTGTGCTGGCTAATGACTGGCGCGGGACGGGTCCCGCGGGGATTTTGCGGGATACCGCTCCCGCAATCCCGCATTTTAAGCGACGAGCGGGATTATCGGTATTTACGGGATTAATCCCGCGGGATCCTGTCCCGTAAAAATTTTTGAAAAAAATCCCGTTACGGGGTCCCGTGAATGCGATTTTACCAACCTCTAGCTTGCAATCGATTTTATTGATTAATTTACGCTTCAAATGCAAATCTTTTTCTTTAATTTTAGAAACTGGATTTACTGAAAAAATTAGTTAAACGTATTTCAAGCATGGACAACGGGTATGTCGATGTAACCAGCCTTGAAGTAAATGGAGTTCAAAGTCGCAAACATCCAGCGTTGACGAAAAAAGTTACAATGGACAAAATTAAAGATGAGCGCGTTAATCCAGATACTGGCGAACGCGAGTATTTGGTCAAATTCAAGCCAATGAAGGAGTCTTGGGAGAGGGCTGTCGAGGTTGAAGAGTTTGCTGAACTTGTTCAATCATATAAGGTTAATATTTAATTGTTAGTTGCCTTCCTAATCCCGTGTTTAATAAAAAGCGTCTTGCGTTTTGCGTCAAAAAATAGCATTTGAAAGAAGGAAAGACAAAATTGAGTCTTCATTTTCAATGCTATTTTTGCCGCAAGACGCTTTTTATGTAAACACGGCATGAATAAGACAAAGTAGATATTAATTGTAAGTTTGTGTGACACCATTTTTCTGATTTTTTCATTTCCACAGAAGAAAGAGGAAAAGCTTTTTCGATGTTTTTGAGGTTAACCAGAAGGTAATTAAGTATGCCGAGTTCGAATATGAGTTCAAATTTTATTTATTTCAAGCCCCGAACCCGAAGTTCGACTATAAATTAGAAACTAATAGACTGAGCTCGAATTTCGTGTCCGGGATTTGAAAAAAAATTTGAACTCATATTCGAACTCGGGATACTTATTTACCTACTGGTAAACCTCAAAAACAACGAAAAGCTTCTTTCTCTTTTTTCTGATGAAATGAAAAAATGAGAAAAATGGTGTCACGTAACCGAACTATTACCCCTAACTTTTGCCATTGACAATCTAGGTATTTTTAACTGGATTATTTTTGCTTACCTTAAGGGGAAATTGATTTCACGTAGACACAAAATAAGAGGGTAGAAGGGTTTCTCACTCTCCGGCAGGAAATCCTTAGATGTTTGACCTAGTCTGCGCCTATTGCGAATAAACGGGGAGTAGACCTAAAGGTGCCAAATTGTCATTTTATTGGGAGTTGCCTTCGATTTTTATTTTAATGTTGTTTAAATTTAGACACGCAAAGAGAAAGCTCCAAAGTATGTTGAGGACGAGGAACTCGACGATGAAGAAGACGTTTCAATCAATAATGAGTCTAATGACAAAAATTATGACAATCGTCGACATTCTGAACGCAGACGAAAGACTACTAAACGATTAGGTTTTTTTAATTTTTTGTTTTAAAATTTGTTTTTAAAATTTTAGTTGAAGAAAGTTCGGTCAAAAAGAACAGTGTCCGTCGAAAAGCTTCAGCCCGTAGGAGTGGAGCGTCTCTCAAGGATATGGCTGGGATGGAGGACTCTGATGCTGATGCCGAATACAAAGTTGAGACTATTTTGGAAAAGAAAGTTGGCAAGAACGGAAGAGAACAATACTTGATTAAGTGGAAAGGCTTCGGGCCAGAATGGAGTAAGTTTTTTAATCTTTTAAAATTATTGGCTCTTGTCCAGTTTATGCGTCCTGTGAAGTTTTATATTGGGTTTTCTTTGGTTTTTGAAATTGGGTTTAAACTAACATATGTTCTCACGTCAGCTGGGTAGGTGCTGACCTCTAAAATTTTTTAAGACCTTTACTCCATTTTGAATACCAGATAAAATTCAATATAAAATGTTTAAGGTTGGGTCGACTTCGATTTTTAAGTTTTTCAAAAAATTAAAAATATTTTCGGTCTTCGATTTTTGAACATTTTGTTCCGATTTCTTGGGACACGTAAACTCGATAAGAGCCTAAAAATTATTTTTATAGATTCTTGGGAGCCTCGAAAAGGGATTGCTCATTTGGATGTCTTTAAGAAGTATGAAGAGAAATTAAAAAATAATGAGGGAGAAGAAGAAGAAAGTGATGATGATAAGGAATATATTGCTGAGAAAGTTTTGGATCGAAAAATTGGAAGAGATGGAGAAATCGAGTATTTCATCAAATGGGAAGGTTATGACGATGACCGGTTAATTTTTAAATTTTTTTAGTTTAAAGAATTTATTTTTCTAGTAATTCTTGGGAGCCAAAAAGTGGTGTTGGACATCTTAAAGCAATTAAGGAATATGATGCTTTGAATCCTTTGCCCGACAAAAAGGGGGGCAAACGAAAGAGTCAAGTAATTCTTTTAAATTTATTAAATTTCTTCAAATTTTAAAGGATGCTACGGACACTCCATCAACTTCGAAATCTGCTGCTTCGCTTACTAATGGTTCGGCTAAGAAAAGCAAGAAGCGTCGTCGTCGCTATTGAACTGCTTTGGGTATTAAGTATGTTTGTGGGTCCCCATTTTTTACTTCCTTTCGATTCCTATATTTTCCTTTTACTTTATATCCTCCTTATTTTGCCTGAGGTATTTGGTTGAGTGTTTATGATTCCAATGGAAAACTCAGATTGTGGAAAGGTGTTGAATTTATTTTGGAGGGCCATATCTTGGCCTTATCAAAAAACGGGCGAAAACGGCACAAAATCCTTGCTAGAAAGGGCACATTCTCTATTGAATGAGCCCGGTCTCGACTGTTTTTAGGTCGGCACCTCGCAGCCTTTCCTTGTTAGCAGAGAGCCCCACCCTTTCCCCCTGAAATTTAAGAAAAAATCTTCAGAGTTCTATCCACTGGATTCACCCCTTGATGCCTGCCAATCAGTATGTCCCGTTGAATGAGTAACTAAATTATTTTTTCCATCAAAACTTCCCTATATACTTAAATCTTTTTGATATTGCCTCAAAGAGAAAAGGGAAATGGTGGGAATTGTTAGGAAGGAAAAACTGGGTGCCCTTTAACATAATTATTACAAAGATTTTGCTTCTCGTTTTTTGGATTGATTCTCGTTTTTGGACATATATATATTTTAATTCACTCGTTTAAATTATTTTAAAAAATATTTTCCTCTACTACACACACACTTTTCTTTACTCCCATTTATTTTGCGAAAAAATATATATATTTAATTTTTGGGCCTTTTTTTTGCCAAAATTTGCCAAATTAATTCCCAAAAAAATATATATTTTTTTTAATATAAATACCCGGACATTTACTTGCACAATTTTAAAAAATCCAAAACTTATTTTAGAATTTCTCCACAACTTTTATTGCTATTTATTTTTAAATTAAAGATAAAAATAAAGAAAATTTTGATATTTAAAAAATAGATGAATTTAAAAATAATTTTTTTGAATAAGGGAGAAATGAAATATAGCTATTTCCTTGTTTAGAAAAATGAGAAAAAAAAATAATAATTTTTTAAATTTATTTTTAAATAGGGGCAAATTCTGTTTTTATGGATAAAGGATCGTTTTGAATTATAAAAATTTTCTAATGAACATATAAGCATGGTCGATAAGCTATTGCCAATTTTTGGCTTTCCTGGCTCCGTCCCCCAAATCAAGTTATAGCTGATTAAAGTTTCAGTATTTCCAAACGAAAATTTTAGGAAGGCCAATAAGGATCCTTTTCAACGGGAATGTTTAGGAAATGGACGTGGATGTTCAGGGAATATTTTACCAAGGAGTTCGGGGGTAAATGCCCAGTTAGTGGTCTAGTCCGCAAAGAGAATCCGCTATTTTCTCTCGTTTTCTTGCATTTTTTGCTATTTAAAAAAAAATTTTTTAATTTTCTAAATAAAATTTTTATAAAATAAATTTTTATAAAAATTTTGGGGAAAGAAAAACTATTTAAAAATTCAACAACAGCCATTACAGAAATTCCTTTGGGAGTTTATAGAACGTTTTGGGGGCAAATTCTGTTTTTATGGATATATTTAATTCCCTAAAGAATTAAAAAATGTAAAAAGCATTCCCTCTATTCAGATCAGACGTGGGCGAAACGTTTCGTTTCGTTTCGTTGTTTCGTATGTTTCGTATGATTTTTACTGTTTCGTCTCGTTTCGTTACGAAACACTTTTAAATTTGTTTCGTTTCGTTTCGTTACGAAACACCTGTGATTTTTCAACGAAACGAAACAATTTTTTAAGCCTAAACTAAGGCCAAAATCTATAAAATTTACCATCTTTTATTGAAAATTTAAAAAATTTTCGCCTGCGGCGCTGAAAAAAAAAGAATTTCGGCTTCTTGGCTTTCCCAAATTGTCAAAATTTTCGCCTGCGGCGCTGAAAAAGGAAGATAGCAATTACTTATATACTACACTGGAACCGGAACTTCCGGCGAAGCACTAGCTTATATCGCCTTCCTCTCGAAATGGAGATATGGAGACAATTTGGGTAGGCAATGGAGCAAGATGGTGAATTTTTTGGCCTACGGCCTTTCAAAATTTTAAAATTTTTCGTCTGCGGCGCTTAAAATAAAATTTTACTTGAAAAATATTCAATTTTATTTAAAAAAAAGCGTCGCCAAAAATTTGGCTTCGAAAATGATTGACCCCCCCCCCTTCCCCGAAAATTTTCCTTGCTACGGGCCTGGCTTATGGGACACAATTGTTGTAAATAAACCAATAACTAAATCATTTATAAGTCATAGTCGACTAATAACGTATTTGAGGTCGAATAATTTCGAAATAAATGCAGTTTTGAAAATTTTTTGAATATTAAAATGTTTCGTTTTGTTTCGTTTCGTTTCGTAAGATTTTGGTTGTTTCGTTTCGTTTCGTTAACGAAACGATTTTTAAAAAATTTTGTTTCGTTTCGTTTCGTCAGAAAAAAATTTTGAGTTTCGCCCAGGTCTGATTCAGATGAGTTATGTTTGTGCTCTCCTATAGTTTGTCAAGCAATTTTCATTAAAAAAGCCTTATTTCATTAAAACATTGTGATCAAAATACTAAATACAGGGTGACCCAAAAGAAACCGGACACTATTCTATCCTTTATAACTTTTTTTGTTTTTATCAGTTTTAAGTAATTCCAAGATTATTTCGTAGCTCATTTATTTCTCTATCATATAGTAAAATTAAAGATTTTTTGATTAAGGATTAAGAAAGTTATGTAATTTTAGGTATACCATATCAAAATTTTCCCCCCAAAATTTTATTTTCTGTATCTCAGAAAGGAGAAATCCAAACGGGATGATCTCAACAGAATTTAATTAAGATCATTAGCGAACCGGACAAATCTGAAAGATAAAAACTCCAACTCCTACATGGATGGCTCTGAGTAGATGTAAATCAGTTTTGGGGGGAATGCGATTTTCTCATTTTGGGAGGGTTACGCGCAATCGAATATCTCTTTAAGCGTTAGTCTAAAAATTTTTTTGCTTTATAATTTCTATAGATAAAGGACTGCTCTAGATGCAAAAAATTTTTTTTTGTAATTCCTGCAATTTGTTCTAATGTTATATGCAAAATGCCTCAAAAAAGGGTGCGACCTGGAGCAATAATTTTTCGCACTTTCCTTTAACCTTATCTCAAAGTAGAATAGGGAAAATTCAAAAAGATTTTTTTTATTTTATTCTCCATTTAGTTCTCTATAATTTCATCTTTATTTGATCTCATTATCTTTAATTTGAATAAAGTTATGGCATAAATCCTGTGTCCGGTTTCTTTTGGGTCACCCTGTACTTTGAGGAAGTTAATTTCTATTTTTTAGAGTCGAAATTATAGAATAACCCACTATTGAATACACCTCTATTTAAGAGACGCTTTTTAATTCGAATGGGGGGGGGGGTGAGGGCTGTCCTATGAGCTTACTATTTAATATATACTTCATAGCTAAGAAGAATTCACTATAAAATACATCCTCTATTTAGATACACCTCTATTTAATAGACGTTTTCTTATTCAATTAGCCAATGGATAGTAATAGCCACCTAAATGATATACCCTTTGTTTAAGACTAGGGTCGCCGTTTTCGAATCAGGACAACGCCCGAGTCATTTTTTCGGGCCTCATGTTGTCAGGCCGGACCGGGCGAGTCTTTTTCGGGCCAAAAATAGAAGCCCGCTTCGATCTTTCGGACCAAACCGGACCAGAACTCTTTATTTAAGGCACATCATTATAAGAAACCCTAAAGTATGTGTCTTATAGTGAAATTGACTGTACTTGAATTTTTAAGAATTAATTGAATAATGGAAAACAACAATTTTAATAACGAGCAACTTTTTTCTATAAAATTAGAAACAACAGAAAATTCATCCAAATTGGAAGATAACAATAAAACAAATTCTTCCTCTTCTTCCTCTTTTGTTTGCCAACAATGCAATTCTGAATTAAATAATTTTGTTGAATTTATAAGTAAACAAATAAATTTAAAATAAAAAATAAAAATTAATTTTTAGAACATATGAAAAGTGTTCATTTAATAAAAGAATTAAATGAAGAACAAAAATGTGGAAATAATTATTGTCCAATTTGTGGATTAAAAATAAATGTATGAGTATAATATACAGTCAAACCTCTTTATAAAATGCCCTCAATATTAGACACACATCTATTTAAGAGATTTTTATTTAAAATTTGATAGCCACAGTGTGGTAGAGCTTTCTAAGAGATTACCCTCTATTTAAGATACATCTCATTATACGATACCCTCTCTATAAGATACATCCAATACTAGGCACACCTCTATTTAAGAGACATTTTTTTAAAAATTGGTTGGCTACTCAGTGGAGAGGCTTCCAAAACAATACCCTCTATTTAATATACACCTCATTATAAGAGACGATTTTTCACCCCAGAGGTGTGACCTATAATGAGGTTTGACTGGATTAATATAGAAATTTTTTTAATTTTTCAGAATCAAAAGGACCATTTAATTGAACATTTAATTAACACAAAAACATCCTGGAAATGTGAAAAATGTAAACCAACTAAAATTTTCTTTGATATTTGGTCAATTAAAGAACATCTATTTATTTATCATACACAAGCAATATTTAGATGTTTATTTTGTTTAAAATTATTTACTGAACGGTCTTTATTAACGGTTAGAAAGAAAGAAAATATTTTTCTAAATAGACAGACTTCACTATAAAATAAAAGGGCTGAAAATAGTCGCTTATAATGAGCTGTATGTTAAATAGAGGGTGAGTAGAGGGTAGTAGATGTATGTTAAGTAGAGGGTGTATGTTAAGTTGAGGTCAGGGAAGGGTCGGGATGAGAAAAAAGTTGTGTCGGATTTTGGATCGCAAAAAAAGTTCGGTTATCGGGGGTTCAGGTAATCCGACCCACCCCTGCTTGGGGGTAAGAAGTCTTGACTGAAATTAAAGAGGGTCTGTCTGAAATTTAAAAAAAAGTTTTTTAAAGGAGCATTTATTTATTCATGCCACTCAAAATCAAAGTTTTGAATGTCTTTCTTGTGAAATAAAATTAGAAGAATACTCTTTATTTGAAGAACATGTTAAACAATTTCATTTGAATGAGTTAAACGAGAAAGATGAATTGACTGGAAAGGAACAACAAAAAATTGTATTTCCTTTAAGAATTACTTTAAAATAATTATTAAAATATATTTATAGAAAGACAACGATAAAAATTTACTTTCCCCCAGTGATTATTTGAATAATGATATTAATTATAAAGGTATTACATCAAAAGATCAACAAAATTTGCCTGAAAATTCAATTAAAACGAGTCAGTTAATTAATAGTTGGGAGAGTGTGATTTTTAAAAATTTATCGATTCCCGTCTTAGAATGCTTGGCTGAAGCAGAATTTAACTAAAAACTCTGCTCCAGATAAAGTTCTCTGAACATTCGGATTGGTGAATCAAGATACCCGGGGATTTCCGAGGATTCGGCAATCTCTGCCTCTCATTACAAGAAAATCCAAGTTTTGTTAGATATCCAAACCAATTTTTAATTAAAAAATATCCAAAGAGAAAATTTAAAAAATTATTAGAACATCAAAGACAATCAAATAAGAACAACCAAACGATTGCAAACGAAAAACTAAAATTCAAAAGAAAACGTTTCTCAGTTATTGACAAGCACCTTAAATGTAAAATTTGTGATTCTCAATTTTCGGAGTAAGTTGGCTCTTTAAAAATTTTTCTCTGGGACCAAAAAAATTACATTTATACCCTTACATAAAAGTTTAAAAATAAATTACCCCACTACACTTCACCAAAAATACATTCCCGTTTTATTTTAACTACCAACGTAAAGCCGACAAAATTTCCTCCTTAGTCTAACAAATAAAGCAAAAAACTATCAATTAGTTGTGGGATGATTGAGCGGTACATTTGACCTTTACATTGGGCCCCTACGATCAAGTTCCATCCAATTTTCTTGGAGGGGTTGACCGCTTCATCACACACTGAGTTTGAAAATGGAGGGGAATTTTAAGGCATTTAGGACGTGAAAAATATGGAAAGGAAAAATGAAGGGAAAAAGATTCGACCCTTACTTGCCTATAGGGTCTAATATTCTCAAGAAAATAAACGAGATTTTCCAAATAAATTTATTTTAATACCTAAATATTTTTAGTGAAAAACAATTAACGGCACATAAACAGGCACATTTAAATGGATTAAACGGAAATGATGACAAAAATTAGAAACTAATATTTTTCACATTTTTTCTGATTTAATAAAATATATTCTTTCATGTTTTTAAATAATGGATTTGAAATTAATTCGTTTGGAGCTTCTTTTCTGCCTTAAAAAATTTTTTCAATTCCAAATTTAAAAATTAAAATTACCAGTTAAATAATAATATAAATCCCATTCCATATAATTTCCATTAATTATAGCATCATAATTAACCAAATCGTTTTTATTCATTTTAGGTAAATTTTCTTCAGCAAATTTTCTTTAAAAATTAAATAAAATCAAGAGTGAGATTTTTAATAAAATTAGATTTTGGTTTAATAGGCGTCTGAAAACCCAGAGGTTTTCGTTTGCGAAAATAAAGGAAAATTTTAACCAATTTTAAAAACTAAGTTCTGTTAACCAAAACCATTTCGCTGATTTCAACTACTGTCTTTGCAAACCCCGACCCAGACATCCACAAAAAAATAAAAATTTGTAGATCTATGTATATTTAAGCAAAAAAAGATTTTTAAAGCTTTTGTAGCACTTTTATTTAGAAAATATTTCCCTTTAGTTACTCTTAAACTAAATTTTACAGTTCTGGTTTTTGTCAATCCCTTCCAATAATTTAAATAAAAATAAATTTACCCAATAAGAATATCATTTTCTAAAATTCCTCTCTTTTTACTTTGATAAAATAGTCTTGATCTTAAACATTCTATTGAATTTTTGGTGACAAAATTTTTAGAAAAAATTAATGTTGGGGAATGAAAACGATTTAATAACAACATTTTTTCTTAACAAAATTAAATTAGAAATATTCAAAAAAAATTTAAAAATATTATTTAATAAGATAATTTTATTTTTAAAAAATATAAATTACTCGAATCAAAAATTTATTTATAAACAATAAATTTTATTTATAAACAATAACAAACATAAAAATTTCGATTTATCAATTTTATTTAGAAAATACTTAAACTCTTATAAACACAAGGTAAATTTAAATATTCTCAAAGTTTAAAAAAAATTATTTGACACACATTCATTAAACAAAAATATAAAAAATAATCAAATTAATTTTCTCTTTTAGTTTCATCTTTTTACTCTTGTCAGAACTGCTGCTACTGGAATTAGAACTTAGGATTTTTGTCAGTTTCTTTCCAGTATCGTCAAAAATTATGGGCACTGATTCCAAACTTTTAAAATGATTCCACACTTTAAAAACCTCCAACATTGGTACATCAATAACTTCAACAATTCTATCACAGCAAAATGCGCATAGCAATTAGACTGTTTGGTTCAACCATGGAGACAATTATATTTTGATCCTGAAATTGTATGTTTGAAAAAGTAATTTTAGCAAAAATATCCTTTTAAATACAACCCAAAGGAATCAAAAATATATTTATTGTCATTGTTTCTTTTTCTTCTCTTTACTCCCATCCAAACTACTATTACTTCCACTGGGACTTGGTGTCTTCTTTAGCTTCTTTCCACTATCATCAAAAGCAATTGTCACAGACTCTACGCTCTTAACGTGATATACTGAAGTATTTCTATTATTAATTAAAAGTATTAATGCTTCCACATCAGAAAACTCGTCCACATTTCTTCGTTCCAAAATTTGTAGGACGTCATTTGGCACTTTTTCAGTAACTGCAATTTTTCTCTCTAATTTAACTTTAATGGGTAAACTATTCTCAGCACAGTGACGAAAAGCATAAAATAAAATGACTTTAAGTTTAAATATTAGTTTAGTAATCCTTTATGTGTACACCAATTAAGTTGAAGATAAATTATTTCATTTTCTTGCTTTTCACTTTTCTTCCTTTTTAATTCAATAACTTTATAATGCAGATCCCTTTTAAATTTGACTGTAACAAGTCCATTAAGTTGTATTGCATCTGTTGTAGGCTGTAAATGTAAAAATTTGCCTTAAAACATTGCAAATACCTTATCATTAATTACCAGAAACTTGTCCCCGACTAACATCAAACCCGCAAAACAACAAAGAATATCCATTTTCTTTATTTTTAATTTTATACATACTTCCAGGATAAAAGGTAAGCCCAGAATCGTTATTTTGTATTTCAACGCTAAAGTGAAGTTCTGGACTTCACGATTCTTGGCTTACCTTTTATCCTGGAAGTATGTATAAAATTAAAAATAAAGAAAATGGATATTCTTTGTTGTTTTGCGGGTTTGATGTTAGTCGGGGACAAGTTTCTGCTAATTAATGATAAGGTATTTGCAATGTTTTAAGGCAAATTTTTACATTTACAGCCTACAACAGATGCAATACAACTTAATGGACTTGTTACAGTCAAATTTAAAAGGGATCTGCATTATAAAGTTATTGAATTAAAAAGGAAGAAAAGTGAAAAGCAAGAAAATGAAATAATTTATCTTCAACTTAATTGGTGTACACATAAAGGATTACTAAACTAATATTTAAACTTAAAGTCATTTTATTTTATGCTTTTCGTCACTGTGCTGAGAATAGTTTACCCATTAAAGTTAAATTAGAGAGAAAAATTGCAGTTACTGAAAAAGTGCCAAATGACGTCCTACAAATTTTGGAACGAAGAAATGTGGACGAGTTTTCTGATGTGGAAGCATTAATACTTTTAATTAATAATAGAAATACTTCAGTATATCACGTTAAGAGCGTAGAGTCTGTGACAATTGCTTTTGATGATAGTGGAAAGAAGCTAAAGAAGACACCAAGTCCCAGTGGAAGTAATAGTAGTTTGGATGGGAGTAAAGAGAAGAAAAAGAAACAATGACAATAAATATATTTTTGATTCCTTTGGGTTGTATTTAAAAGGATATTTTTGCTAAAATTACTTTTTCAAACATACAATTTCAGGATCAAAATATAATTGTCTCCATGGTTGAACCAAACAGTCTAATTGCTATGCGCATTTTGCTGTGATAGAATTGTTGAAGTTATTGATGTACCAATGTTGGAGGTTTTTAAAGTGTGGAATCATTTTAAAAGTTTGGAATCAGTGCCCATAATTTTTGACGATACTGGAAAGAAACTGACAAAAATCCTAAGTTCTAATTCCAGTAGCAGCAGTTCTGACAAGAGTAAAAAGATGAAACTAAAAGAGAAAATTAATTTGATTATTTTTTATATTTTTGTTTACTGAATGTGTGTCAAATAATTTTTTAAAACTTTGAAAATATCTAAACTTACCTTGTATTTATAAGAGTTGTTCCCCATTCCCGAAAGTTTAAGGAGTTTAACTTTTTGAAAATACCCCGCCCACCCACCCCTCGGGAAAAATTTATACGAAAATATGAATTGGAATTAAAGACTTATTGGCCTTCCAAAAATTTCCTCTAAATTTCTTTTAAAAAATTTCCCCGCCCACCCTCCCCAGTTACGATGCTATTAAAATTTCACACAACCCTTTCTAAGGCCCCCTCACCTTCCAACCCGGGAACAACTCTAATGTATTTTCGAAACAGAGAAATGCCAACATTTTTGAGCAGTAATTAAGGCACAGAATATAATCATAAATCAAAAAATAAAATTAACGACAAATAAATGGAAAGTAGACACAAAAAACAGTCGTTCCCATAAAGAAAATAAAAATGATGCCAACAACAATACAAATAGCCAAGGCGATTTTTAACTAAAAAAGATTAAAAAATTATATTGTAGAAATTTTTTTAAATTTTTATTGGCCCTTGAATTCCAAAATCATAAAAATATAAATTTTGGAGAAATCCTAGAATATTTAGTTTTACCTTTATATTCCTTCTCTTTGCAGCCTCTGCTCCTTTAACATTATCCAAAGCTTTAAATGCAAGTTCCTTTGCACAAATAACATTCGTTTCAATATGATCTGCCATTTCACCCTTACAAAAAATATAATTTAAATAAAGGATTTAATAAACACTTAAAAACCTGACTTTCCACAAGCATTGCCAAATCTATAATTTAAATAAAATTAATTAAAATAAATATAATCAGTTTGGCAACACCATTAAATAGCCCCATTAAATCAGACCCCTGGATACGATCTTTAAACATAAACCTTAAGGGTGAAGACGTTACCTTACAATTAGACTGTGAGTATTACTAGGCACCTCATATCAATTCAAAAAATTATCAAAAATAGAGTTCTCATTTAGGCGCGCAGACAAGTAGGCGCAAAGCCATAACCTGCTTCAAGATTCCCGAATCTTATCAAGTATTAAACGATTCCTCTACTTAATTGAGCTAAGGAGATTTGTACCAAAATTGACAAGTGCCAGAAATTTTCCAGCTAGTTGGAAAATTCGCAACTTTGTTCGAGCGCCTACTTGGGCGTCGCTTAAATAGAGGTATAAACAAAAGTATATCTAGCTACATAGTACTGTGTACACGCTATAACGAACACCGACTAACCAAAATTATTTATAAAAAAATAAAAACCTTGAAACATTTCATGTAATTCTCTAATTGACCCTTCCAATTTAATAATATCTTCATGACGAGATTTAACATCTTCAAATAAAAGTTTTTTATCTTTTTCAGCTGTCATTATAGAAACTGTATTAAATAAATTTCCTCCTTCAATAGATTCGTCCATTTCTTCTTCAGTCATATGTAGACCAGCTTTTAAAAATTGAATAAGATTTCTAGCTTTAAACTAGGGTAGCACTCCGAGCCTTCGGGAGCGGGATCGTCGGGGATCGGGGTTTACTGGGGTAGAGCCTTCGGGGTTTTAGTCGGGGTTTCTGACAAAAAATTCATCGGGGGTCGAAGTTTCGGGTGACGGGGTGCTACTCTCCTTTAGACTTACAAATTTTTAAATAATTTTTAATTCTCGATCTACACTTTTCTTTATAGTCCATTTGTTCTTTATGAAATTCCCCAGTTAATTTTAAAATTCCTTGACGTAAAGTCATTTCCTAAAGAAATCTTTAAATTTAAAAAAATCGTAAAAAAATTTACTTGATTCCTTCTAATCATTAAATTAGCCATCGTTATTTTATTTGAAGAACTCAATTTATCATTCTCTGCTTGCATTCCTTCAATTTTAAAATTTTTAAAATTTCCCTTTCTTTAAAAAATACTTTTCACAATATTCCAAACATCTCGAGATAAAATTACAAAATTTTCAACTTTGATGTTAAATTCTGTTGTTAACGCTAGAATATAAATTTTAAATTATTGATCCAAAAAAAGAAAAAAATCGGGAAATTTTTATAAATTACATACTAAAAATCTTTTGGCACTATTGCATTATCTCCCATTTTTTATTTCCTTTTATTTATTATTTTTTACAAAAGGTGGCCAAGGATTAATACAAAGTCTGGAATTTGATAGAGGGAACCAGATTTATTTTAAGAATATAACAGGAAAAAATTAGAGAAGAGTTTTCTAAAATAATTGTTGCGGGATTCCCGCATCCAATAAAATCTATTGCTGATTGTAATTTTTGAAGAGGAAAAAGAAAATTTAAAAATGGGGAGGGGAGGTAATGCGAAAGTCAAAAATTATTTCAAAAACAAAAATTTACTTGAATGAGCACCAGGTTCATTCAATATTCGGCAATGCAATTCTCTAATTCCTTTCAGACATTCACTCATTTCACTCATTTTCCTCCTTATATCTTGAGTCAATTCTAGAAACTAAACACATTGTTTTGGACAAATTAATCAAAAAAAAATTTCAAAACAAACCGAATTAATATCATCTTCAGAATTTAAATTTAAAAAAGAAATTGTTTCATCCTTGTGAATAGAATTGCTTTCAAGATGAACAGAATTATTTAAAGAATTCGTTGGAAGATGATTTTTGTTGGCAATGTTTCTGCTCATTCCAGCCATACGCTTAAATTTTAAAAATTTTTTTATATTAAGAATTTGGAGGCAAACAGCCAAACCTCACTCTAGGATACAATACTTGGGGTCTGAAAAGGTTGTACATAGAAATAAGGTGCACCCTAAATTAGGGGATTGCTTATGCCACTCACCCACCCAGTCCCAGTAGGCTAACAAATTTCTTAAATCTTAAATGAAGGAATCTCAAATATTGAAGGTGTCCTTAAGTGAGGTCCGACTGTATTTAACAAAAAAAAACCTGAAATTCAATCAGCCTATCTTTGACCATTTAGAACCCTTTCTCAAACAAAATAGTTTCCTTTAAATCTAACAATAAATAACAAAATGTTCAATCAAAAAATATATAAATTGTTTTAGAACAAATAGATAAAAATTAAAGTGTTTATTTAATTGAAAGAATTCTCCAAAAAATGTATTTCTGGGAAAAAAAGTTAAATAATAAAAAAAAATTAATATTTAAAAAAAGTTGCGCTACGGCAGAATCAATCAAAATTTTTTTCTCAAAATTTTTTTATTTTCCGAAAGATATCCCCTCCCCTTTTTTCATTATTTTATTTTTTATTTTTCTTATTTTTAAGTTGCATGCATTCGAAGTCGTTTCCAACGCTCTTCAAGTGAATCATCCCTTCCATTTCTATTTGCTGAAGAAGTCGAAGGCCCTCCAGATGGAACTTCTGGCAAATCGGAAAGATCCAAAACTCGCTTACCAACACGAACTCTATTTCCATTTTCTACTGGAACTGGGCGTGGAAGAATCAGTGGCGGTGATACTTCTTTAACCCTGGCAGCCTCATCTTCCCGTATTAATTCATTTAATTCACTTTCCAATTCTTCATCTGGAACATCAACTGAGGACATTGAACGAAGTCCATCATGTAATGCTTCGTTCATATCTCTATAATCTTGCATTGTTTCCAAAAGATCGTCCATTGTTGTGTCAACCTTTGAAAAATCGAAACTATGTAAAATAATAAATAAAAAAATAATTTAACAAAAACTTTCACGATGAGCGAAATTTTTAAATTTTATTCCATTAATTCTATATGAAATTAAGGACTTTGAGTATCTACCTTTGAAACTCGGAACTTTACGATTTTATAAAAAGTGTTGAAAAGTCAAAGCTCGGTAATAGGTTTTTGAACATGATCTCCCGAAAAAAATCCATAGTCAGGCACTTTTCAGGGAGGGTGGAATCATTCTTGAAAATATTAAATTCCAGATTTCCAGAGCTAAAGAATCAAAAATTTCCCCTTCTCTTACCCATGACTAAGTGCCTAAATAAAATATTTACTATAAAATCAAAACCTTTTCTGGAGTTAAACCATGACGATTTAATGTTTCCTTAACAGTTACAGAACAAGTTTTCAAAACATCAATCATATCTTTTTTATGTTTTGAGTCAGTCAATTGTTGAAAAACACTGTGAAGACGTTGATATTGTATTTCCTTATCTTGAACTTCTTTTCGTATTAAAGCCACTTTTTTCATGATATTTAATGCTCCCTTTTTGTCTCCCCTGTTCATCGCTGCCTTTGCTTCTAATTTTAACCTAAATTCAAAAATTGATAAAAATTAAATTCAAAAATATATAATTTACATTTGTTCACGTTTTTCAGCTTTCATTATGGCTGTATCAAGTCGAGCCATTGTTTGTTTTAAATCGTGCATTGCAGCATCATTTTCAGAAAATCGAGCTGGTCCCTTTGTCCTTTGATCCTAAAATATGTTTAATAAAAATATCGTTTTGTTTTAAAGGCTCTAATGACTATGGGACCCCGGGTCTGCGAACAGAAAAATAATATTAGAAAGTCATTTACTAGTGTTCCTAGTATGTCTAAATTAAATTTACTTTGATATTCAATTAGCTATGATGTAGAAATACATTATCAACTCCCACCTTAAATTTCAATACTTTATCTCCATCTTTAGAACTTCCAACACTAACTTCTCCCATATTAACCAATTCAATGATTACAAGTTCAAAACAATCTCTATCAATTATATGTGAAGCATTTTCTTGTAATTCGTTATATCCAACAATATCAGGACAATCAACCATTTCATAATTGTTTCGATAAAAACGTAACAATTCTTTTGCTAATTCCTTGAAATATTTTTTTAATAATTAGAATCTCTTTCAAAGGCGTATCCAGCGGGGAGAGGGCTGACAGGGCTGAAGCACCTCCAGAAATGAGGGAAACGGGGAAAAAATGGGAGGAAGATTGAAAAAGTGAAATTTTTTCGCCTATGACCTTCTAAATTCAACAATTATACACACAATAAACATAGTTAAGATCCGTTCTTCAAAAATTTGTTTGACTACTGGGCAAAGGAAGCTTCCTAAGCGATACTCTCAAATAATGGATGTACTAGATTTAAAATATTTTTTTCAAAGCCGAAGGTTATAGAAAAGTAAGACCCAACTAAAAAACAAACCTTCAAGGCAGTAATGTGAATTAATTGTGAAGTATTCGGATTGTTCGAAGTTGATCCAACTAATCCTTGTAACCAAGAACTTGGACTAATTAAATTTGCTCCCCATTGCAACCAACTTTGATTGTCCTTCTCAAAATCTGACCTCTCCACAACAAGTCCCTCACTTCAAAAAATATTTTTTTTATTTTTTTTTTTAAATTAGAAAAACCTTTTTAATTCTGATATAACTGTAGGTAACGGACTTGGTAATTGTGACCCGCGTTTAAATTTTATTTTGAGCTCGTCCTGAGTAAAAACACATCTTTTCTGATGACGACAATAGTCAAGAATTGTAGATTTCCAAAAAGAAACAACACGGTCTTAATTTAAAAATTTTTTATTTCGAATTTCTTTGGAGTATCCTAGGACCAGTTTTAAGGACAGGAGTTATTCTGATCAAGTTTATTATCTAATAATCTCTAACCAAGACAAAATTCTCCGAAAATTTGGTCTAGGATGCCCCTTACTAGGGCTGGGGTTTTCGAGTCGGGCCGACATTCAAGTCAGTTTTTTCGGGCCAAATTCAATGCCCGACTCGATCTTTCGGACCGGGTTTGCAACTCTAACCTTTACACTTAATTCACTCATTTAAAAAAACAAACCATAATTTGTAGGGTTTACATATCTAGCCTAAAATATTAAAATTACTAAAAAATATAAAAATTAAAAACCTTTAAATAAGACATTAATCCACTCATTTCTACATCATTGTCCCAATTATCAGGTAAATATGCAGGCCTTGAAGCTGTAATTCTTGAACGATCAGCCATTCTTTAAATAGTTTCTCTTATTGAATTTGATTGAAAAAAAGAATATCTTCTAAATTTTTGGCTTCTTTAAAAAAAAGAAAGCAAAAAATGTATTGAACTAAAATAAATTTTAAATTATGAAAAAACCACTTAAAGTAATCAAAACAATATCAGGTATATTCACAAAGATAATACTTTTTAAGGCAAAATTAAACAACAATTTAATAAAAATTTAATAAACAGGCAAAAATTTAAATGAAAAATTATTTTTTTAATTATCTATTCAAATTCCATTGAAATCGGGAGATTTATTTCTCATCTGGATCAGGCGCTATAAAATATTTAAAAAAAATTTTTTAAATTAAAAAAGCAGCAAAAAAGGTCAACATTAGCGGCTATCGAAGGAATAAAAAAGTCCTTTATTCAATTACAAGGAAGTAACATTAATAACAACTATCTGTCCTAATGTCAACTAGTCATAAAATTGGTCCACCCCAGAAGGTCAAATTACCCAAAATGTCCAAATTTTGGGCGGATCCCGGTGACACATGCTCAATAATGTTTGCCTGCTTCCTTTTGCATTATTCAACAATTGCACAACCCTTAATCCCCCTTAATTCTAATAATAACTTTCCACTTTATTTTAGGCCGCAGATGTCGAACTACCGCGCCCGTTAAAAATTAAAAACTCACATTTCTTAAACTCCTCCCAAGTCATCTTTGAATGTTCAAAACCCGTTCTAACAACTCTAATTGTTTCATTTGGATAACAAAAAGCAGTCATTACAAGTAGTCCAATAGAAGTATAAAAATATTTTTTAATAAATCCTTTCCTTCTTCCATAAACATATCCTCCCATTCCACCCAAAGATATAGCTGCCAATTTTGGAAATAATTCAGTATTTTCCTTTCGAATGAAATCTTCGGTAGCTGGAAGAGAAAAATAATTTCATCGTTATTTTTTATATGTCGAACTCCCGGGTGTATAAAAATATCTACAATAAATTAGCGGATTGTTTAGAAAGCTTTCCTAACTAACATCATTAGGGTATTATAAATAAGATTCGACAGTCAACAATACGTTAATCTATCTCTATTCCGATGGTTGTTTCCGGACTGACTTGACTCACACTTCCTATACCGCTTTCCCACCTAAACAAAATATAGCCCCTATTGATGGCGTTATAGAAAGATTTCACTAAATTATTTACCACTAGCCACATCCTTTACTGGTTCCAAAGTCTTTGTAACTTTACTCAAGTTCAACTAAAATTTAAGTTAATTTTAAGAAATATTTTTTAAAAACCTCCGGAATTCCAAAAAAGTTATTTGTAGCAACTCGGAGTTGTCGAAAATATTCTTCACCAAAAACAGGTTTACGTTCCGTTAAATAAGAGTCATGAAAGTCTGCCACCTTCGTTGCATAAATTGGTAACTAGACAAGAAATTAATTTAGCTAAAAATACAAGCAAAAACCTCTTCCACAGTCAAAATATTTCTTTTTTCTGAAGTCATCTTTTTTTTAAATTATTTAAAAAATTCTAAAGAATTAAAAATAGAAGAAAATATTTAAATTAATTTTTTAAATAAATTAAAGGAAATAATCAATTAATTTTTTAAATTTATTAAAAAAATTAAAATTCAAGAAAACGAAGCACAATGTTGAGGCATTTGATTTTCTTTCTGACGAGGATTTAAATTTAAACGTTTTGCGATTCCCAATTTTTGAATATTTGGAGTTTGAGATTCTTGTTGTTGATTTGAAGTGGATTGTGTTGAGCTTAACTAAAAAATAAAAAAAGGCTGTATGGAAATTTTAAACTAAAATTTTATTTATTTTTTGATTAAATATTAGTAGGACCACCCTTTTGGCCAAAAAATTGTAACTTTGAAAAAAGTGCTCCTCTGCCTAGTCTTGACAGATCCGGTCAGAAAATAAAGAAATTAGCAGATCCGGATATCCAGAAATTTCACAGGATCCACCAAACCTACCCCCAAACTAGTAATCAACCAAAATGGTGTATCTAGAGACTAGACTATAATTTAAGATAAGAACCTGATTCTGTTGAGATGAGGTATGTTGGGTTTGGGGTTGAGCATCAAAATCATCCATTGTAGCCAATACAAATTCTGCAGTTAAATCCATATTTTCATCAATTGCCACAATCATTGGCCGCCCAGGTCTGTCAAAATGCAAATTAAGTGTGAATCCGCAAATATTTCCAAAATGAAGAATTGATCGAAGTTCTCTCAAGCTTATAACAATTCTTGTTTCTACATGAATATAAAATTTTTCAAAATGTTCAGTAGGTATGGTGACGTCAGTTTTTCGTCTAAAAATTTTTTGAATTAAAAAAAAAATAAATTTAGGCACATTTCTGTCACTATCCACTTTTCTTATTATCCTTTTCTGTCTCCCGTCCTCAAAAATTAGTGGTTAAAGGCAGATAATGATAGAGAACAAGGAACATTCCGACGATTTTTGGGGTTTATTGTTAGAATTTCAACACTTTTGCATTCTAACATGTTCCGATTATTTGTAAAGATCGGAATTTTGTAAAAACCGGGTGTTAGAAATGGGTTCTGAAAATTGACCGGGAGGGATCCGGACCGGGAAAGCCGGGAATTCGCGTTCCCGGTTTCATCCCGTTTGCTTCAAAAAACCAGGAAAAGGGGACCCGAAAACCGAGTCTCGGACCTGTTCCAAACTCTGATTATTTGTAATTCCGGAGTCGAAAAGAAAAAGAAAAATAAGGAGAGATAACAGAAAGGTACTAATATTTCTCTACTTACACTCTGCTGAGATCTTCTCGAACAATATAGCGATGTGCAGTAAATTTCTTTTCAGAAGCATCAAGTCTGACCTAAAAATTAATTTTAACAAAATATTATGCTCGCTTCAAAAAAACCTCTTTACAATCAAATCCCCCAAAAAGATTTAACAAAACTTTTGCCTGCGTTGCCATTTTATTTTTTAATCTTTGTTTTTCTGTAAAAACGTTGTCACAAATTGTTGTATGTTCTCTCATTGGCAACACGTAAACTTTTCGAATTTGAGTATTTTCTTGTTCCATGTGGATAATTGCAAAATCAGCAGAAGGGTCCAATTCTAATTGACAATTTTCAAAGGAAGGTAAATGGACATTTTTAGTCCCAATATCTGTAAAAAGGTAAGCGTGTTAAAATTTTGCTTTTTGTTTTCTAAAAATCATTTTATTTAGGTAATCGACTATGCTCATCACGAATCTGATAACAGATTTTGTCAAATATGACATTTTATCTGTGATTTTTGATCTAAGATTTTTTTATAAAATACTTAATTTTTATAAAATTACTGAATGGGTAATGGATTTTGAAGCATTTGATAACATCTTAAACCAGAGTTCAATTTATTACCCAGTCAATAATTGATAGAAATCGGCCTGGGTCTGAACCCAGACCTGGGTTTTTCCTGTACTCAGAGTCCAGGTATTTTTTGATCTTCCTGGGTTTTTCCTGGGCCTGGGTTTTTTCCTAGACTACAAGCCCAGGATCCGGCCCAGGTCAATAAATCAACCCGAGTCCAGGAAAAGGTTTTCAAAAATCCGATCTCTAATAATTGATTTGTCCTAAAATATGATAGATAAAAAATCGTAAATGAAATGTCATAATTGACAAAATCTGATATCAGATTCGTGACCAGCATAGTCGATTACCTACATAAAATGACCTTCAGAAAAGAAAAAATAATTTTAAAAGTGCATCCCCAATTCTTCATCCCCAACCTTTAAAAATATGCAAAGCACTTCTCGTTGATATTCGACAATAAACTTCCCCGTTTAAATTTTGTTCATTATTTGAAGGGGTTTCGAAACGGGAAAAGAAATTTGAAGACAAAACAATTTTGGCAAAAGCCGATTTTGTCGAATTATATGCCGTTAAAATAAGGCTGTCAGCTAGAGGTTGTAAAAGTATTTGATCGCTAATTTTTGAAAGAACATTTATTGCTTCGGCAAAAACCTTTGAAAAAATTTTTAAATTAAAATAAAAGAAATAGTAATAGTTAAGTTTGTGTTACCCCTTTTTCCTTATTTTCCTAAATTCCCTCTTTTTGAGTTCGGCATACCATCGATCAAAAAGGATCAAGTTTTTTTGCATAAGACAGAATTTTAGAAAAAAGGAAAACATTAAGGGAGTCTGACCATTATTTACATTATTAAGAAAGGGGGTACCACAAACCTAACTATTACCAAAAAAAATTAATTTTTTACTTTAAGATTTGTATCTATTGCATAGACAAAAGCATTTTCCAAGTGAATGTCTTGCACAGAAAGATCCTTCATTGAAATTTCAGAGCTCATAATTGAAAATAAATTATGTCAAAAATTAAAAATAACTGAAATTTTTAGAAAAATTAAAGCAAAATAGGAGAGGAGAAAATTTTGAGTAGCCGATTCAGAGTAACAGCTTCGAAAAAACGAATGCTCGAATTGACATATCGGATAACAAATTAACCCACATTCGATACAATATCAGAAACAGAATTCTCTGATTACCAAAAAATTAGCGACAATCAACTATTTTGGCGCTCAAACGACCTAAATTTACGCATTTACGCCCATTTCATCGCCAATTTCATTGTTTAAATTAGTTACAGTATCCCTTATCGTTCGAAAATCTTTGAGACATCGTTCGAAAATCTTCGAGATATCGTTCGAAATACAGGTCATCCTGTATTATTTTTATTATAGAATTCATCCACCTTCTTTATTTTTTAATTCTCGACCCCTCAAGAAATAAAAATTTCTTTGGTAAAAGCTTTTTTTACTATTTACTGCATTAAACTGTCAGTCAATACCAATTTAACTCACTTCATTCTTTTTGCTAATTAATTTCCAGAATAACAAATATTTTTTTGTTAAAATTTTTTTAACTGCCTTCCATAAAAAAGCAATAAAGAAGTAATTTAAAAATAAATTTTTACTTTTGGACCTCAAAATGGGAGAGGGGAAATCTTGAGTTGAAAGGAAGCACCGGAAAGCAAAATTCAATTTTGATATTTTTCGCATTGTTCCGTTATCACAAAATTTGGCTAGTTCCGAGTTCCGACTCGGTAATTCTTCGGTTGTCGCCCCCCTTTTTTTATGCTTCCCTGACCATTTTGAGCTTTTTTGCTTTGACATATAATAATTTATATATCATTCGAAAGAGCTATCCGAGCTGAGTTGATTGGTACTATGATCGGTTAGATTTGGCAATTTTGAACAGAATTATGAAGCTAAATCCCTTGTGGACATGTTTTTTGTGATGTTGAAAGGTATTAAAACAATTACTGCAGTTTATGAGTCAAATCAGATTTTTCTGAGCTATGGGGGTAGGTCGGCAGATCAAGGCTGAAAATGTTGATTTAATTCAGATTTCGACGATTCTTGTGCCGTTCGATTCAGCTCGAAGTGCTCTTTCGAATGTTTATAAAAGTTCATAGAAATTTCATGGAAAATGTAAAAAAATAGAACATAAAAAAGGGGGGGCGACAACCGAAGAATTACCTCCGACTCTTCCAATTTCCAACACTTCTAACTATCATCGGGAAGTTTGCCTAATCGTTACCCTCTATTTAAAATACATCTCATTATAAAATAAAATTTTTTAACCCCAAGAGAGTATCCTAGTTTTTCCTGTATTTCTACCGTTATTTTTATCTTGATCCAAAAAATCTGAGCTTGTCTTGTCCCTTCTTTTCCAGAAAAAGAACAAATGTATAAAAGACTGAAAAAAGACGAATATGTAATGGCATCTAACATTGAGCGTGACAACAAGCCTTTGGAAAGGGGTTATCCCCACACTCTAACGGCAATTGATTCTATGCGCTTTTTTTCTTTCCAGCTTCTCGCATTTCGGATAAAACAACTAAAAAAATATAAAAAAAGAAAACAGATAAGATTCAAAGAAAAAAATGAAAAGGCTGCTCTTTTTTCCCGGAAGGAGGGGTTGAAGGGAAGCACCGGAAAGAAAGACTGATTGTATATTTAATGCTTACTTAAAGCTTTTCTCGCCTTTAAGTTGGTGACAACACGCGAATCGGATAATCGATTGTTTATATAAACATTTAATTTGAAAAAACGATCAAAAATTTTTTTTAATGAAATTAGGGGCAACCGCCTCTTAAAAGGCGCAAACCTCATCATTTTTACCCTTCCTTTTTTACTCATTTTCTATTGTTTTCCCAATTTTTTGAAGGATTTCGACAAACTTGATATTTTGATAATAAATAGATGAGACAACTACCGTATTTTAAAAAGCGGGGGATGGAACGCCGAGGCGAAAAAGAACCATCCCTGGTTCCTAACTCTTCCAGAGTTTATTCGCTCGAACATCACTAAGTAGTAGTCACTAAGTCGTAGTGATGTTCGGGAGAACAAAAAACCCGGGAATATGGAAACGGAAGTCGAGTCGGGATACCAGAAAATCACTAGTTTGTAGAGGAAAGGTAGCTCAATTCCCTTGTTGGCAATTCAAACTAAATATCCATTCATTTACTCATCAATCTTTTATTCACGTGTTTTCGAAATGTACCTTTCTCTCAAACAATTTTAAAAAAATATTTTTCCCCAACTGTTGTGAATTAAATGGCAATATTTTGGTTTATTATCTTTTATCCTTAAAATTCTTTAAATTCCAAATTCTCACTCATTAACCAGACAAAGGTTTGAATAATTTAGTGACGGATTAATAGACAAACAAAAGTGACAGATATTTTAAAGGAAAATAGGTATTTAAGTAATTTTGGTTGGATTATTCTTTTAAAATTTTAATTTTTAAAACAAAAATTAAATTTTTAAAAATTTTATTTTCCCATTTTGCAATTTTTTTTCAAAAATTTTAAAAATTATTTTAAAATTAAGCTATAACTAAAAAATATCACAGGAACATTAATTAATTTAACTTGGATAATTAAAAATATTTTAAAAGAAAATTAAAAAGTTTAAAACATCCTTAACTTTTGGATATTTTGTAGTAAGAGAGAGGCAAAATCCTAACACGGGCAGCCGCTGATCCTTCGCTACCACATACAGCTTTTTTGCCAATTTAGCTAACGGAGCCTTCTCTATCATTAGATATTAAATACTCGACTAGTATCGTAATGCTGAGAAATTTCCCTGTCTCTCTCAGATAATTACCCCTATTAATTACCCCCTCTAGCCAGGGGTTAAAACAATAATTCCTCAGTCTAATTATTTTAGAATTGGATTTCGGTTTCACAAGATTCTTCGGTTAACCGAACCGACAAACCAAACAAAAAATCTTCGGTTTACCGGTTCGGGTTGAAACCGACAAGCCTATTTTAGAATATTACGTTAAGTGTACCAGCTGGATCTCCCTGGATCCCCTCTTTACAATTTTTTGTAGACCATATTAATCATCTCTTTTGTAATTTTCTAACTTTCAATTTATTATTAGTTAATATGTATATTTTTCAATAATTTCCAAACTAAACTCCATTTTTTAAAATCCTCCATTTTACTAGACATTTAAAAAGGAAAAAAAGATTAATATATTTATTTTATACTCATTTTTTCTTAAAAAGTAACAAAAAAAAGTAAAAGCAACAGACTTAAGCATTAGATGCTCTCTTATGGCAAATACCCGGGAGGGAATATTTATGTACCTATATTCCCTTCCAAATACATCCATGAAATGCGCTCCCCCTTCCCTTCCCCCTACCCATTCCCCTCCCTTCCCTCTCTTTTCATTTATTTTCCTTTCTCTCTTTCTCTCAATACTCTCGACATTCTTTTTTGTTTTCTTGGCCAAGCTTTGGCCAAATTCTAAAAACACCCTCACATTTTCTTCTTTCCAATCGATTTGAGATGGCTTTTTTGTGTTAAGGCTTTAAAATTTTGCTTTTTTTCTTTTCTCTACTTGCATGAAAAATAAAAGGAATTGAAGCAATAATGGACAAACGGACATAAAAAAATTTTTTTTCTTTTTTTTTCTATCTCGACCCTGCAAGTAAAAATTCCTCTAGAAAAAAAGACCGTTAGCCCTTGGCTCTTCGCTTGGGTGAATTTTCTTCCTATTACTCTTCTTCAATTTTACCGCATCTGTCTTTTCCAATGTTTTGGATAAAAAAAGAAACTAAAAGCTTTATAGGCAGATTTTTGTTTAAAAATATTTTTTATATAATTTTTATTTTATTGAAAAAAAATTTTTTTCCTTTGAATTTTAAGTACTTTTTACTTGACTTATTTTAGACTAGATTAATCTTCCCCCTTTTTAATGAATCATTTATTTTCCTCCTTATTTTCTCTTGTAGGATTCGAACCTCACCTTAGGATATCCCCAAAAATTAGATATTGTATGAATAATTATCCTGAGTAATTATCATTTCAATCTCTTTCTGGAGGGGGTAATTATTTGAGTAAATAAGGCACCCCTCTATTTAAGATACTTTTCTTTAAATTTTGGTCTTAAAGAGAGATATGTACTTACAAGATATCTTCAATTTATTACACACCGCTATGGTATTATTTTATAGTTCCAAGTGTGTATCTTCTTATATCGAGGTCGTATTTTAAGTAAGAGAAAGGAACAATACATAGAGAAAGGAACAATTAATTTTGGACTTAAATAGGGAGAGGATATTAAAATTTACTATTTTATTTTCATTTTTTAGATTTTAGATATTTTCTTCGAAATTAATTAATCCCTTCTTATAATAATATAAAATCCACTATTGCCTTTAAAAAAGGCTTTAGTAAATGCGTGGCGGAGTTGCAGCCAAACTGGGAAATAAAGACAGGACAGAACATTTAAGAAGAGCTAGTGGAGATTCTAATTTCTCTCACCATCACGATAATGATTTTGATTTGGAACAAAGAAATCGTGAAGCTATTAAAAGTAATGCTGAAAAACAGGCGGCACAGCAACTTGAAAATGCAAAGGTTTTGAAATTGAAAAAATAAATTAAATTAAATGGGTGGAGGCCGAATTTTTAATTTAATATTAATTAACCCCCAATTTAATATAACTTCATTATAAGAGACGATTTCATACTAGTCCCGAAGGTACCTTATATAAACGTCTGACTTTACACTTGTTTGAAGTCCGCCTTAAGATTCAATACTAATTCTTTATTCCGTATTTTCTTCTCTTCGAAATTAGAATAAGAAATAAAAATTTGGAAGAGTGGGAAACAGATCCCAGATAAAACAAAATAAAACAAAAAAAGAATCCCTCCAGTCGAGGTTGCACGGTGATAAACCTTGTTTTTAAAGCTCTAAGGATCAAACTCAGGCAAATTTTATTACTTCACCTGGAATGGGAGCAGTCCAGTGTACCGCGAGCCCAATGTACCGCCGAGCTATAACTTTGTCCAAAATTGTCGGATCCGTGGCGCCCTGGTATGTTTCGATTCAGCTGGTCGAGACGCATCGAACCATACCAGTGCGCCACGGATTCGACAATTTTGGACAAAGTTATAGCTCGGCGGTACATTGGGCTCGCGGTACATCGGGGTGTACCCCTGGAATAGGTTGACTGCTTATTGGACATTATTAATTACCCCACTTGAATAATTATCATTCCTTAATTAATCCCTCCATTCAGCGACCCCAAATAATTACCCAGGTTAATTATTTGATAAAATATGTTAGCCTATGAGTTGATTTCTTAGAAGCGAAATAAATAAATTTAAAAAAGCTAATAGTAAAATAAAAATTATTTAAATTAAACAGTATAATCCTGTACTTTTTGCTGTCCAAACAAATATCGACTTTGATGGAACTATTGATGATGATGCACCTGTACATGGATGTGCTATTTCTTTTAAGGCCAAAGATTTTTTACATATTAAAGAAAAATATAATAATGACTGGTGGATTGGTAGATTGGTTAAAGAAGGAGCTGAATTAGGTACATTATTATGGTCACTAACCTCTTTATAAGATGTCCGACTCCCAATACTAGATGCACCTCTAATTAAGAGGCGTTTCAGAAATTTGGTTGGCTAGGTGGGAGAGCTGTCTAGACGATACTGTTTATTTAATCCCTCTATACCCTCTATATAATTTCATTATGAAGTTCCACGGCCACCCCACAGCCTCTCCTTTGTAACGGATACCCTCTATCTAACACACAGCTCATTATAAGACGGAACTCTCTATAAGATACTCCCAGTACAGGATAACCTCTATTTGAGATACGCCCTTCTAAAAGTTGATTGACTACTAAATAGGGGATCAACGCGATATCCTCCCCTATCTAAGATACACCTCGTTATAGAAGACTAGGCCTAACTACAGTTTCCGTACATGGCTCAGAATTGGACGATTTATATGTCATTCGAAAGAGCTCGGCGAGCTGAGTCGAACGACACCAAAATTAGCCAGCGGAAAAAACTTTGGGCCGAGATACAGGGCTCGAAATGGTCAAAAACCATAGGGGGGAGTAAGCTCATTTTTGTGGTGAAAAATTCGATTTTACATATGATAGCTCATTTGAAAGAGCTCGACGAGCTGAGTCGAATGACACCAAAATCACCGTGATCAAAACAGATTAGACAAAGTTATGACACAAAAAACAAAAACCTAAACCTATGGGGTGTCGGCGAGGCGCTTGTGCAAAACCCCGCGCTTCGCGCGGGGTTTTGCGGCACGCGCCTCGCGGGGAGTCTACGGGCGGTCGGTCTGGGCTCGTAACATAAACCTATTCCTATTTCCCTTGCTCTGGACGTATTTGGGGCCTCCGTAGCAGCAAAAATCTCCACAGATGCCATAGGTAAGGAGCTACAACAAACGGTCATAACTTTGTCCAATCAAGTCAGATTTCGTTGATTTTGGTTTCATTCGACTCAGCTCGACGAGCTCTTTCGAATGAGCTATCATTTGCATATTCGAATTTTTCACCCCCAGAAAACAGCTTGGTCCCCCCTATGGTTTTTTGAACTTTAGGGGTCTGTAACTCGGCTCAGAATTTTTTCCGCTGAATAATTTTGGTGTCGTTCGACTCAGCTCGCCGAGCTCTTTCGAATGACATATAAATCGTCCAATTCTGAGCCATGTACGGAAACTGTAGTTTAGCCGAAGACTATTTTTTTCAGCCCCAGAGGTGTATCCTTAAACGAGATCCGATTTTAATTAAATATTTTCTAAATTCCTAATTTAAAGGTTTCATCCCCTCCCCAGCTAAATTAGAATCTGTACGTCAATCACAACAAACAGGAAAAGGAGTTAAATTGTAATTATTCTGATAAATTAAGAAAAATATTTTTTAACTTTCAAAGTCGCCAGTCAACTTCCACAACAAATTTGGGTGCTTTAGACAGAATGATGCCCCCAACAACGCCCAGAGGGATTGCTGGGGGATCGAGAGGTTCAACCCCTCCCACACCTGCTGACGGGGAAGAAGAAGGAGGGGCAGATTCTCATAGAAGTGGGGCAACAACTAATCGGTTAAATGAAAATCAAATGACTGCTACTCCCCCTGTACAAAAAGAAAAGAAAAAATTAATTTTTAAAAAGGTTTTGATTAGTAAATTAAATAGATTCAGAATTCAGTCTTAATCTTCCCAACTAACTTATAAATAATATAAGACCCTTTGCTCAGAGTAGGTTACTTTCAAAGTCGATAGCGACTTTGTGTTTTTTAAGAAATTTTTTAAAAATTCGTGAAGGTGTTAAAAATTAAGGTCCGTCTGAAAGACCTTCCAATCGTTAGAAGACTATTCAGTCTATCATAAGTAATTATTATTTCAATCTTTTGTTAGAGAGATTTTTTAGTCATTATTAATTCAGATTTTTTCCTTTTCACCTTGCTTGTTCAATTTTTACCTAACAGAATTCCAAAAATTTTTAAAGAAATTTTCCCTTATTTGTTAGTTCAAAGCTTTTGTAGCGTTTAAAAGTTTAATTTTTACTTAACAGACTATCATCAGACGCCTTTCACTGTTAATTTAGTTTTTAGGATTAAGGAAAAGTAATAAACAACCTAATTGCTTTACCCCGACCCCGACTAGGGGTTTGTCGAGGTTTTTGCCAAAAAAAATCCGTCGGGGGCGGTTGCTACCCTAATTAAAAATATTTTAATTAATTAATTCCTCTCTTTCTTTGTAGCAAGAAAATATCCCTCCCTATGATGTTGTACCTACAATGAGGCCTGTAGTGCTTGTTGGTCCTTCACTTAAAGGCTATGAAGTTACTGATATGGTAATTCACAAACAATGTTCTTTCATAATTTTGATTAATTTTAAGATGCAAAAAGCAGTTTTTGATTATTTAAAACACAGATTTGAAGGAAGAATAATTATAACGAGGGTGACTGTTGATATTTCTTTAGCTAAACGTTCATTGCTCAATAATCCAACAAAACGGGCTTTAATGGAAAGGGCAAATTCTCGGTCAAGTAATTCTTTAGGTAAATTTGTAAATTAAATATTTTTTGAGATCTATTATAAGTAAAATTAACCTCAATTCTTTCCTATCTACAGTCGAAGCTCACTTTTACATAGGTACACCCTTAGGGCTGCAAAAATCATATCTTCTAGCGAGGGGCATTCTAAATAAAGTGTATCGCTATAGCTCCTTTATCCTATATTCAAACAAATTTTTTAAAACGTCTCTTAAATAGAGGTGTATCTAGTATTGGGAGTATATTATAGTGAAGTCCGTCTTATAATGGGGTGTATCTTAAATAGAGGGTAGAGTGCTTCCCCCACCCTATGGCCAACCAAATTTTTTTAACGGCGCTTAAATAGAGGTGTAGCTAATATCGAGGGTATCTTATAAGGAAATTCGACCTTATTCTCAATAAAATTTCAATTAAATTTTTAGTTGAAATCCAAGCTGAGATTGAAAGAATTTTTGAATTTTCCCGTTCAATGCAATTA